CTGGCAGGTCAGTATCCACAGAGGAGGAGGTCACTACTGTGGAGGCTCCCTCATCAACAACATGTGGGGTCTGAGCGCGGCGCACTGCATGAGGTGAGGAGCCTTTGAACACAGACACCTAAAACTGCATTTGTACAGGTCCTAAATCTCACCCCTTCCCTTTTTCCTGTCTGCAGTGGTGATGCCAGTGAATACTCTGTGGTTCATCGGGCGTCAAAGCCAAAAGGGCCCCAACCCCAACGAAGTGAGTCGCACCATCACTCAGTTCATCAACCACCCGGACTACAACGAGGCCACCGTCGATAACGACATGTCACTGCTCAAGCTGTCCTCCTCCGTCACCTTCACAGACTACATAAAGCCTGTGTGCCTGGCGGCCTCCGGCAGTGCCTTCCACAGTGGCACAGACACCTGGATCACAGGCTGGGGGAGCATCAAGTCTGGAGGTGAGACGTGGTAATTTGGGAAAAGTAAATATTATCCAAATCTGTCTGAGCATCAAAGCCTTGGAGATGCTGATATGCATCTTGCAGCTCGACCAGAAGCAACAGGTGGGTTTCTCCCAGTGACACACCATAGATACATAGAAGGACAATGCTAACCGCTCTGTGGAGCTAGCGACCAAGTCACCATTTTGGGCTTCTGTGGGTTTAGTGGTCTCTGTAACCCTGGTGTTTACATTATGATGTTGCCTTTGTAAATCTAGATAAGAGCTACTGTATATAAGGTACTGACCAAACTCCAACGTACCTTGGCAACCATGTCCCTGTTCCTCACTGAGCTCCTTCTGAGCGGTGGCAGCAGCTCTCTGTCTTTAGTCATTTTGTATAGATTTATTTTATTGACTGCTTGATGTTTGGCTCCACAGTCCTCGCCGCCCGCCGCCACAGAACCTGATGGAGGTGGAAGTGCCCATCATCGGAACAGACAGTGCTTTTGTAACTACAACTCAAGAGACATCCGTATCACAGACAATATGCTGTGTGCGGGACTGAGCGAGGGAGGCAAGGACTCCTGCCAGGTAACAGGCCTGTCCCACCACTGTCCTGTATGGAGCTATTATTGTTTCAATAATATTTGTGTGTGCGTAAACAGATTTGTGTGTGCGTAAAAAGATTTGTGCGTGCGTAACCAGATTTGTGTGTACGTTAAAATATTGGTGCGTGGCGTAACCAGATTTGCGTGTGTGTAAAAGAAATATTTGTGCGTGTGTAAATAGATTTGTATAAACCAGTGGGGGAGGGTCCCAGCTCAAAAGTGGCCCAAAATGACGTGCGCTGACAGCTGCAATACCACCCCGGGCCGATGGGGGTGGACCCAGAAGAAGAATTAGCCAATGCTAACATATAGCGTTAGCAGACCTCTCAAAAACGTCTTTACAGGATGGACCAAAAGTTGGCTCTTGGCCCAAAGCTCCGTTCCACATGTGTGTCAATGCTGAGGGGGGTGTAAGTACGTAATCAATGATTTGTGTGTGCATTTGTATCTGTAACAGAACAATCTGTGTGTAAATAACCACCTTGTACGAAGAGAAGAACGGAAAAAGCCTAAGAGCTACGCACAGGCTCTGTTTTACACACAAATCTCTTTTTGACACACTTCTACCGCCAAGCGTGTGTCAAAAAGATTCGTAAGTGTAATGTGGTTGTTCTAGCAGTACACCAGCAGATGGTGCTGTTGTAGCTGGTTATTACCTACAGGCAAGCAAACCAAAACCTACTGCCTTGACAAGACACACTACCGCAACTGTTTATGATATTTTTTTCCTATTTTCAAAATCCTGTCATTCACACCACTGTATTATACATGGATCTATTATAATAACTGGATAGGGTGTTACTAGCTTGGAGCTGAAGGATTCTCGCGTACTGCAGACTAAATTCACGTGGGCTACACAGACATTTTCCCCATAGAACTCAAAGTAAACTAAAACAGCTGACAGAGAACCTGACAGAGAACCTACAGATTTCATAAAGGTCGGATTTTGTGGGAATTTTAGTGTTCCTTGTTACCCTGAACTTTTCTTCTTAAATCCTTCGGTTTTCTCTATCTACACTTTAGTGCCACAAACTCTGCTGGTTTGCTGCGTGTATAACCAGCTACAACAGCACCATCTGCTGGTGTACTGCTGGAACAACCACATTACACCTACGAATCTTTTTGACACACGCTTGGCGGTAGAAGTGTGTCAAAAAGAGATTTGTGTGTAAAACAGAGCCTGTGCGTAGCTCTTAGGCTTTTTTCGTTCTTCTCTTCGTACAAGGTGGTTATTTACACACAGATTGTTCTGTTACAGATACAAATGTCAAATTACACACACACAAATCTGGGTACAGACGCACACAGTCCAAGTTACACTTGCGAATCTGCGAAGGCAGGACTGCGTCAAAAGATTTGTGTGTAAAACTTGTTTTTTTCTTTACACACACACAAATCTTTCTACGCACACACAAATCTTTTTACGCAAACACAAATCTTAATACGTACATACAAATCTATTTACACACGCACAAATATTTCTTTTACACACACGCAAATCTGGTTACGCACGCACAAATCTTTTTACGTACACACAAATCTTTTTACGCACACACAAATCTTTTTACGCACACACAAATCTGTTTAGCACACACAAATATTATTGAAACAATAATAGCTCCATATCCTGCCTCTGACTCAATTCAATTCCATTTATTTGTGTATCGCCCTAAATCACAACAGTAGTTATCTCAAAGAACTTTACAAAGCTGTTGATTCACTAACACAGATCAGAGAATAGAAACAGTTCAAACACAGGGAATGTTATGATGGTACGGTGGCTGAGTGGTTAGCACTCTCAATTCTCAGCAGGAAGGTCCTGGGTTCAAATCCTGGTCTGAACAGGGTCCAAACAGGGCCTGGAGCTTGCATGTTATCCCCGTGTCCGGGTGCTCTGGTTTCCCCTACGGCCCTACCACTAAAACATACACATTAGGTCTGAACGGATGGTGTTGGTTGTAGGCTTTGATGGTCCAGTGCGCTCGGCGTCTCGCTTACATCATCATCGTGTGGATAGAATGAAACAATATCTGAACTCTGAACATTGTAAAGCGCTTTGGGTGATCTCGGTCTGTAAAAATGTGCTATATGAATAAAGATGAAGCTTACTACTTATACACTTACGATGGTCCATAAAGGGCAGACGACCTACATCCATAACTGTCCCATAACTGTCCCATAACTGTCCCATAACTGTCCTGGGTCATCACCCCGGTCCTTAGACACTCCTGCATCAGAGAGGAACAACTCTTAAAACTAGTAGGAAAAAGTGAGAAACCTCTGAGAGGCCCATCCAGGACTCAGGCTGTAGAACGAGGATTGTTGTCGGACTGATTCCGCAGTGTAGGAGCTTGGAGCTAAACGCTCCTTAGGAACCAGCAGACTTCTGGTGAAGCGCAGAGCTCTGTTTGGTTGTTATGACACTAAACTTGGAGGTAAGAAGGAGTCATGCCATTTATGGCTTTGTGTTAATAGACAGATTTTGGATGAGCTGGAATCTTTTTATGGAGGATTTAGGTCATGATACCAGCAGAGGGCGCTACAGTAGTCTGGGCTTCAGGTGACAAATGCGTGGATTCATTTTTCTACATCACTTATAGAATGTTCCTGATTTTAGGGATGTTGCGCAGGTGAAACATGCGGTTTAGTTGGTTCATATGTGACTTGAAGGAGACTTCTCGATCAATTACGGCCCCAAGATTCTTACAGTGTTGCGAGTTGCTACGCTAACAGTTCCGTGTGTTATAATGTTACAGACTGTGTATAAAGATATTGACGGACACCATGGACTCACGTTCAGTCACCTTTATTCACCATAACAGGAAGTCCCTACCTGCCGCGTAGAGCGGTGCATTGTGGGTAATGTAGTCTACCGCTACACCTCCTCCTTTTAGCTAAAGTCATGCTTCTTTATAAAGTGCTTTGAACAGCCAAACAAAATATACAGCATACTTAGCTTGAACATTTCAAATATAAAAACTGTCTTTAACCTTATATAACTTGCAAGCATCTTTTAACACTTTTTACAACATCATGCATACCATAGACATTTATGTATTTATGCAGATACTGGCCATATTTACAGGTCCATTCTCTCTGGAGGTCTCACCACCCGACCAGACCTAGTAATAGTCCCAGTAGGTCTTAGGTGTCTTCTATTTCTCCTTAAGAACCCTCTGTCAGTCTCTACTACGTACGATCTCGGAGCATTAGCTGGTCTAACTACTGCCCCGGTGGTTCCTTCAGTTGTAATCCACACTTTCTGTCCCGTCAATAGTTGTGGGAGTTGTCTAGCACGATGTCTCTGATTGTAATGCTTTGCCTGTTGACATCTCCCCTCCTCATCCCTTTTTCGAAAAATAACCAAATTGGGCCATTTAGGACTCTGTTTGGCATCGGTTTGGGGAAGAGAGGTCCGGAGGTTTCTCCCCATGAGCAGCTGCGCTGGCGAGAACCCATGTTCTAGAGGGGTGGCTCTGTATGCCAATAACGCTCTAGAGTAGTCACTGTCCTTTTTCCACAAGTCCTTAATGGTCCGAACCGCGCGCTCCGCCTCTCCATTGGCTTGGGGGTATCTGTGGCTGCTCGTAACATGTATGAACTTATGTTCTCTTGAAAACTGCCTGAACTGTTCAGAAGAAAACTGTGGCCCGTTATCGGATACCACAGTCTCTGCAGTTCCATGTCGTGCGAATACCTCTTTGACTGCCTTAATAGTGACCTCTGCTGATGTTTGTTTGAGTTCAGCTATCTCAATGTATCTAGAGAAGAAGTCAATAATAAGAAGGTACTGTTTCTTTGACCACTCAAACAGATCTATCCCGACCTTCTGCCAGGGACGGTCTGGAACAGGGGTAGGCAACAGTGGTTCTCGGTTCTGAATTCTATGTTTCTGACATATCTCACACTGTTCTACCATCTGACCTATCTGTGCTGAGATGCCTGGCCACCATACCGACTCTTTTGCCCGGGCCCTGCACTTTGAAATGCCTTGGTGGCCCTCATGCAGACATTGTAAAATATCTGCTCTCAGCGGAGATGGTATCACAAGTCTCTCCCCTTTCATAAGAAAGCCCTGTGCTACATGTAAGTCCATTCTGTGTTGCCAATACGCTGTTATGTCTGGGTCTAGCCTACACTTTTCTGGCCAGCCTGACTCACATTGTTTAATCACTTTTATACTCAGTTCGTCTTTACGCTGAGCTAACTTTATCTCCTCTAGCCTTTTATTTGAGGCTGGGAGATGGGTCACTACAGAGTCCACAAAAACCTCAACTTCTTTTTCGAACTGAAGATCTCCGTCCGAGGGCGGTCCTTCCAGTGGAGCCCGCGACAGAGCATCAGCGGTGACGAGGTTCTTCCCTGGAACGTGGACGATATTGAAAGAGAACCGCAGCAGCCTGAGGCGGAATCTCAGAATGCGCGGAGGAAGGTCGTCCAGGCCCCTTGTACTCAGAAGAGGGACCAGGGGCTTGTGATCAGTGATAAGTATGAACTTTAGTCCCATCAAATACGAATAAAGTCTTTCACACGCCCATGTGACTGCAAGCGCCTCCTTTTCTATGTGCGCGTAGCGCTTTTCAGTGTCAGTCAGTCCTCTGGAAATGTATGTTATAGGTCGCCACAAGCCGTCAGACTGCCTCTGTGTGAGTACGGCTCCAATGCCATATGGCGAGGCATCCGCGGCAACTCTTGTGTCTGCAGAGTTGGAGTACTGAGCAAGCACTTCAGGAGAGCTTAATATCTGCTTCAGTCTTTGAAAAGCTGTTTCCTGTGGCTCTGCCCAAATCCACTCGTTTCTCTCTCTCTGCAGCTCCTTTAACGGTGTTGTGATCGTTGCTAACTGTGGCATAAACTTAGCTAAATAGTTAGCCATGCCCATGAGGCGGCGTACATCTTCCACACTCTGCGGTTGCGGCAGCTGCTGTATTGCCTTCACCTTATTTGGGTCAGCCTCGATGCCTTTTGACGAAACTTTGTATCCCACAAAAAGGATGTCTCTTTTGGCAAACTCACACTTCTCATTAAGAGTGAGTCCCTCCTTTTGGAACCTTTGGAGAACTCCGTGTAATCTCTTGTCGTGCTCCTGTCTGTCTCTGCCATATACAAGGACATCATCAGCATGACAGATAACACCTTCAAAGTCCTCCAGCATCTGCGACATTCTCCTCTGGAAATGTTCGGACGCAGATGCTATTCCAAATGGAAGTCTGTTAAACTGAAACCTTCCAAAAGGCGTAATGAACGTTGTAAAAGGCCTTGACTGCGGCGTGAGAGGGATTTGCCAAAATCCACAACGAGCATCGAGCTTTGTGAATACTTTGGCATCTTTCATCATTGCTAATGTTTGGTCAACAGCTGGGAGAATATGTCGCTCTCTTTTCACTGCTGTGTTCAGGGACGTAAGGTCCACACATATTCTTGGGGGCTTATTTGCTGGTCTGGGGATCACTACAATGCCTGAACACCATTCTGTTGGCTTTGTAACTTTGGAAATGACCCCCATTTCTTCCATTCTTTGCAGCTCTATTCTCACTGCCTCTCTTAGGGGAAGAGGTACACCTCGTGGAGCAGACAGGGCTACAGGTACTGCTCCCTGCTCCAGATCTATGTTGTAAGGCTCTTTCAACTTTCCTAAACCTTTAAACACATCTGGGTATGCTGCTCTGAAATCTGTATCAGTTTCAGTGACTGTGTCAACTCTGCACACTAGTCCTAAAGCCTCACATGCTGGTCTGCTCAACAGTGGCTGTACTAGACCTGACACAAGGTAAACATCCTGTGACATACTGCGCCCTTTAACTACTAACTTTGCCTCAAAGCAGCCCTTTACTTTTAGTGGGTAACTGCCTGGGCCTAATAGTTTCTTTCTAGGCACCTGCAGCTTGCCATCTCTGTCTGGTCTATACAGTTTCTCTGGAATAGAAGTAACGTCTGCCCCAGTATCAAGTTTGAATTCAACATTTTCCCCATTTAATTCAATATTTTGCACCCAGGGCGCCGACCTCACTGTTCCTATTTCACCCAGAAACACACAGTCCTCACCGTTTGAATAAGGTTGGTTTTCTGTCACTTCACGTAACGCTGCAGCCTCACTAGTGCGACATACCGCAGCAAAATGTCCTTTCTTCTGACATTTTCTGCACTGAGCCTCTTTAGCTGGACAGTCTTTCCATGAGTGTTTGTCCTTTCGTCCACAGCGACCACACTCTTTTCCATTTTGCATTACTGGCTTTTGTTCTTTCTTTTGCCATGACTGCATTTTTCCTCTGTTTTTATTTGTTCTTATCAAATCCATATTCAGAGATCGTTCCTCTGCAGAGCTGCTGTGGAGAATAGCTTGTTGCTTCTTTACAGTTTCACTCTGTCTGACTTTATGTATGGCTTTAGCAAGAGTTAATTCTGAGTCCATTTGTAGTTGCTCTGACAGTCTTTTGTCTCTTATGCCAACTACAATTCTGTCCCTTATAAGTTCTTCTTTTAGCACTCCAAATCCACAATTATCTGCTAATTTGTGTACAGATGTGATGAATGTCTCTGCACTCTCACCATCCTGTTGACGTCTGGAGTTGAACTGCGCTCTTTCAAAAATTACATTATGTTTTCCCACATAATGCTGTTCAAACGCTGTTTTGACTGCTTCATACTTCTTCTTGTCGTCTTCATTCAGTGGTAAAACAGCCAAAACGTCATCTGCTGCATCACCCATTGCATACAGGAGTGAATTCACTTGGTATTCTTCTGATTTACCGTCAAGAGCTGTTGCAATACGAAACCTTTCAAATCTTCTGATCCACTTCGGCCATTCTGAAGGATGTGAAAAGTCAAATGTCTCTGGGGGAGTTATTTGTACTGTGGTCGCCATCTCTGTTGGTAGATTCCTGGCTTCTTCGCGTTCAGAATCAGAACTCTCGGATGCGCTCTCATGTACGTCTCCCTCCGCCGACATACCACGTGCGGTCGTAACCTAGCAACACTCTCGCAGCTAGCACCTTGCACCGGTGACTGCCTTCGCCTGTGTGACGGTCATTTTCGGTCTTAAAAGTGCACGTAAAACTTCTTCCGCAAGTTAACTACACTTACTGCATCCAAAAATATCGCGGAGACTTGCAGTTCGCCGCTTCTGACACCATGTATAATGATATAGACGGACACCATGGACTCACGTTCAGTCACCTTTATTCACCATAACAGGAAGTCCCTACCTGCCGCGTAGAGCGGTGCATTGTGGGTAATGTAGTCTACCGCTACAGACTGCTGTTTGTGAAGTGTGACCCGGCTTATGTGTGCAGGGGGATTCTGGGGGTCCTCTGGTGAGAAAACAAAATGGCCGCTGGATCCAGGCTGGAGTGGTGAGCTTCGGAATCGGTTGCGCTCTGCCTGATTTACCTGGGGTCTATGCCCGAGTGTCCCGCTATGAGGCCTGGATAAACAGTCACATCACAGCCAACCAGCCCGGCTTCATCGCCTTCAGCTCCTCTGGCACCGACAGCGATCAGAGCGTCACCTGCCCTTCTCTTCCATCAACTAACACCACTACTACACCACCCAACACCACTACTACACCACCCAACACCATCGACATTGCTGCAGGTAAGTCCCGCCCACTGCCCGACAGTGCAGTTTTCACCTCCACACTTTCGCTATAGAAAAGATGCTACTAAACACTGGCCAAAAAGGTACCGCTGAGCAGCCAGTTGTTCCTATACTTTTGGACTCATCAAAAGTGGGCGGTGAAGATAAAAACTGGTTAGATTCCTACAGCATTCACTTGACTGAAATCTAAATATCCTCCACCTGAACCTGACACTCTGCAGTTCAAGCACAGCTTATTTGTGTCATTTCAAATCTCTTGTGGTGCTGTAGAGACCATCCCAATATGTATATACCTGACAGTATGTGTGACTTGTGCCCTTAGTGTGTGGGATGGCACCCAAAAACAGCCGGATTGTCGGAGGCCAGGCTGCACCTGATGGAGCCTGGCCCTGGCAGGTCAGTATCCACAGAGGAGGTCACACCTGTGGAGGCTCCCTCATCAACAACATGTGGGTGCTGAGCGCGGCGCACTGCATGAGGTGAGGAGCCTTTGAACACAGACACCTAAAACTGCATTTGTACAGGTCCTAAATCTCACCCCTTCCTGTTTCCTGTCTGCAGTGGTGATGCCAGTGAATACTCTGTGTTCATCGGGCGTCAAAGCCAACAGGGCCCCAACCCCAACGAAGTGAGTCGCACCATCACTCAGTTCATCAACCACCCGGACTACAACGAGGCCACCAGCGATAACGACATGTCACTGCTCAAGCTGTCCTCCTCCGTCACCTTCACAGACTACATAAAGCCTGTGTGCCTGGCGGCCTCCGGCAGTGCCTTCCACAATGGCACAGACACCTGGATCACAGGCTGGGGGAGCATCAATTCTGGAGGTGAGACGTGGTAATTTGTGAAAAGTAAATATTATCCAAATCTGTCTGAGCTTCAAAGCCTTGGAGATGCTGATTGCATCTTGCAGCTCGACCAGAAGCAACAGGTGGGTTTCTCCCAGAGACACACCATAGATACATAGAAGGACAATGCTAACCCGCTCTGTGGAGCTAGCAACCAAGTCACCATTTTGGGCTTCTGTGGTTTAGTGGTCTCTGTAACCCTGGTGTTTACATTATGATGTTGCCTTTGTAAATCTAGATAAGAGCTACTGTATATAAGGACTGACCAAACTCCAACTTACCTTGGCAACCATGTCCCTGTTCCTCACTGAGCTCCTTCTGAGCGGTGGCAGCAGCTCTCTGTCTTTTAGTCATTTTGTATAGATTTATTTTATTGATGCTTGATGTTTGGCTCCACAGTTCCTCTGCCGCCGCCACAGAACCTGATGGAGGTGGAAGTGCCCATCATCGGGAACAGACAGTGCTTTTGTAACTACAACTCAAGAAACATCCGTATCACAGACAATATGCTGTGTGCGGGACTGAGCAAGGGAGGCAAGGACTCCTGCCAGGTAACAGCCTGTCCCACCACTGTCCTGTATGGAGCTATTATTGTTTCAATAATATTTGTGTGTGCGTAAACAGATTTGTGTGTGCGTAAAAAGATTTGTGCGTGCGTAACCAGATTTGTGTGTACGTTAAAATATTTGTGCGTGCGTAACCAGATTTGCGTGTGTGTAAAAGAAATATTTGTGCGTGTGTAAATAGATTTGTATATACCAGTGGGGGAGGGTCCCAGCTCAAAAGTGGCCAAAATGACGTGCGCTGACATGCTGCAATACCACCCCGGGCCGATGGGGGTGGACCCAGAAGAAGAATTAGCCAATGCTAACATATAGCGTTAGCAGACCTCTCAAAAACGTCTTTACAGGATGGACCAAAAGTTGGCTCTTGGCCCAAAGCTCCGTTCCACATGTGTGTCAATGCTGAGGGGGGTGGATTTTTTTGGTCCACTCTAGTTTACTTGCTGTGAATTTTTAAAATCTCTCGTTCAAATTAATGGAGCTGCGCCGGCTGACACATGCGCAGATGCGTTTTTTCACAATTTTCTTGTGGGCGGGACCACTCACGGCCATTTTGGATTGCTCCAGTAGAGCACATTTTTTGGCCCATTAGTTAGAACGGCAGAGATAGGCGTGACTCTGTCCATTAATATATACAGTCCATGGTATGTACGTATCAAGATTTGTGTGTGCGTAAAAAGATTTGTGTGTGCGTAGAAAGATTTGTGTGTGTGTAAAGAAAAAAAAAGTACGTTTTACACACAAATCTTTTGACGCAGTCCTGCCTTCGCAGATTCGCAAGTGTAACTTGGACTGCGTGCGTCTGTACCCAGATTTGTGTGTGTGTAATTTGACATTTGTATCTGTAACAGAACAATCTGTGTGTATGACCACCTTGTACGAAGAGAAGAACGGAAAAAGCCTAAGAGCTACGCACAGGCTCTGTTTTACACACAAATCTCTTTTTGACACACTTCTACCGCCAAGCGTGTGTCAAAAAGATTCGTAGGTGTAATGTGGTTGTTCTAGCAGTACACCAGCAGATGGTGCTGTTGTAGCTGGTTATTACCTACAGGCAAGCAAACCAAAACCTACTGCCTTGACAAGACACACTACCGCAACTGTTTATGATATTTTTTTCCTATATTCAAAATCCTGTCATTCACACCACTGTATTATACATGGATCTATTATAATAACTGGATAGGGTGTTACTAGCTTGGAGCTGAAGGATTCTCGCGTACTGCAGACTAAATTCACGTGGGCTACACAGACATTTTCCCCATAGAACTCAAAGTAAACTAAAACAGCTGACAGAGAACCTACAGCTTTCATAAAGGTTGGATTTTGTGGGAATTTTAGTGTTCCTTGTTACCCTGAACTTTTCTTCTTAAATCCTTCGGTTTTCTCTATCTACACTTTAGTGCCACAAACTCTGCTGGTTTGCTGCGTGTATAACCAGCTACAACAGCACCATCTGCTGGTGTACTGCTGGAACAACCACATTACACCTACGAATCTTTTTGACACACGCTTGGCGGTAGAAGTGTGTCAAAAAGAGATTTGTGTGTAAAACAGAGCCTGTGCGTAGCTCTTAGGCTTTTTTTGTTCTTCTCTTCGTACAAGGTGGTTATTTACACACAGATTGTTCTGTTACAGATATAAATGTCAAATTACACACACATAAATCTGGGTACAGATGCACACAGTCCAAGCTACACTTGCGAATCTGCGAAGGCAGGACTGTGTCAAAAGATTTGTGTGTAAAAAAAAAACTTGTGTGTAAAACTAACTTTTTTTTTTCTTTACGCACACACAAATCTTTCTACGCACACACAAATCTTTTTACGCACACACAAATCTTGATACGTACATACAAATCTATTTACACACGCACAAATATTTCTTTTACACACACGCAAATCTGGTTACGCACGCACAAATCTTTTTACGTACACACAAATCTGGTTACGCACACACAAATCTGGTTACGCACATACAAATCTGGTTACGCACACACAAATCTGGTTACGCACACACAAATCTGGTTACGCCCGCACAAATCTTTTTACGTACACACAAATCTGGTTACGCACACAAATATTATTGAAACAATAATAGCTCCATATCCTGCCTCTGACTCAATTCAATTCCATTTATTTGTGTATCGCCCTAAATCACAACAGTAGTTATCTCAAAGAACTTTACAAAGCTGTTGATTCACTAACACAGATCAGAGAATAGAAACAGTTCAAACACAGGGAATGTTATGATGGTACGGTGGCTGAGTGGTTAGCACTCTCAATTCTCAGCAGGAAGGTCCTGGGTTCAAATCCTGGTCTGAACAGGGTCCAAACAGGGCCTGGAGCTTGCATGTTATCCCCGTGTCCGGGTGCTCTGGTTTCCCCTACGGCCCTATCACTAAAACATACACATTAGGTCTGAACGGATGGTGTTGGTTGTAGGCTTTGATGGTCCAGTGCGCTCGGCGTCTCGCTTACATCATCATTGTGTGGATAGAATGAAACAATATCTGAACTCTGAACATTGTAAAGCGCTTTGGGTGATCTCGGTCTGTAAAAATGTGCTATATGAATAAAGATGAAGCTTACTACTTATACACTTACGATGGTCCATAAAGGGCAGACGACCTACATCCATAACTGTCCCATAACTGTCCCATAACTGTCCCATAACTGTCCCATAACTGTCCTGGGTCATCACCCCGGTCCTTAGACACTCCTGCATCAGAGAGGAACAACTCTTAAAACTAGTAGGAAAAAGTGAGAAACCTCTGAGAGGCCCATCCGGGACTCAGGCTGTAGAACGAGGATTGTTGTCGGACTGATTCCGCAGTGTAGGAGCTTGGAGCTAAACGCTCCTTAGGAACCAGCAAACTTCTGGTGAAGCGCAGAGCTCGGTTTGGTTGTTATGACACCAAACTTGGAGGTAAGAAGGAGTCATGCCATTTATGGCTTTGTGTGTTAATAGACGGATTTTGGATGAGCTGGAATCTTTTTATGGAGGATTTAGGTCATGATACCAGCAGAGGGCGCTACAGTAGTCTGGGCTTCAGGTGACAAATGCGTGGATTCATTTTTCTACATCACTTATAGAATGTTCCTGATTTTAGGGATGTTGCGCAGGTGAAACATGCGGTTTAGTTGGTTCATATGTGACTTGAAGGAGACTTCTCGATCAATTACGGCCCCAAGATTCTTACAGTGTTGCGAGTTGCTACGCTAACAGTTCCGTGTGTTATAATGTTACAGACTGCTGTTTGTGAAGTGTGACCCGGCTTATGTGTGCAGGGGGATTCTGGGGGTCCTCTGGTGAGAAAACAAAATGGCCGCTGGATCCAGGCTGGAGTGGTGAGCTTCGGAATCGGTTGCGCTCTGCCTGATTTACCTGGGGTCTATGCCCGAGTGTCCCGCTATGAGGCCTGGATAAACAGTCACATCACAGCCAACAGGCCCGGCTTCATCGCCTTCAGCTCCTCTGGCACCGACAGCGATCAGAGCGTCACCTGCCCCGGTCTGTCTCCTGCTGTCACCACCACCACCACCACCACACCTGCACGTAAGGCCTGCCCACCACACCTGCACCTAAACCCTGCCCACCACACTTTCACCTAAGCCCCGCCCACCACACTTTCACCTAAGCCCCGCCCACCACACCTGCACCTAAATCCTGCCCACCACACCTATACCTAAGGCAAGGCAAGTTTATTTGTATGGCACAGTTCATACACAAGTGCTGAACAACAAGATGGAAACAATCACAAAAGGCATTAAAATCATAAATAATCACAGAACATAAAAAGATAAAATCCTTCAGTTTTATGCACAGCTAAACCACACTGTTTTTAACAAGGATTCAAACACTGTCAGATAAAAAAGTATCTCACATTTTCTGAAATATTGTTCCAGACTTTAGCCTCTAGTCTCTGTGAGGACCACCCAGTCCTCTAGTCTCTGTGAGGACCACCCAGTCCTCTAGTCTCTGTGAGGACCACCCAGTCCTCTAGTCTCTGTGAGGACCACCCAGTCCTCTAGTCTCTGTGAGGACCACCCAGTCCTCTAGTCTCTGTGAGGACCACCCAGTCCTCTAGTCTCTGTGAGGACCACCCAGTCCTCTAGTCTCTGTGAGGACCACCCAGTCCTCTAGTCTCTGTGAGGACCACCCAGTCCTCTAGTCTCTGTGAGGACCACCCAGTCCTCTAGGATCTGTGAGGACCACCCAGTCCTCTAGTCTCTGTGAGGACCACCCAGTCCTCTAGGATCTGTGAGGACCACCCAGTCCTCTAGGGTCTGTGAGGACCACCCAGTCCTCTAGGCCCCAGTCTCTGTCTGTGAGGACCACCCAGTCCTCTAGGATCTGTGAGGACCACCCAGTCCTCTAGGATCTGTGAGGACCACCCAGTCCTCTAGGGTCTGTGAGGACCACCCAGTCCTCTAGGGTCTGTAAGAGGATCTCATGGTCTGTAGGCTGTACTCAGATCCAACAGGATTAAGACTGAGACTTTGCAGTGACAGTGTTCAGATGGATATTGTTTGTTAGCTTAATAACAGCGGCCTCATTCTGTGGTCGGGGTCAAAACTCAGAAACTAAGAAATCTAGTAAGCTGTTGGTGGACAACTTTTTCAAGGACTTTCCCCATTAATGTCAGATTTGAGATGGGACGATAGTTGTTAAATTACAGTGCTCTGTAGGAGGGGCCAGTTTTCCGGGCCTTTGGGAATGTTCCAGAATGAAGGGATATGTTTACTATCTACGTGAAATAAACTAGAAAATCTAGTGGGTAGTACATCCAGACCGCATGTGGAGGAACTCAGACTTGTGATTATCTCTTGGACAGTTTAGGAAGATTCATCTTGTGTTCTTAGTAGAATTAAAAGTATTGGGTTCTGTACATGGGATCCGGTACATGGGATCCACTTCTCCAGCGACCACCACTGGACGGCAGGGGGCGCAGTCAGCCCAGTAAACCACATAGGTTGGCTGGGTTGACTGCGCCTGGGAACAGCAGATGATAAAAGGCACATCATGTATGACGTCGCAAGACGCTTCTGAGGAAGACGGAAGTTATCCGTCGAAACATGTCGTAATAACATCACAAAACCTTATAATGTCTGGTATAGAAGAACCCAATACTTTTGATCTCTTGGACAGTTTTATCATCCACGCCCCTCCCACCATACCTGCACCTAAGCCCCTCCCACCACATCTGCACCTAAGCCCCTCCCACCACACCTGCATGTAAGCTCCTCCCACCACACCTGCACCTAAGCCCCTCCCACCACATCTGCACCTAAGCCCCTCCCACCACACCTGCATGTAAGCTCCTCCCACCACACCTGCATGTAAGCTCCTCCCACCACACCTGCATGTAAGCCCCTCCCACCACACCTGCATGTAAGCCCCTCCCACCACACCTGCATGTGTAAGCCCCTCTGTGTCTCAGATCCTGATGTGTGTTACAGCGGTGGTGTGTGTCTCAGATCCTGATGTGTGTTACAGCGGTGGTGTGTGTCTCAGATCCTGATGTGTGTTACAGTGGTGGTGTGTGTCTCAGATCCTGATGTGTGTTACAGCGGTGGTGTGTGTGTCAGATCCTGATGTGTGTTACAGCGGTGGTGTGTGTCTCAGATCCTGATGTGTGTTACAGCGGTGGTGTGTGTCTCAGATCCTGATGTGTGTTACAGCGGTGGTGTGTGGTCAGGCCCCCCTGAACAGCCGCATCTCTGGGGGGATGTGGCCCTGGACGGCGAGTGTCCAGAAGAACCAGGTTCATGTCTGTGGAGCAGCTCTGGTGTCAGAGGACTCTGTGCTGAGCGACAGCAGCTGCTTCAGGTACGAGACCAAGCCCCGGTGATCCAAGATGGCTCCCTGTTCAAATGAATGGCATGTGCTCAGTAGCGCATGGGACTTCACAGGGACCAAAAGATTAGCAGAACTCGCCTATATTTGGGCAACGTCTGGTCCTCCTGGTTCTGTGCAGTGGATGAGCTCCTATGATGCGTTGCGCCAAATACGAGTGTGTGGCTCTCATGCACGTGCACAGAGGGGCTCGGCCACGCTCTGACCAATCAGAGCTGCTGATCAGAGCAGAGTTAGAGTTGAGTCAGAGCGGGAAGGAAAGGAGCAGAGTTTTTGGCAGTAAAGTGTGGATTTAAAGAAAACAGAAGGATTTAAGAAGAAAAAAGGTTCAGAATGACAAGGGACACTAAAATCCCCACAAAATCCGATCTTTATGGACTTTTTTCTGGGTAGCCCATGTAAATATAGTCTGCAGTACCACGGGCGCATAAGCTAGTAATACCCTATCCAGTTATTATTATAGATCCATGGTCAGAGAACTCTAGAGCTGACTCTGGAATATTCTGAAAACATTAATTTACAAAGTTTTGAAAGTTTCCAAGATTTCTGTTTCCTTAAATTATGTCTTGAATGTTTATATCATTTGACCCGTCTCTCTGAAGCCTCTGTATTTGACCCGTCTCTCTGAAGCCTCTGTGTTTGACCCGTCTCTCTGAAGCCTCTGTATTTGACCCGTCTCTCTGAAGCCTCTGTGTTTGACCCGTCTCTCTGAAGCCTCTGTATTTGACCCGTCTCTCTGAAGCCTCTGTGTTTGACCCGTCTCTCTGAAGCTTCTGTGTTTGACCCATCTCTCTGAAGCCTCTGTGTTTGACCCGTCTCTCTGAAGCCTCTGTATTTGACCCGTCTCTCTGAAGCCTCTGTGTTTGACCCGTCTCTCTGAAGCCTCTGTGTTTGACCCGTCTCTCTGAAGCCTCTGTGTTTGACCCGTCTCTCTGAAGCCTCTGTATTTGACCCGTCTCTCTGAAGCCTCTGTGTTTACTCTTGCAGCTCTCTGAACGTCTCTGGTTGGAGCGTGGTGTTGGGTGGGTCAAATGCTCAGCGGGTCAATGTCAGTAACATCAGTGTGAGTAACAGTGGAGCTGCAGATGTGGCTGTGCTGCGTCTGGCCTCCAAACCCTCTCTGTCCAAATACATCCAACCCATCTGCATCGATGACGGGCGCCGTTTTGACCTTGGCACGCTCTGCTACTGGACACAGGTCAGAGGTCAGTCACCCTAACCCAGAAGTCAGAGGTCAGTCACCCAAACCCAGAGGTCAGTCAGGACCCTGAGAGCAGGACTACCCTCAGAGAACAGTGTGAGCTCTTGGAGAGTGACATTAGTACTTGTCTTTTGCTTCTGAATGTCTCGTTCTGGTCTTTGATTACTGAAACGTCAGTGCATTGTGAAGTGTGTTTATGGACAGTGATGTGGTGTCTCCAGGTGAGCAGACCCTTCAGGAGTTCCAGACCTCAGTCCTGAGCTGTGGAGACACATCCTCTTCAGACGTCCTTTGCACCGGGGTCTTCACTCTGGACCAGGTGAGGTGTGGACCAGATGAGGTCCTGAATCTGGTGTTACAGGAAAACTGGCTTTAATCATGTTCTCGTACCCTTGTTATTGAATCAGAATCAGAATCATTTTTATTGCCACGTAAGTAACAGGAAGTCACAGACTTGGAAATTGCTTTGGCTCAGTGCAACAGTCAGAAAGAGATAATAAAAATAAAGAATAAAAATAAAGAATAAAAAACACTTCTAAAGAATAAATTTACATTTAAAATAGAGTTACAGTTACTATTTACAATATACAAGTGCACATGGTGCACACAATGTAAGGTGACAGCAGTACAGTGAAGTAAAGTGACGTATGATGGGCAGTAAAGTGACTTTATAAAGGGCGGGGGGGACAGGTTAAGAAGTGTTCAAGAGTCCAACAGCAGAGGGGAAGAAACTGTTGTGGCGGGAGGTTCTAGTCCTGATGGACCGCAGCCTCCTGCCTGAGGGGAGTGGTTGGAATAGTCCATGTGCAGGGTGAGAGGGGTCGGCTGTGATACGACCAGCCCGGCCTCGAGCTCGGGCGACGTATAGGTCCTGCAGCGATGGAAGGCTGCGGCCGATCACTTCCTCTGCAGAGCGCACAATGCGCTGTAGTCTCTGTTTCTCCCTGACTGTGGCTCCAGCAAACCACACGGTGACGGAGGAGGTGAGGATGGACTCGATGATGGCCGTGTAGAACTGCACCAACATCTGTGCAGGCAGCTTGGCTTTCCTGAGCTGCCGCAGGAAGTACATCCTCTGCTGGGCCTTCTTGATGAGGAGCTGATGGTCGGCTCCCACTTGAGGTCCTGGGTGATGGTGGTGCCCAGGAAACGATAGGACTCCACAGAGGTGATGGGGGAGTCCATCACGGAGGGTGGGGGCGGGGGGACAGTGCTCTTCCTGAAGTCCACAATCATCTCCACTGTCTTCTGGGCGTTCAGCTCCAGGTTGTTACCACTGCACCAGGACACCAGCCGGTCCACCTCCCTCCTGTAGGCGGACTCATCGTTGTTGGAGATGAGTCCAATGAGGGTGGTGTCGTCCGCGAACTTGATCAGCTTCACGGAGTCGTGGCTGGAGGTGCAGTGGTTGGTGTACAGGGAGAAGAGCAGGGGAGAAAGAACACAGCCCTGTGGGGCTCCTGTATTTATAATCCGAGAGTCCGAGACATTCTTCCCCAGACGCACTCGCTGCTTCCTGTCCGTCAGGAAGTCAGTGATCCACCTGCAGGTGGAATCGGGCACGTTGAGCTGGGAGAGCTTGTCCTGGAGCAGGGATGGCAGGATTGTGTTGAAGGCAGAGCTGAAGTCCACGAACAGGACCCTGGCGTAGGTCCCCGGGGAGTCCAGGTGCTGTAGGATGTGGTGGAGGGCCAGGTTAATGGCGTCGTCTACAGATCTGTTGGCTCTGTAGGCGAACTGCAGGGGGTCCAGGAGGGGGGAGGTCAGGGACTTGAGATGGGAGAGGACCAGGCGTTCAAATGACTTCATGACGACAGACGTAAGTGCTACAGGTCTGTAGTCGTTGAGTCCTGTGATCCTGGGCTTCTTCGGGACGGGGACAATGATGGAGGATTTGAAGCAGGCTGGGACATGGCAGGACTGCAGAGAGGTGTTGAAAATAGTAAAAACAAAAGAAAAAGAGAGCAGCAAAGAGCCGTGTCGACAGTACGAGGCGCCATCTTTGTTGTCATGACTTCTCTGTGATCAGGGGTTTAAACTGTCTCTCTCTCTGTTTTCTGGTCCTTGTTCTCTGGTCTCTCTCTGGTCTGTGGTCTCTCTCTGGTCAATGGTCTCTCTCTGGTCTGTGGTCTCTCTCTGGTCCCTGGTCTCTCTCTGGTCTGACCAGTCTCTTCTCTGCCTCACCAGGGGGACCTTGGGGGCCCTCTCATGTGTAAAGTAGAGGGTTCCTGGTTCCAGGCCGTGGTTCTGTCCAACAGCAGCAGCAGGAACCGAGCCCAAGTCCAGACCTTCACCAAACTGAGCTCCTACAAGAGCTTCCTGATCTCCGCCGTGGGCCCCTTCCTGTCCCCGCCCTCGCCAGCCACAGCCGCCACAGCCGCCACAGCTGCCACAGCTGCCCCAACGACTTCCACAGCCGACTCCACAACCCCCCTGCTGCTCCCTCACCTGCTGCTCTCTCACCTTCTGCTCTTTCACCTGCTGCTCCGGGGCTGAAGCTGGAACTGTATGTGAAGGAGTTTCATGAGAATCAGAGAAACAATCAGGACATTAAATTAAATCAATTCTTTATTATGTATCTATAATTCCACTACAGACTCAGGTCTCTCTCCAGGACTGTGTCTCAGACTCGGGTCTCTCTCCAGGACTGTGTCTCAGACTCGGGTCTCTCTCCAGGACTGTGTCTCAGACTCGGGTCTCTCTCCAGGACTGTGTCTCAGACTCAGGTCTCTCTCCAGGACTGTGTCTCAGACTCAGGTCTCTCTCCAGGACTGTGTCTCAGACTCAGGTCTCTCTCCAGGACTGTGTCTCAGACTCGGGTCTCTCTCCAGGACTGTGTCTCAGACTCGGGTCTCTCTCCAGGACTGTGTCTCAGACTCAGGTCTCTCTCCAGGACTGTGTCTCAGACTCGGGTCTCTCTCCAGGACTGTGTCTCAGACTCAGGTCTCTCTCCAGGACTGTGTCTCAGACTCGGGTCTCTCTCCAGGACTGTGTCTCAGACGTGTCCAAACCATGGACCAAAAGCTCGGTTTATCTTTTTAATCTTCTGTCACTCTTTAGACAGAGGACCCTCACTCAGCCAATCAGCTCTCAGTCCAAAGAGGCAGATACTGACTCTCAGGGACGATGACTCTCAGGGCCGATGACTCTCAGGGACGATGACAGTAATAGCTTCTGTGTAATTCATGTGACTGAAGTTATGTCCCTGAGCTTTAAGCCTGTTCTCCCTGTTACAGACTGAGATCAAAGCTCTGATGAGGAGGTTCCGGTGTAACGCCGAGATACACTGTCTTGAAGAGATGCACTGCCTCAGCTGTTTATGATGTAATGCAAACCTGCGCATGCGCGTCTCACGGCAACCGAAGCATACCAAGATGGCGGACCGTGAATTGCTAAAAGTTGAAATACGAACGAATCAAGACACGAATGTCACTTTTAATGCAATTTGAGGCGAGATGTTGATGGTCCCGTTTTGTCACATGTGGGTTTTAAGAGTCAAAGTTTCGTGCAAAGTTTAGTTTAAGCAGTCAACTGCGCCTGTGAAACCACAAAGCTAATGTTTTCATAGCAGTCCGCGGCTGCTGACGTAGGCTGATGACGCGTCCTCTGGCAACTCTACACTCTTACACTGGTCTGTCGGGTTGATAATGGAAAATGGGGAAAAAAATCAATCTAATTAAATATTTTGTTTGAACACACTATTGTTAATCATATTAAATACAGTACGATACATGTATTGAATGAAATTTATTATTTCCATTATCAACCCGACAGACCAGTGAGTGTAGAGTTGCCAGAGGACGCGTCATCAGCCTACGTCAGCAGCCGCGGACTGCTATGAAAACATTAGCTTTGTGGTTTCACAGGCGCAGTTGACTGCTTAAACTAAACTTTGCACAAAACTTTGACTCTTAAAACCCACATGTGACAAAACGGAACCATCAACATCTCGCCTCAAATTGCATTAAAAGTGACATTCGTGTCTTAATTCGTTCGTATTTCAACTTTTAAAGCAATTCACGGTCCGCCATCTTGGTATGCTTCGGTTGCCGTGAGACGCGCATGCGCAGGTTTGCATTACATCATAAACAGCTGAGGCAGTGCATCTCTTCAAGGCAGTGTATCTCGGCGTTACACTTGAACTCCTCAAGTATTTGCACTAAACCATATGTGAAGCCTACTATGTGACGTTTGTGGGTGTTTCTTGGTATTGTTGATTATAAAGATTTCTGTTGTGATTTTAATAAAGACTGTTCTTCAAACTTGTATCTGGACCATGTGTGGTTCACTTGAGTCTGGACCATGTGTGGTTCAATTATTTCTGGACCATGTGTGTCACTCACGAAACACATCACACACTTTGTATTATATTATTTATTGACATGGTTTATCAGGAAAGTGTAGTTTACAAAAAAGTTATACAAAACAAATAAACAAAATATAAGATTTAGTCAGAAAAAGTTATCTGTTATAACAATTCTAAAACTATTGTAGAAATGAGTTTGTTTATTTTATCATAAGCAATGGCTTAAATCTGTGGTTTCTCTGATCCTGCTGTTTATATGTGATGTTGTCTTTGTGAATCCAGATAAGACCATATAAGGACTGACCAATCAGACGGTCTAGAGTTAAATATTTAGTGAATAAGACCAATCATCACAGCTCTAAGTCCCTCTGTTGTTTTCTGTAGTCTGTGCTTCTTTGTCACGTGTGTAAAGGCCACCAGTGGGAGGGGCCTCTGCTCAATGGGAGGGGCCTCTGGTCAGTGGGAGGAGCCTCATTTGATGCGAATCTCGAAGCAGAGACAGTTGCAGGACTCACACTCTGGAGGCTGACAGGTGCAGGCACAGTCCAGAGCCGAACACTGAGGACAACAACATGTGACATCACAATGTGAGGAGCTAAATATCGACCAGCTCTACTGTACTGTACTCTACTCAACTTGACTTGACGCGGCCTGGTACTAAAGTGTTCAAACTGACAGTGATTGGCCAGAGTGCTGCTGGGAGACATGGTTACCAAGGAATTTACCCGGTAACTGTTTTTTGCAAGGATACAGTAGCAGATACTAAAGTGTAATGGAAACAACCCAGTGGAGTACAGTAGAGGAGAATAGAGTAGAGTAGAAGTACCTGAGTTCGGGTATTCTGGCCTGTAGTGTTATATTGTAACCATGGTGACTCACAGAGGGGCGGGGGCAGGAGTATGTGGGTGTAGTGTAACCATGGCGACTCACAGAGGGGGTGGGGCAGGAGCTCAGACTGCTGTAGCTGAAGCAGGATCTCAGCGACGGAGGACGACAGTCACAAACTTCGGCCATTTTAAAACAGTTTTCACAGAGAGAGACTCCAGAGCAACAGTCCGAGCAGGACACGGAGCAGCGGTCCTGGATACAGAGACCAGCAATCACACCAGCAACCAAACATCAGAACACAGAGCAGAGAGACCAGCCATCACACCAGCAACCAAACACCAGAACACAAATGAAACTACAGGAGCAGCAGACACATGTACTGGGCCTAAACTACCACTGTCCATGGGCCATACTGGAGTACGAGGCAGGTGAGACCCAGCCTCACCTAAGATCATGGAAAGTTAAAAAAAATGTATAAAATGGAAACAATATTAGTTGGTCACTATATCAAGTGATTTGTGCTATTGTATCATTTCAATGTAACTTTGCCTCGTTTCATTTATTTTTACCTTGAAATCGCACATTTTTGTTATATTCTTCTCATATTTGACAGAGCGAGCCTCTCTTGGAGACGTAAAAGCCACAGCGCACAGAGGGAGAAGCCCGTGCAGTGCTAAGTGTTTTCTCTGTTTATCTCAGTTTACAGTTCAAAGTGGGGTTAAGTGTCTTGCCCAAGGACACAACGACAGCAGTCATCAGTGGGAGTTGTGGATTTAAATGCTTCCAATGATGATAGTAATGATAAGGAAGAAAAGTGAAGGGTAAGAACTGGTTAAGAACTGGTTAATTTTAGAAATTAGATGCTGAGTTGGTTACGACAGCGGGAGACATCCGTTTTGTTTTACTTTATTCCGGACTTAAAAATGAAACTGGTCTGCACTGAAGGGGTCTGTGCAGTTCATTTATAAGGTAAGACCAAACACACTTTTAAATGTGCTTTTTCATACTTTTCCGTTTTGTATGCGCAAACATGAAACATATTCTGCTGTAGCCAAACACATTGTGAATAAGCTGCTCTGTAGTTTCTGTTATATATCACGTACATTGGATTGGGCTGAAGTCAGTGCCTCACCAATCACCAACGTCTGGGAACACCAGATGCCACAGTGGGGAGGCTGCGGCTTTAAAGTGCCAAACTGTGGTTGTGTCTCCCATCACAGCACTAACCAGGCCCTGTCCTGCTGAGCTTCAGAGTTCTGGTGTACATGTGTGTGCTGGTACCTTGAGGCAGTAGCGGAGCCAAAGAGCAGCCCCCAGCAGTAGCAGGTAGGCCCCCACTGAGATGAGGACGATGGCGGGCAGAGGGAGGGCGAGATGCCACACCCAGACCTCCTGCTGACACGTTAAAGGGAGGGGATGTAAGTTCAGGTCAGGACAGCTTACATTTGGATTCATCATGATAGATGTAGAACATGGTTATTTCTGCAGGTTTTGACCATATCAAGACTGACTGAGTGTGACATCACCACAGCGATGCAGAAAAGGCTGATTGAACATAAGCTGGAGTCAACTTCCTTCTATGGGCATTTCCATGGTCTCTCTCTCTGGTCACTCTCTGGTCACTCTCTGGTCACTCTCTGGTCACTCTCTGGCCACTCTCTGGTCACTCTCTGGTCACTCTCTGGTCACTCTCTGGACACTCTCTGGCCACTCTCTGGTCACTCTCTGGTCACTCTCTGGTCACTCTCTGGTCTCTCTCTGGTCACTCTCTGGTCACTCTCTGGTCACTCTCTGGTCTCTCTCTGGTCACTCTCTGGTCTCTCTCTGGTCTCTCTCTGGTCACTCTCTGGACACTCTCTGGCCACTCTCTGGTCTCTCTCTGGTCACTCTCTGGTCACTCTCTGGTCACTCTCTGGTCTCTCTCTGGTCACTCTCTGGTCACTCTCTGGTCTCTCTCTGGTCACTCTCTGGTCACTCTCTGGACACTCTCTGGTCTCTCTCTGGCCACTCTCTGGTCACTCTCTGGTCACTCTCTGGTCACTCTATGGCCTCTAAAAGTCAAACCAAACATTTTGGAGTATGGAAGAGAGTCCAAGGTATTCATGTTGTCAATTCAGGATCTGTAAGGTGGGATGGATTATCTCAGCAAAGAAGTGCCCACTGTAGAAAAATCTGAGAATGGGATCTGATATGGTTCTGTTCCAAAGTGTAAACTTTTATCTTTTAACCAGTCAAATCCCAATGAGATTGATAAGTCTCTTTTCCAGGGTTGAGTTGAGTGCATTTCCAGGTCTTAGATTAGCACGAAACTGAAAGGACACTTCCTCCTGTCTGTCCTGAAGCTGGGGACAGTCCACGTGTAGAGTTGAACCCAGAGAAAAGAAAATGAGTTGTGTGTTGTGATGTCAGTATTCCTCACCTGCATCATAAACAGAACGCTCACGTCGGTCACGCAGCGCCCTCGTGTGGACACGTTACCACCGCTGACAACATCTGGACGTAAAACCGCGCGTTAGAAAATATTCAGCAGAAAATACCCATAAACCGAGACAGAGATGAAGAAGTGCTGGTTCAGTGAAACCTCCGCAGCTGTTCAGAACATTACGTAGTTAACAGTTAAGTCTATCTAATAAGATCCGATTGAGGGGAACGGTCCGTCTCCAAAACGCTTTATTTTAACTTGAATACACTTTCTGCTGTTGTCTCGATGCGGAAACGGCCCTTACCGTTATCCGCGGGGTTGAAATTAAGAATAATACAACATTCGACGCTAACACACCTGAAAAGGACCAAAACAACCCATTTATCTTTTCATAATGATATTAAACCCACCTTTGCTCCACAAACGTTTGGGAATGTTCTGGTTAACGCGACATCAACACGTGTTTTATCAACCAGTTGTTAGCGCGAGGCAAACGGGTAAAAAGTTATTTCCGAGAGCTAATATAATAGAGAGTTAATATAATACATCCATGGAGCAAACATTAGCAGTTAGCAGCTAGCTTTAGCCGCGTTGCCATGGAGCCGCGTGGACGGAAGCCCGCGAGGGGATGCTATTTACTTATGCATGTGTGTAATTCGGGCTTTCATGTTCATTCCATCGACTGTAAATACCGCTCTGACTACAATCCATCTGTAACGGTCTTATTTTTGAACCTCAGTAAATGCAGCCTTAAATCCTCGACTGGACTTGTTCGCTCTTGTGTCAGGTCGACACTTGGAAGTATTAAATAACACATCCCCACGTGAGGAAAGAGCGTGGGTTTGATCCTCAAAGACCAAAATCTGATCATTGAATACAAAGAGCCTCTATGCATGTCTGTAAATGTATAACTGTTGTGTTTGTTTTTTATGGACTTAAGAGTCTGATAAAGATAATAAAAATAATGTAAACACCAGTGAGTAGGTCTGAGGACCTCTGCTTCAGATAGAACTTTATTGTATAAGTAAGGTACGATATGTGTAGTTTTAGTAGTATTTGGACATGAGGCAACCAACACGCCGACCGTTAATTGTCCTTATAACTTGCTAATTAGGAAAAACAGTTAATGAGGTAAGAGTAATTTTAGAAAACAAAAGTAATTAGAGCAGGGTTATTTCAAATGTCTTAAGCCACACACCTGGAGCATTAGCACTAGCCTACAGCGAGTGAACCAATTCATGAAACAAAACGCACATGTGAGACTCAACTTTATTAAACTGCCTTCAAATACAAAAACAAAAGTTACACAACACTGTGCCAGTTAATGACACGGGAACTTTAAGAAACCAAAAAAGGAAAAGAACTCTTAAAAAGGAAGCGTGCAGAAGGGGCATCACCGCTCGTCCCTGATCTGTTGTGAGGGCGCTCCCTGGTGGCAGAGGGGGCTGAGGTGGCAGAGTCTCGTTTGGAGGTCGATTTCCGTGCTGGGAGCCGATGATGGAAAAGCAAAGGGAGGTTATGAGGAAGGGGGAGGGGGGAAACACATGAGGAGGTGGGAGATTGCCTTTTGGGACAGAAGAGCCAGGGAAGGGGGCAGCTCCTCAAAAGCCGTGGATTTTGACCTGCTCCTTCTTGGCTAGGCCCCACTGCAAAGGAACAAAAACACATGTAAACAACCAGTCAGAGAAGTCTGTTATTGAAGCTGGAGACGAGAGAAACAGCTTTTTATTCATCAAGACCAGGGACTACAGGTGGAAATTAGCTCTTGAGCTATAACCTGGTACAATGCATCTCTCCTTTTGAGGTTAATTTTTATTGTGCACAGTCCTTGTCATCTTAAATAAATACAAAAAAACTCTTCTCTTGGCTGAACAAGAAATCACAAACTACGACTCATCACTGTCAAATCCCAGGGTTATAAAGAAGACAATAGAAAAGCCACTGTCAGTTTGTAACAACAATAGGACACTTACTTCTGCAAGGAACCCGCAGATGTGTTTGCGCTGGTCACCCTGCAGCTGGATCACCTCCCCATACTCCGGGTGCTCGATCACAGTCCCGTTGCAAGCAAATTGCTACAAAAATAGGAGAGTTAGAAACATGTCTGCAGTGAACAACAAGGCAGCATGACCAAACAGCAGAGGGAAGTCCATGTTCAGCTCAGGTCTTGTGAAGCATAGCTCACCTTTTTGAAATGCTTGATCATCTTTTTCTTGTCATAGTGCTCGGAGATGCCCTGCACTGTGGTCAGGGTCTTCCTGCCGTTCCTCTGCTGGATTCTTATGTGGATGCAGTCTTCAGTGCAGGCCGGGAGACTGTCATCTCCCTTACATGCATCATCAAAGGGGTCTGAAGACACAAACGTTAGGGTCAACAGTAGCAGCCATCAGCTTTGTGTAGACACGGACATAAACAGGTTCTGTAAACGTTAATATCCACAGAAACAAACTTTGCGTAAAGACTCGAGAATAACTAGCGGATCCCGTAGAAAGTAGTAGACTAGTAAAACTACTAAAAGATTAAAAAAAGGACAAAGGCTAAAGCTAGACGGCATACTCTGAGCATTGTCTGTGCTGTAATTGTTTAACCGTTATATTGGCCCAGTGAAAACTGGGCGTTTGGTCCCTTACAAAGAGCTCTGGTCTCGGGCTCAGGTTTCAGGCCTGGAACAGAGCAGCAGTGGTCCGAGGAAAACAACCTCAGATTAGAGTCAACAAGGATCACTAGCACGACCTGATCGACTCTGATACCAGACCTAAGTGTAGACAACGACACAGAGAAAGCGTGATGAAAACACATCCAAGAAGAAAATCGAAGGATTTTCGCAGGTCAGGATGTGAAAAACAGCAGGTCAGGCCCACTCCGCATTCCCGGTGCACAAGCTCGGAGGCACCATGTTTAATGTTGGAATAATAACGGAGCTACTGCCCTGAAAGACACTGCGCTGGGAAAATAAACACCTCAAAAACGTCCCATCCACAACAACAACGACGCGAACAGTAAGATACACACAGTCTGTTGGAATCCCGACACGGCCAGTTGTACATTTACCAAAACGAATCAAAAGAAAGTAGGAAGCCCAACAAAGCGCTAAGCTAACGGATAATGGATCACGGATAACGGAGCAGGCTCCCCTCCCCCACCGCGTGCGGCCCCGACACTCACCGAAGTCTTTGAGGTTCTGGATAGTGGACATACGATAATAGTCGTTTTTCTCGGGGAGGATAACTGGGTTAGGCGGTGTGGTGTCGGCTGTAGACGGCTGTGGAGGAGAGTCCGGCGTGGTCAAAGCACTTGTTTAAATGGCGTCTTTCTCCAGAGCAGAAAACACTTTATACCCGCCCACTGTGACGTCACTGTGTGCTCGAGGGTGACGTAATGCCCGAAACCGATTGTTTTCCATCACGTGCTTATTACCCATGATGCTTTGAGCGAACGCCATGTTGTGGGTCTGGCTTATATTGCACGGATAATTTGTCACTGATCATTTGTCCCCATGTCATCTAAAGCCACAAATTCAGCCGACGTATATAAGTATATTGATACACTGGAGTAATCTGTGAGGCAAGATCCTTGGAGAAATTGAGTGATCGGAGATTTGGATCCATATGAAATGAGGCGAGACCAGTGGACTTTGCCAGAAATGGCTTACTTTCACTTAACAGTTGTACAATTAAAAACGATCATGATGTATATGATGCATCATTTCTTTCAATCAATAATTTATTTTGAATGAAGCAGTTGATATCACAGGCCGTAAATCACTTCTGTCTACCTCCCTTTCCCCCTCCTCCTCCCCCTCTCATTCATTTAGAGGGGATCGCTTGAGGCCCATATATGGGTCAATGACGGATAAGGGTTTTTAAAGCCTAGCGTACATCGGACTGGCAACTGATTATATCCGTCGCCTCTGAGTTGCTGCCCCGCACACATCGACAATCTGGCGAAAACGGGCAACTCTGAGTCGCAGGCCAGTCTCTTGAATAACAGCGCGTACATCGACAGCAACTGGCCTCAACTACAGTGTGTTTTCTGACAACAAACAGTTGCGGGCTCGCAATACACGCAATACACACACGTTGTTGGAGCGGCGCATGGAGCGCGCACATCGGGGCAACTGAGGACAACTAGTTGCCGAAAAGTAGAACACGGGCAACTGACTGGAACTGGAGACCGACTGATCATCTCCAGTTGTAAGAGCGCGCACATCGACCGATTTCGGCAACTGATCATCTCCCACCATCTCCTCTCAGTTGCCAAAAGCCGCCTTGCAACTAGTTGTCCCCAGTTTCTCTGTCGATGTACGCTAGGCTTAAGAGGCCAATTTCAAAATAGACAGAATATGAATTTTTACAGTGGTTGGTCAAAGCTTCACAATGACATGTGTAAATACAAACAGGTTATAATCATGAATTCAGATATTGGAGTTTTTTCACGTAAATGAATCAGTCTCAGTATAGATTTTTGTGGAATCTTCATACATGCAGATATAATCATCATTTCAATAAACTAGCGGCCTCCGACTTACATGTTGTTTGCATGCTTGTTTTTTCTGTATATTGTATTAAAATGCTGAGAAAATCCATCAATTTCTTCATCCGCTTCCGGGTCGCGGGAGCCAAATGTTGTGTGTGCAGACAAAGCCGCCAAGTCCTCTCCGCAACACTCTGTCCTCTCTGCACCGGCCCCCTATGGAGCCCTCTGCGGGGGGTGGGTAAACAGGAGGACCTGCCCCGGCCGGGCCCCGTGGGCTAAGGCCTGCCACCAGACACGCGCATATGAGCCCCAATCCCAGGCCTGGCTCCGGGGCCCCGGCTGTGCCTTACCGGCCGACATCACGGTTCTCTCATGTTATCTAGTTTGTAAGAATGTATTTGGTTAAAAAAAAAAAAAAGTACTTCGTAAAAAAATTACAGCACCATGGGAGCTCGTCCACTGCACAGAACCGGGAGGGACGATGCCCAAATATGGGGAGGTTCCGCTAATCTTTCAGTCCCCATCTACAGTACAGACCAAAGGTTTGGACACTTTCTCATTCACTGAGTTTCTTTTCATTGACTATTGACTCTAGATCCACACCAGGCTGTGAAAGGGCTGTTTGACCAATTTGGAGAGTGATGGTGCTGGGCCAGATGACCTCCACAGTCACCGGACCTGAACCCAATGCAGGTGATTTTGGATCTGAACCCAATCCAGATGGTTTAGGACCTGATCCCAATCCAGATGGTTTAGGACCTGATCACAATCCAGATGGTTTTGGGGCCAGACTACAGAGTGAAGGGGCCAAAAAGTGCAAAGCATCATGGGAACTCCTTCATGACTGTTGGAGACCATTTCAGGTCCTCTTGAAGCTCATCCAGAGAATGCCAAGAGTGAAGTAGTATCAGAGCAAAAGGTGCTACTTTGAAGAACCCAGAATTTAACACATATTTTCATTTGTTTCATACTTTTTTTTAAGTATGTAAATAATTCCACATGAGTTGATTCATAGTTTTGATGCCTTCAAGAGTGATTCTACAATTTTCAAAATCATGAAAATAAAAAACTCTTTGAAGGAGAAGGTGTGTCCAAACTTTTGGCCTGTACTGGATGTCCTATGCGCTACTGAGCACAAGCCACTGATATGAATAGGACGCCATCTTGTATCACTGTCTGGGTCTGTGACCCTTCAGAGACATCAAATTACAGTTATCACAGTATTACAAGTATCTGCTCACAAAACTGTGGATGTGTTATGTTATTAACCAGTACTTCCGTATCGGTGAACTGATAGCACTAGTTTAGTCGTAGGAGACTGTCCCCATGGTCAGCCCGGGTTTAATCCTGGTGTAGTTCATATTCTGTTTGAGTGTCTTTGTCTTCTTGCTCCGAGGGGCTTGAGTCCCTGTGACCATTTCGCTGCTCTCTGATGAAATGTTCGCTTCAACCCAATTCAGTTATTTAAATTTTAATTAATTTAGTCAAAAATGTTGATTAACATTTATCTCCTGCATTTGCGCAATGCGTCAAGTCACTGTACTCACCACCTCCACCATAAGAAAAGATCAACTTTATTGATCTCACAATGGAGAAATTTACATGTCACATTTGGCACAGAATATTACATAAAATATATGCGAATATTCGCGCCAACATTCGTCGCTATTGACTTTGCTGTAAACTTGCCGCAACGCATTGTCCGGAAAGGACACCCTTTAAGACTTCACAAGGCTTTTAGACACTGTTGCTAGTTTTTTGGCCCATTCCTCCATGCAGGTTTCTTCTGGGGCAGTAATGCCCAGACTTCAATGCCCTTGCTAATGAAATAAGGTTTTCACTTAAAATCGTATGATTCATGTGATATCTTGTTTTCATCTGAGTATAGGACATTCTCCCTCTTCTGGATATTCCCAATGCCCTGTAGCAAACCTCAGACAGGCCTGGCTTCTGTCGCCAGTGGCGCATTCTTGGCTCAAAAGTGGCATCAATGAATAAATCATTCTTTATGTTTATATCATAGTTATAATTGCAAAATGAGCATAATATTGACAACCAATTTTCATAAAGTATTCGGAGCATGTCAAAGATTTAACAATAACCCTTTCTCTGAAATTCATGAAAAAAGTGAAGAAAAGTCATAATTATATATTATATATATATATAAATATAATAATTGAATACTTTTATCATATACAAACCGTCAATATTATATTAAAACATAAAGTCCTTTAAGTCATGTTTACAGCTCATGGAGAGGTAGCTGTGATGGTCGCACCACATGATATTTTCATATTCAATCCAAATATTCAGGCAGAGCACTGGACACCTAAACAAATCGAGCTATTTTCTTGTGATGAGTCACAATAATACAGTACCTTGCAAAAGTATTCACCCCCTTGGCATTTTGTGTGTTTTGTTGCCTCACAACCTGGAATTAACATGGATTGTTTGAGGATTTGCATCAGTTAATTTACAGAACATGCCACAACTTTGAAGTTGTTGTCTTTTTTTTTATTGTGAAGCAAACATCTAATAGGACAAAATAACAGAAAAGGTCAATGTGCATAACTATTCACCCCCCTAAAGTCAATATTTTGTAGAGCCACCTTTTGCGGCAATCACAGCTCCAAGTCGCTTTGAATAAGTCTCTATGAGCTTGCCACATCTTACCACTGGGATGTTAGCCCATTCCTCCTTGCAAAACTGCTCCAGTTCCTTCAAGTTGGATGGTTTGCGCTTGTGAACAGCAATCTTCCAGGAATCGTGCTCTGCCACGGTCCGATGGTGCCACGGTGCCACGGTCCGATGGCACCTAAAGCCCGGATCAAACTGCAAAGCAGGCCCTGGCACACTTTAACCGGGCTTTAGGCTCCGCATGTGACCGCAGCCTCTGATTAATGCCCTCCTTGCCCGGTCCGTGAGTTTTGGTGGGCGGCCGTCCGCTGTTGTGCCATGTTCTTACCATTTGGTTATGATAGATTTGATGGTGCTCCTGGGGATCATCAAAGATTTGGATATTTTTTTATAACCTAACCCTGACTTGTACTTCTCAACAACACTGTCCCTTACTTGTTTGGAGAGTTCATTGGTCTTCACGGCAGTGTTTGGTTAGTGGTGCCTCTTGCTTAGGTGTTGCAGCCTCTGAGGCCTTTCAAAAAAGGTGTGCAATCGTGTGTGACACTTAGATTGCACACAACTTCTGAAGGCAATTGGTTGCACCAGAGCTTTTTATGGGCTTCATAACAAAGGAGGTGAATACATATGCACATGCCAATTTCCAGTTTTTTTATTTCTGAAAAATAGTTTTATGTATATATTTTTCTCAATTCACTTCACCAACTTAAACTGTTGATTTCTGAGCCATCACATGAAATTCAGATTAAAAAAAACATTGAACTAAAGGCTGTAATGTAACAAAATAGGTAAAAAGCCAAGGGGGGTGAATACTTTCGCAAGGCACTGTAACGAATCGATAAAATCGATAATTTGTGTTCGATAATAAGTGTTTTAAATTTCATTATCGATTTGTTGTGTCGCGCGATTAATGCGTCACCCACTACGTCACGGAGCCATGGACACACACACACACACACACACACACACTCACACAAAAGTCACAGAGGTCCATTTTTAGCAAGAAAAAGTTGGAATTCCACCAATTGTCTGAAAATTCTCATATATATATATATCGGTGCATCCCTAAAATAATACCTATTTTTGTTCACTTTACTTTTCAAAAAGCCAATATTTGCATAGCTTACATTTGCATGTTTTTTTGTTTAGGTCCATGGCAATGTTTGTGAACAAAGGGATGGTAAATAAATCTATGTTTTTTAATTCGATGAATCGATCAAAGAAATAATCGACAGATTAATCGATTATTAAATTAATCGTTAGCTGCAGACCTAGATCAAATAATCAATTTGTGAAAGTAAATCAATGGTCATCATTTTTTTTGAGGTCATACCGCTGACATCAAGATTTGGAAACTCTCTACCAACCATTTAAAAGGCTGTTATTTCTTTTAGATGACAGAGTTCTAAACACGCTAACTTCTTATGTTGGTCCTTTGCTTATGTGGTTTCTGAAATAACTGTGTCTTTGGGTAGATTTCAAAATAAAAGCTTAAAAATGTCGTTTTTTTATGGTCATAGAATGTTGTCGCACCACATAATACTTCCTCAAAATGACATTTGTGGACAAAGTTTCCTCAGCTGTTAAGAGGAAAATATCAATAAAAGACAACTGTAATTTCACATGACGTTAAAAACCACTCCACAAATGGAGCAGAATAGAGTAGAGTAGAATAGAGTAGATTTAGATACTTTTTCATGTGTGGACGGTCGCACCACATTTTTACACTTCCAGTAACAACAAAAATTCAAATACCTAATGCTTTTTAAAAACAGATGTGGTTACACATAGAGGAGAGGGACTAAATACATATGGTCTGCTTTGATTTTATAGAATGATATTTAAAAAAAAAAAAAAAAAAAATGCAGTTGGACAGTGATGTTGGGTGTCACAGTCAAATCGCAGCTCTGAATATAAACCACACATACACAGATTTAGCTCTTACCTGTTATGAAGTGGTCAGAACAGACCTTCAGGGGGTTAGGGTTGAATCCCCCCAACTTAGGGTTCTTTTCTTCGTCGAGAGTCGCTCTGTGTCGCTCCCCTGGCTCGTTATAACCTTCGGAATGTCCCCACAGCCTGTACGGATACCGCACCCCCAAACGACGCAGGTAGTCGGCATTTTTTAGCGCAAAAAAAGTTATGTCGACTGACAATAAGTCGAACTGCGGAAGTGTGGGTAGTGCGTGACGTCGATGGAAACCATCTATAAAAACAGCAGCCGCACACACAGACCCACCCAGCGACTCTCGTTACTCAAATGTAGTAAAAAGGTAACACCACATTATCGATATCGACCAAGATTAAAGTCCCGCCCACTTCCTCGTCCCACAAATAAATGTTGAAATCTCGAAATTAAGTTACAAATTAAGATGGAAACTTCGTCTACAGTCAAAGTTTATTTTGTATGATTTTTATTATTTAACACCGGAGCAGTCAGTTGGACGGAGTTTAGTTTTGGAAGCGTAATAACGTATATATGTGGTCTTAATAACCTGAGAACGTGTCTGCTTCCATACGTAGTTTATAAATTATGAGCAGTTCTGTTTTATGTAAAATGCATAGTTATGCTTACTCTAACACCACTGTCAGCGTCATTTTGCATTTGCAGTCACTGAAAAACCTGCACTGCTATTGCCACTTTATTTCTTAAAGAACGAGTGTGCCATGTTGATACAAGCCTGATCATGTGACCTTTCCCCCAATAATCAAGTTGCTCAGTAGAAGTGGTTTTAGTTTATTAAAGCTGAAGTACCTAACTTTCATGGTTAGGTACTTTTGCAGCCAGGAACTGATCTGGTTCTTGGCTCCAAAACAGTTGCTTCTCTGTTTCATGTCACATCTTCAGATTAGCGAGACCACCCTCACCTCTGTCAATCAGCTATTAGCCTAAAGAGTCATATAGTGACCCACAGGATTTTTTCTAACACAAAAGATGAAGACGACAGGTTGTGGCCTGATTCGTTCAATTATTTTTAATCTTTCTGTTGAACAAACGTGTTACTTATGAGACAATGTCAAGTTTTAACGAAAGTAGAGACCATCTAAAACACATTAAAAAGTGACATTTATTCAAGTAACGCTTCATGTTTGACTCAAAAGAACACGTAAAATAAACAATGGTTGTACGTTTGCATTGATCCCAGTTTCACTATAAGCCCCAACAGAAGGATTGTTCCTGAGTCAGAGAGAGAGAAAAAAAAGCATGAGACTCACAACTTTATTAAATGCCTCCAAATACAAAACAAAAATCAGTCCATGGAACAGGAACTTCAAAAGAAACCAAAGAGGAAAGTGTCCCTGGTCTGTTGTAGGGCGCCCCCTGGTGGCAGAGGGGGCCAAGGCGGCAGAGTCTCATGTTTTGGAGCAAAGGAAGGTAATGAGGGAGGAGGGAGAGGGGGGAACACAAGAGAGGAGGGGGGGATGGCCTTTTGGGACAGAAAAGCTGGAGGGGGCAAGGCCTCTTCAAAAGCCGTGCATTTTAACCTGGTCCTCCTTGGCCAGGCCCCACTGCAAAGGAACCAAAACACATGTAAACAACCAGTCAGAGACGTCTGTAATTGAAGCTGGAGACGAGAGAAACCGCTTTAAATTCATCTATATTTCTCTCAGACCCGGTTGTGCGCCCGTTTGTTTGTGTTCAACACGAACAGTCAAACAGACTTCTGCGTCCGGCTCGTCTAATCACAGCAGCTCAAACACTACAGAGCTCCTCAGGCTGAATGTCATGAGAATTCAAATAATTTCACTCTTTTACACGGACACAACCTTCTGCAGCATGAACCAATCAGAAAGAGAGGAGACACCAGCGGCCGGGATCAACTAGAGACGAGAGGATCTAGACAGGAGCGTTTCAGACAGAGACTGACCACAAGCGCCTGGATCCCATACTCCGAAGCACAAGTTATGGACACGATAACTTACACAAAGTGTGAAACTGTGATTAAATAAAGACAGTAGCTGGAGGTTGTTGCTGTGGTTACATTGGGAGACAGAGTGTACATTTGACTAGGACACTGACCTCTGCGAGGATGTCGCAGATGTGTTTGCGCTGGTCACCCTGCAGCTGGATAACCTCTCCATACTCCGGGTGGTCGATCACAGTCCCGTTACAGGCAAACCTCTGCAGCAGACGCACAAGTCACTCCACCAGTATACATTTGTGTGTAAATCATTTTTATATATATATATATATAAAAATAATCAGATTCATTTATTTGCCATTTGCAGTAAAACCACATTGGAAAAACTGTGCAAGACTACCCCGGTGTATGTATAATATATATATATATATATATATATATATATACAAAGTACATGTGCAGTAGTACCTTTTTGAAATGCTTGATCATCTTTTTCTTGTCATAGCACTCGGCAATGCCCTGCACTGTGGTCAGGGTCTTCCTGCCGTTCCTCTGCTGGATTCTTATGTGGATGCAGTCTTCGGTGCAGGCCGGGAGACTGTCATCTCCTTTACAGGCATCATCAAAGGGGTCTGAAGACACACACCATCACTACACACCCTGTGTTCATGGTACAGTCTGACAACCGGCTGGTATTCACAGCACGAGGAAACAGGCACAAACTGTTTTATTCTATGTGATGTTATATTTGTATTTCTACTCTAGCGTACATAAACACTGTAAACTAGTGGTGTTTTTAATAAACCCTTTTCTGGGCGGGTTCAGTTCACTTTGAGTTCAGAGCAGGGCCAATGCCCGTTACCATGGCAAAATCCTGTTGACGAGCAGCCTTAAGCATCCATTAGCTTTTTTTGTATTTCAGATAGCTATATTATACCTTCTCAATAACTTCTAAAAAGGGCTAAAAATTCCAAACCATAACCAGGATCAGAACTGGGGTCAGCACCAGGTTCTAGTGAGTTTTGGGCATGCGCAGACCGCGGTTCAGGGCATCGGTTAAAAAAAGAAACAAAACGTTAATGTTAAACTGCTTCTAATGTTAGATTTAAATGTAAATATTTAACAGCGTGGAAGTGATAGGGCAGTATCAGAGTCAGGGTTTAAACACCATATAGAGATTTTTCGTGTGACGTCACAAGGGCTTGAAGTTGTGAGGCCTCCACCATATTGGAGGACTCAGCACCGCATAAACATGTTCAAATTTTGTACCGTTTTTGGCTGCAGTAATAGGGGAGACAGGGACAATACGTTGTTTTACCGACTGCCAGCTGTCCTTACTTCACATGGCTCCAAAACAAAGACATCTCCAAGAAACGAGAGAGAAATGGCACAACAACAAAAAACCAACAGCCTCCAGAACGTCCGAATATGCTCGGATCATTTCATTTTTGTTAAGTAAAATTAATTTGGTGGCAGATTTAATGTTACTCAGAAACAATCAGAAGTTTGAGGATAATATAGACTTATCACTGTCTGACTGCAACGTGGGGTTGCCCTCGCACCGGACCTCACCCAGCTCACAGGGCCTCACCCAGCTCACAGGGCCTCACCCAGCTCACAGGGCCTCACCCAGCTCACAGGGCCTCACCCAGCTCACAGGGCCTCACCCAGCTCACAGGGCCTCACCCAGCTCACAGCTAGCCACACATAGACCCATGGTGTAACAATAAACAGAAATAACAATAAACACATTTAAATGTTAATCGGGGAATACATTATACATATACATTCTTAATACACGTGCACGGAGGTTTAGAATTTTCTGTTCACGTTTTCATGACAAAAATACTGTTTTAATGCGACCGCGGTAAACCCGGAAGTAACTTAACAATAATACATTTTAGGACATGATAGGATATGATTAATGGATTTAGGTTGAGTATATAGTTGGGTCACTAACTGCTTTTTCGAATTCTTTGTTCAATTTTCATGAAGTTCGAGTGAGTTCTAGTTTTAAACGTCCAGTTATACGCAGCTAGCATGGCTGTTCCTCGCCGAGGTTGTTTTCCAGAATGGCCGCCGTGGCTACGAGTCAGGATCCTTGTATAAGAAACAGGCTCAAAACCAGATTATTTTAACCCTTCAATACACTGCAGTAACTTAACACTGGTATAAAATGTGCACTAAAACAAATCCCACTGAAACTATAACGTTATTTTGGAAACGACACAGTTTAAAAATATATATATATAATCGTGAATATTAAGGGAAAGGCAGAAGCACAACAGCGCACTAAGCTAACGGCTAGTTGGGTTAGCAGGCGCCCGTTCATAGGAAACTCACCGAAAGTTTTGAGGTTCTGGATAGAGGACATACGATAAGAGTAGTTATTCTCGGGGATAATGACTTGGTTTGGCGGTGTCTGTGCGGCAGTAGACGGATGTGAGTCCAGAGCAAGCGTTACTCAAAATGGCGTCTACGCTCCTCCCGAGTTGAAAGCACCACTGCGTCCCTTGCGTCACTTGCGTCCCGTCCACCGCGTGACGTCAATACGTTACAATTCAAAACACGAGCAAATATTTTCTTCGCATTGATTGCCTTTAGTTTCTTATCGGAATGCAGGGTTTCCTAATGTTCCTTACTGCGTCTTAAGGCCGAGTAGCTTCTGCATGAACAATACTGTATAAATAAATTTGCCTTGATTACGTCATGCTCAGACCTGCATTGTAGTTCACTTGCTTCTTTATGCTCAAGTTAGAGGTCTTGAGTGTTCATTTATCTTGTGCTATGTGCTCCTCATTTCTAATGTTCTGCAACAATGGCGCAATATCAGTTTAGTTTAAAAACCTCAAGAGACCTTTAGTTTGTTGCTACAGTTGTATACTGTATATATTATGGATAAAATCCAATCAGTTCATTGGGTATCTCAGGTGGTCCATGGATTAGAGATGACTGTAGCATTCTCACTCATTTATGTATTTATGATTTTAAACATATTTTTACAAGTGGGGTGTTCACTGTTGAAACATACACAACGTTAAAATGGAGATGATTCTAGTGCCTTGCGTTGTTTCAATCTTATTTTGTTCAGCAGCATGGAGTGGTCATGTGTATGAACAGTGATATACCAGTAGACTTGCCTGTACATGAGAGCAGTGTCCTCTGGTCAGAAACATGTTTAAATCCCAAATTTTCAAAAGCTGCGTCATCAAAATGAGCCGAGGGGTTTAGCTGCTTGTGGAGAATGAAAGATCAGTATTAACTAAAGCTCAACAGAGCACAGTGATGTTAAAAGCAGAGATGTGGGACCTTTAAAATGTGAGATCAATAAAGTCTCATCTCTACCTATGAAAACACTGATATTACCTTTAAGAAATAAAACACAAGCTTTTGGTAGACAAAAAAGGGCATGTTTATTCAAGAGTCCTCCTCTACCTACGACACCAGACTGGAGTTTTATTTTATTGTACAAAAGTGAACGTTTAGGCCCGAGCCGGCGTCACAGCAGCCAATGGCACACAGCTAACCAGCAACACACAGCTACAACCTGCGCCTAGTGCACAAAGAAACAAGCGAGTTAAAAACCACTGCACATGGGAAACACAAATCAGAAGTAGCCCTATTTACATTGTAGGGTGTGTACAGCGCAGACAGAAACAAAAGACATGACTTAAAACTCAAAACATGGATCTGTATGTGTTTGTTGGCCTTTACCATAACAGTTATGTAATTCATCTATGTCTTACGTGAAAGAAAGCAAAGAGAGCAGAGAGAGGGACAACAGAAAGACAGATGTCTAGAATTTGTGGCGTCATGGGAAGTTAACCATTTATTACAATGTCATTCACAACCATTAAAATAATAAGTTTTTATCTGAAATGGAACACTGTGTTCAAAAGCTCAGATGTGACATAAAACCGTCCATAACACGTTCACTACATTCAGATCTGAAGTCACGCAATTTGTTAAAAAAACTTAATCTCAGGAATAGACTTGAATTTAGTCAAAAAGTGTTGAGTGGGGCGTTTAACATGACGCTTCCCATAAATCTGATTGAGTGACTGCTGGTACTGTGGAGTATGAGGAGTTACTTAATCAAAAATAAAAGCCAAAGCAGAAGACATGCCTTAAAGATGGACGAATGGGGCAAACTGAGGAAAGAGCGGGACACCTCAACCACATAGGACACTGCAGCCTTGACGTCTGTCTGCGTCTGAAAACAGAAGAGAGTTAGACAGAGTGAGACGTAGCCTGGTCTTACCACACCATCATACAAATTTATTTTGTACTAAGGTCTGGAATATGCTCTATTGGGCTGTCAACAGGTGGGAGGAAGTAACTCCTTTTGCAGATTGAAACGATTGGATCCAAGTTTACCGTGACGTGTGTAATGTGCCTGAGTGAATCGCTAGCATTTAACATTTAGCCTAGCTTTAGCATTTAGTCATCTCCTTTACCACCAACTGAGCCCGTCGAGAGTAGACCCACAACATATTTGCCCGGGGTCAATTTATTGACTTAGCAGCGAAACCAGAACGGATTACCGCCATAGCCAAACTAAAACCAGCAAATTCGCCACAAACTCTCGACACCCACCTATAACACCTGCCTCCCCCGCTCACCAATTGGTCGGATGGGATACAACCGAGGTAACTGCAGCTACTGGGATTAGACCAAATATTAACGAACGTTGTCTCGCCTATTGCCGCCAGTGAAACTTGTGTGCCACCACTTGCCCCGTTTATGGGCAGTTTCAAAATGGCTGCGGGGGCTGAAAAAACGCATATATTCATTCGTCAGCTCTACAAGCCCAATTCATTTACAAGTGCCTTCAAAATTCCACAGCGACTGAACTAGACTGGTCCAAACAAATCACTCCTCTCAGCATTGACACACATGTGGAACGTAGGCTTTGTGCCAAGAGCCGACTTTTTGACCATCCTGTAAAGCAGTTTTCGAGAGGTAAGAAGATGCGGTGCCATTAGCATTGGCTAATTCTTATTCCGGGTCCACCCCCATCGGCCCGGGGTGGTATTGCAAGCATGACAACGCACTTCATTTTTGAGCCGGGACCCGCCCCCACTGGATCAGACCCAGACGTACATGTAGAGAAATAATTGACCTAAGTTTACGAATTGCTAAGGCCAGGCTAGGCAGGACTGTTAATGTGTAACAAACAGAGCGGAGCCATTGGTGCAAGAGGAGCGGGAGAGGACAGTGAAGATCCCAGACATATAGGAGCTATTAACATTCAAGGACATTGGGAGTCTCAAGTCTAGGGAGTGAGAGAGAACAGAGAGACTACAGAAAAGACCACAGAAAAGACCACCGAGAGAAAGAGCAAAGAAAGTGACCCGAGAGAGGCCACAGAAAAAGAGACCAGAGAGAGACCATCTGTCCTCATCACACTCACTTATGGCGAGGCGCCGTTCTCCGCTGTGGATTTTTCCGGACTCTTGGATCTGGAGGCTCTGGAGGCTCTGGAGACAGAGCGGCTCCTAGACCGGGACTTGGACCGGGACTTGGACCTGGATCTGAGGAAACGCATGAAACAAAGATAGGTTAAGCACACAGCGATCCAACACCAGTGAGACCTCCTCTATCATACGGCACCTGGATCTGGACCGGCTCCTGCTGCGGGACATGGCCTTGGACTTGCTCTTGTTTCGTGGCGATCGAGAGCGTGAGCGAGAGTAAGACCTGGACCTGGACCGAGACCGAGACCTGGACCTGGATCTGGACCTGGAGCGGCGCCGGTGCCTGGGACTGCGAGACGAGCTGGGGACAGAGGAACAGATCATCTCCGAACTGGGACCTCAGAATCTCACTATAGTCCTACCCTCCCCTTGTGGGCCTGGTTATATCCAGACTGAGCTGGTTTTGTTTACGTTTTAGCATCTGGTACCGTATTCCTTAGTAACCATGGCTTCCAGTAGCACTCTGGCCAATCTCTGTCAGAACACTAATCTCTGTGGCACTCTCCTGGTTAAATGAAAGGTAAATAATAATAATAGTACCAGCTCGGCACAGAACCAGGCGTGTCAAAACTCAGGCTGGACCATCAACTGTACAATGCCAACCCGCTAGCTTATTGATGCACAATAGTGAAGTGCTCATGGACTAGGTTCCTATTGACTTCCAAGCAAAGGCACATTCATCTGGCTCAGTAACAAAATTTTTGGGTTAAATCTCTGGTTTAGAACTCTGGTCCTGGGTCTCACTCAGTCCTCTCAGGGCCTATGTGCAGTATAGTTGTGACAGAGAAACAAGCAGGAGCCACACTCACCTCCTCCTGCCGTACCCAGACCTCCTTGAAGTTCCACGTCTCCCCCCTCCACCTCCTCCCCCCCCTCCACCTCCTCCCCCACTGCCTCCGTAGTAAGCGTCTGGCGGCCTGCCGTATCTGGCCATCTGTACGCGCAGCTCGCGTCCGTCCAGCAGCGCCCCGTCCATGGCGTCCATTGCGTCTTCCGCGTCACGCTTGTCGTGGAAGCGCACAAAGGCGAAGCCACGGCTCTCCTTGGTGTAGCGGTCGCGGGGGATGTACACGTCACCCACGCGCCCGTACTTCTCAAACACGCGCCGCAGCGTCTCGGGAGACGTGCGATATGTCAGGTTGTCCACTTTGAGAGACGTCATCCCTGAGACACAGAGACAGACTTTAATTCTGGAGCAGAAACATCATCCAAACAAGTCTAAGCACTGATACATTAAAGAGGAAGAAGAACAGGGATCTTCAGCTGAAGGCTATGGACCATTGGCTCTATGTGTTATCATTGCATTTCATTTGAACGGTTTGATTCTCTGATCTGTGTTAGCAAATTGACAGCTTTATAACTACTGTTGTGATTTAGGGCTTTACAAAAATAAATTGAGGTATGACAGTGACACCACTGCCATTTACAAAAAGACAAATGCATGGGTTCGAACCATAAACTGTAAATATTAACGGACGTAGTCACGCTTATCTCCGTCGTCAAAACTAATGTGTCATGCCTTTTGTGACCTTTTTCAAAATGTGAAAAAGCGCATTTGTGCATTTGTTAGCTGCATGAGCCCCATTCATTTGACAAGTACATTGTAATGTCCCAAAAAAAATCCTCCCTTCAGAGACTTTTGAACCATCCTTAAAGCTGTTTGAGATATAAGACAATGCCATACAAAAGCATTGGGTAATTTTCTTCCTGGGTCCACCCCATCGGCTAGGAGTGAGATTGCGAGCACATGCTCATGGACCTGCCCCCTCTGGTTTGGAGTACACAGACGTGACACGTCATTATTCTTTCTCTCCAAACAGAGGTGATGAACTACTACTCTAGCCACAGCTGCCCTGAGGCCCACTGACAGAAGCAAGTCAGTGCCGGTGGCCCCTTTCAAGACCCCCACCGTTTCATGTACATGGCAAGTCCAGAGAAAGGAGACTTGACCTTGAAGCCACTCCTGCTTCTCTTAAATCACCAGTGTGGAATTGTTGTGTTCTCTGCGAGTTATGTTGACAGCATTTCCTTTGTTGTGCAGTGCACCTACAACGCAGACCAAAGTGTGTAAGATATGCTATGTGCGCTGTGTACCATACCCGGCCACAGGACACATTCGCTGGCGTCGCAAAGATGTAGATTTGACAACTGGCAAGACGCCATCCTGTATTTCAATAAAACTTCCAGATCTCAGCTCATGCAAAAGCCACTTAAAGTGGGTTCACCCATGGAACGTTTGTTACCCGCAGTGTTCCGGAGGGACAGTATATACGCAGGGGAATTTCTTGTTTTGAGTTGTGTGAAAGCATAGTCACACACTGGTTCCATTGTATGTTTTATACTGGTCTTAAAAAGGCATTAAGGATTGTATCTTCTCACTTTGTTTTAATGATTATATAAAATTTGCTTTGCGAGATTGTTTCCATCTCGTTTTGAGAACTTGCCTTGTTGGGGAAGGAAATTAAAGTTGGGGAACATAACTGTATGAACTGTTCCGATCAAGATGTTCTGTTTTGGGCCCTGCTTCCCTGATAGGAATAAGTCAAGTGAGTGGCCTTCTGATTACAGAGTCACCATCTGAATCTTTAGACTGAATGAGGGAAGCTCCCCTTCATACTCGCTCCCTCTCTGTGGTCTATCGGAATTTGAAAACTGGTTATAATATTTAACTATGAATTAATTGTTCAAAGCCTGGAATGTGATGAAAATGTTGATTTCACTAACTACGTTTTCTTCATTCCCAAACTACGACCTCGGATCATTCCAACCTATCGGATGGAATCAAACTGTTTGATAAAAGTGTCCAAAACACCACGTGGTCGTGGGTTATTGTTTCTGTTGCTTAACGAAACCAAAACAGTTCTTTTATCAGAGTGGGAGAGCTGCTTCCGAATTCTGACCTTCAATTAAAGACTTTAGAAAACTCAGTAATTATGGACGACGGAACAGACTGTCCAGAGATGGACAACTGCACTAAGAGAGCGCACATCCTGGTCCGATGCATTCATTTTAGCACAACACAAAATTAGCTTGTTTGAGGCTATGCTAGCTGTTAGCACATAGAAAGACTAATTATGTACAAACAACGGCGTGCTATCCACACGATCTCCCGGTATTTCAATAAGAGGTTTGTAAATTCACGTTTTCCGGTATTCCCGGTTCAAACTCACCGTCCACGTCGGGGGGAGGCCTGCCGTAACTCATGGCGGCGCGAGAGCAGCACAGGCCCGAACCTCAGACTGTGCTCCACACGGGGACAGGGAGGCGCAGACACAGGGCCACGCGAGGGGAGGTCTGCCGGGGCACGGGAGGTCTGCCGGGACACGAGAGGTCTGCCGCGGTACGGGAAAATAACCTGGACCGGCCCAGAGAGCGGGTGAATGCCTGATGCACGGTGTGAATGATGCACACAAAACGAGCCCGTGCTCTGTCTGTTCTCTCCCGCTCCTGCTGCTGCTTCCGCTGAGGCCGGAGGACGGAGACAGCGCCCCCTGCTGTACGAGGTAAGGACATACACCCCCGATACACATGTCATTGTTTTAATTAGGAATATTATTTATTTATTCATCATAGTACTACATTAATTAATATTCATTATTTTTGTATTTTATTTTTAAATCAAATTCATCCAGTTTCTTTCTATTTCTAATTCACTCCCATTGATTTATGTCACACATCAGAGGCAGCAGACGTTTTTAATAGATGTAAGTACAAATACCACCTGTTGGAGCCAGTAAAAGTACTATTGTTTATTTAATTTTTATTTCTTCTCTGCTGCATCAGGATTATCGCACCTGTGACTTACAGCAGGAGGAGGTGTACTGTGTAAGAGGAGAGAAACTCATGAGGAGAACCCCACAGATTTTTTTTAAAACATTTTTTTATGATCAGTAACAAAGAAAAGACAAATTTATCTCTGCGAGTGATTTTTAAAGTGAGTTACAAACCTTCTCCAAAGAGCAAGAAACCATCTATTTGAAAAATTATTGAAAGTTTGTGTCTGAGAGCTGATTTTCTATCATATTTCTGTCTGCAAGAGCTCTGGTGTGTGTCGTCTGGTGCACACTGGGGTAGTCTTGCACAGTTTTTCCTATGTGGTTTTGCTGCAAATGGCAAATAAATGAATCTGAATCTGAAAAATCTGATCTAAAGATGTGACAGAGACCAAAATGATGTCAAAACTAGATAGAAGTAACCGTTTTAGAGCCAGAATCTATAGACACGGGGTTGTCACAGCTCAGCACCAGTTAAGATCATCCCTTTCAGTCAAATACTGACTCACAGGGCTCTTTGTAAATTATATGTTTTATGATGAAATGAAGACCAAATATAGTGGTCTGATTTGTTCACAAAATTCTACTTTTACAACTCTTTCTGTTGGACAAAATACACGGAGAAATGTTCAATATGAACTTTATTATACACTATTTGACGTAAAAATCAATCAAATAATCAATCTTTCTTCATAAAAATGAATTATAAGTAAATAATATTCCATTGACACATCGCCTTGAACAGTTTGGCCGCATCGGAAACCATAAACAGCTCCCCTTCCTTATCCTTTTCCTTATCAGAAATTTTGGTGACATTAATTTTCATTTAATTGGGATCACAACCGGCTCTATGTTTCAAATTTATCCCGGGATGTTTTGTCTCGAATAAGGCCCCAATTTGAAAGAGGAATAAACTATAAGGAAGAAGTTATTTTCTGAAGTCGAACACATCCTATAATATTGGTATTTCGTCTCACATGAATCTCCCCGAGGCCCTAACCCGAATATTTCCATGATTGACTGTTTATGAACCTAAATTTGAAATAATTTACTTTAGTAACCATACTATAACCATAAATATAAACAGAAAAGCGACAATTTGGGAGTTTTTCTGTCTTCCCGAGACGAGATGCCAAGACTGAAGAGCGTGCTAACTGCTAACTGCTAGCTGCTAACTGCTAACTGCTAACCTCCGGTCAGCTGAGACTTTCACATGACACACTCGATTTTCCAGTTTCGGCTCTGGGAGTTACAGCCGCATTTCATAGGAGTTATCGCCGCATATTTGGGCCATTTCTCCCCGGATTTAATCACACTCAGAGCAGGATATTTGTAATAATGTTATTGTAGAGTTTAAACGCGAAACGAGCAGGAAAAGGCGAAATATGTGCGTGAAAACAACACGGCTGGTGTTGTGTTAGCGAAGCCTAGTGGGTGAGTTTGTTTTGGTATGTAACAGTACTCAGTATTAAATAACTTTATCATTACCACGTATCACACATGTTTGTCCCAAGAGAAAGAGTCTTGTTACGGTGCAATTCAGACCCCAATATAGATTATTGTTTTGGATACATGTAAGAAAGTGAGTCACTATTTGACTCTTTGGGTTGAGAGCTGAGTGAGGGTGCTCGTCTCTCTCTGACTTTTCTGTCCGAAAAAGCTGATCTAAAGATGTGACAGAGGCCAAACATGCATGATGTTAAAACTAGTGATAGAACCTTTCTAATCTCTCTTTCTGGTCTCTCTCTGGTCTCTCTCTCTCTTGTCTCTCTCTGGTCTCTCTCTCTCTTGTCTCTCTCTTGTCTCTCTCTGGCCTCTCTCTCTCTTGTCTCTCTCTTGTCTCTCTCTTGTCTCTCTCTTGTCTCTCTCTGGCCTCTCTCTCTCTTGTCTCTCTCTGGTCTCTCTCTGGTCTCTCTCTCTCTTGTCTCTCTCTTGTCTCTCTCTTGTCTCTCTCTTGTCTCTCTCTTGTCTCTCTCTGGCCTCTCTCTGGTCTCTCTCTGGTCTCTCTCTGGTCTCTCTCTCTCTTGTCTCTCTCTCTCTTGTCTCTCTCTGGTCTCTCTCTCTCTCTCTGGTCTCTCTCTCTCTGGTCTCTCTCTCTCTTGTCTCTCTCTCTCTTGTCTCCCTCTGGTCTCTCTCTTGTCTCTCTCTGGTCTCTCTCTCTCTTGTCTCTCTCTTGCCTCTCTCTGGTCTCTCTCTGGTCTCTCTCTGGTCTCTCTCTGGTCTCTCTCTTGTCTCTCTCTGGTCTCTCTCTCTCTGGTCTCTCTCTCTCTTGTCTCGCTCTCTCTTGTCTCTCTCTGGTCTCTCTGTTCTCTCTCTTGTCTCTCTCTGGTCTCTCTCTCTCTTGTCTCTCTCTCTCTTGTCTCTCTCTGGTCTCTCTCTTGTCTCCCTCTGGTCTCTCTCTTGTCTCTCTCTGGTCTCTCTCTCTCTTGTCTCTCTCTCTCTTGTCTCTCTCTGGTCTCTCTCTTGTCTCCCTCTGGTCTCTCTCTTGTCTCTCTCTGGTCTCTCTCTCTCTTGTCTCTCTCTTGCCTCTCTCTGGTCTCTCTCTGGTCTCTCTCTCTCTCTTGTCTCTCTCTGGTCCCTATGTCTCTGGTCACGCTCTGGTTTTTCTCCTGTTTTAAACACTCTCTGGTTTATTCCAGACTGCAGTATTCTTGGAGCTTCCTCTTCAGTAAAGGAGACAAACGTCAGGATGAGTCCTGAGGGGAAGAAGCTGCTGAACATCGTGGTGCTGGGCTTTGCCTTCATGTTCATGTTCACAGCCTTCCAGACCTGTGGCAACATTGAGGTACAAGACCCTAGGACTGAGGCTGTAGACCCTAGGACTGAGGCTGTAGACCCTAGGACTGAGGCTGTAGACCCAGGACTGAGGCTGTAGACCCAGAACTGAGGCTGTAGACCCAGAACTGAGGCTGTAGACCCAGGACTGAGGCTGTAGACCAAGACCCAGGACTGAGGCTGTAGACCACATTCTATATATTGAAGTTTTTTTTATTTTTTATAAAACAAAATTGATTAAAAAACAAACAAATAAGATTAAGTGATTCTTCGACCCACAGTGGGGAAAGTTCAGTGTTGCATCCCCAGTCACAGAATAGTAGGAATGAGGGGCACACAGCACAAGATAAATGAACAAAAACAATATTAATTAAAACTAAATAATATTTCTAACTCTAGCATAAAAAAACCTAAGTATAAAATCTCAATCATTAACATAATAAAGAAGTATAAAATCTCTACATTTGGCAAAATAAGAAGCAATTATAAAGTACTGTGTATTCTAGTGCAAGCAATATGTAGTTGTATGTTTACATCTGTACATTAGCAGCAGTATGTTTACATCTGTACATTAGCAGCAGTATGCTTACATCTGTACATTAGCAGCAGTATGCTTACATCTGTACATTAGCAGCAGTATACTTACACCTGTACATTAGCAGCAGTATGTTTACATCTGTACATTAGCAGCAGTATGTTTACATCTGTACATTAGCAGCAGTATGTTTACATCTGTACATTAGCAGCAGTATGTTTACATCTGTACATTAGCAGCAGTATGTTTACATCTGTACATTAGCAGCTGTATGTTTACATCTGTACATTAGCAGCAGTATGTTTACATCTGTACATTAGCAGCAGTATGTTTACATCTGTACATTAGCAGCAGTATGTTTACATCTGTACATTAGCAGCAGTATGTTTACATCTGTCAAAGCTACAATTATCAACTATAAATATTCTAAATGTTTAAAATAAATCAAACCAGCGTCTTCTCTCTCTTCACAGCAAACTGTCCTCATCAGCTACAACAGCACAGACTTCCATGGTACCGGATACACCAGGTACCAGAGAGGAGAGAGACCAGAGAGAGAGACCAGAGAGAGAGACCAGAGAGAGAGACCAGAGAGAGAGACCAGAGAGAGAGACCAGAGAGAGAGACCAGAGAGAGAGACCAGAGAGAGAGACCAGAGAGAGAGACCAGAGAGAGAGACCAGAGAGAGAGACCAGAGAGAGAGACCAGAGAGAGAGACCCGAGAGAGAGACCCGAGAGAGAGACCCGAGAGAGAGACCCGAGAGAGAGACCAGAGAGAGAGACCAGAGAGAGAGACCAGAGAGAAAGAGACCAGAGAGAGAGAGAGACCAGAGAGAGACCAGAGAGAGTGAGACCAGAGAAGAGTGAGACCAGAGAAGAGTGAGACCAGAGAAGAGTGAGACCAGAGAAGAGTGAGACCAGAGAAGAGTGAGACCAGAGAAGAGTGAGACCAGAGAAGAGTGAGACCAGAGAAGAGTGAGACCAGAGAGAATGAGACCAGAGAGAATGAGACCAGAGAGAGTGAGACCAGAGAGAGTGAGACCAGAGAGAGTGAGACCAGAGAGAGTGAGACCAGAAAGAGTGAGACCAGAGAGAGTGAGACCAGAGAGAGTGAGAGACCAGAGGGAGAGAGACCAGAGAGAGTGAGAGCAGAGAGAGTGAGACCAGAGAAGAGTGAGACCAGAGAAGAGTGAGACCAGAGAAGAGTGAGACCAGAGAAGAGTGAGACCAGAGAAGAGTGAGACCAGAGAAGAGTGAGACCAGAGAAGAGTGAGACCAGAGAAGAGTGAGACCAGAGAAGAGTGAGACCAGAGAAGAGTGAGACCAGAGAAGAGTGAGACCAGAGAAGAGTGAGACCAGAGAAGAGTGAGACCAGAGAAGAGTGAGACCAGAGAAGAGTGAGACCAGAGAAGAGTGAGACCAGAGAAGAGTGAGACCAGAGAAGAGTGAGACCAGAGAAGAGTGAGACCAGAGAAGAGTGAGACCAGAGAAGAGTGAGACCAGAGAAGAGTGAGACCAGAGAAGAGTGAGACCAGAGAAGAGTGAGACCAGAGAAGAGTGAGACCAGAGAAGAGTGAGACCAGAGAAGAGTGAGACCAGAGAAGAGTGAGACCAGAGAAGAGTGAGACCAGAGAGAGTGAGAGACCAGAGAGTGAGTGAGACCAGAGAGACTGAGGGAGGTATGTGTGAGAGGAGAGAGAGAGGGGGGGGGAGAGAGACCAGAGAGAGAGAGAGACCAGAGAGCGAGCCCAGAGGGAGAGACCACTCTGTATACTGTTATTGTTTGCAGCATGGCGATCATCTATGGCGTGTTCTCGGCCTCAAACCTCATCGCTCCTTCAGTGGTGACGGTGGTTGGGCCTCAGCTCTCCATGTTTGTGAGTGGCCTCCTCTACAGGTGATGTCACACACTTACCCCAACGCTGGGTCAAAATCACACACACGCTTGCCCCAACACCCGGTCAAAATCACACACACGCTTACCCCAACACCGGGTCAAAGTCACACACACACTTGCCCCAACACCAGGTCAAAATCACACACACACTTGCCCCAACACCAGGTCAAAATCACACACACACTTGCCCCAACACCAGGTCAAAATCACACACACACTTGCCCCAACACCAGGTCAAAATCACACACACACTTGCCCCAACACCAGGTCAAAATCACACACACGCTTACTCCAACACCGGGTCAAAGTCACACACACACTTGCCCCAACACCGGGTCAAAATCACACGCACACACACACACTTGCCCCAACACTGGGTCAAAATCACACCATTGCCCCAACACTGGGTCAAAATCACACACATGCCTACCCCAACACCGGGTCAAAATCACACACACACACACGCACTTACCTCAACACTGGGTCAAAATCACACACACTTGCCCCAACACTGGGTCAAAATCATGCACACACACTTACCTCAACACTGGGTCAAAATCACACTTACCCCTGGGTCTGTTTCAGTGCGTACATTGCGATGTTTATTCACCCGTTCACCTGGAGCTTCTACACTGCATCCGTGGTGGTCGGGATCGGAGCTGCAGGTTTACTCTACTCTCTGCATTCTAATAAATATCGCTAATATTTGTTCGCTCTGTAATCTGTAATCTCTGTTCTCTCTGTAATATGTTCTCTCTCTAATCTGGAATCTCTGTTCTCTTTAATCTCCGTTCTCTCTCTAGTTTGTAATCTTGTTTCTCTCCGTAATCTCTGCTCTGTCTCTAATCTCTGCTCTCTATAATCTCTGTTCTCGCTGTAATCTCTAATATCTCTAATCTCTGTTCTCTCTAATCTGTAATCTCTCTAATCTCTCATCTCTATAATCTGACAGTTCTGTGGACGGCACAGGGAAATGTTCTGGCCACCAACTCTAGTGAGTCGACCATTGGCAGAAATAGCGGAATATTCTGGGCCCTGCTCCAGTTCAGGTGAGATACAAGATCAAAGACAGACAGAAGCAGCAGCAGCACTAACCTCTGTAGCTATGGGAAAGAAAAATAACCAGAAAAGATTTAAAAGTTCCATGGATGACTGTTCATGAAGACCACAACCAGGACCAGGACTCGTACCAGAACCTGGAACTAGACCTGGACCTGACTCTGATCTCTTTTAGTTTATTCTTCGGGAACCTGTACATTTACTGCGCCTGGCGAGGGCACGACCACATCACAGGTGTGTGTGTGTGTGTGTCTCTCATTTGTGTGTGTCTCACTTGTGTGTGTCTCTCATGTGTGTGTGGGTGTGTCTGTGTGCGTCTCTGTGTGTCTCACTGGTGTGTTTCTCCTCAGATAAAGACCGTAGAACAGTCTTCATCTCCCTCACGGTCATCAGTTTGGTCGGATGCTTCCTCTTCTTCCTGATCCGGAAGCCGGACTCAGAGCCGTCCTCTTCCTGTGATGTCACAGAGTCTCTGCTGCAGGGAGAGTCCAGCGAAGACAGCGCCACCCTCAGGTCAGAGAGCCACGCTGCACCTATGTACACAGCTGCAGAGTGCCCTATGGTCCTGTCCCTATGGTCCTGTCCCTATGTTCCTGTCCCTATGGTTCTGTCCCTATGGTCCTCTGTCTATGGTCCTGTCCCTATGGTCCTGTGTCTATGGTCCTGTGTCTATGGTCCTGTCTCTATGGTCCTGTCTCTATGGTCCTGTCCCTATGGTCCTGTCCCTATGGTCCTGTCCCTATGGTCCTGTCCCTGTGGTCCTGTCCCTGTGGTTCTGTCCCTGTGGTTCTGTCCCTGTGGTCCTGTTCCTGTGGTCCTGTCCCTATGGTCCTGCCCCTATGGTCCTGCCTCTATGGTCCTGTCCCTATGGTCCTGTCCCTATGGTCCTGCCTCTATGGTCCTGTCCCTATGGTCCTGTCCCTATGGTCCTGTCCCTATGGTCCTGCCTCTATGGTCCTGTCTCTATGGTCCTGTCCCTATGGTCCTGTCAGCGGGGGAGTGTAGATCCAGGACCTTGCTGCACCTTTCTGAACATGGACCAATGTCTCCTATGTGTTTGTTATTATTGGATTTCCTGTGTTTGAACCATAGACTGTATATTTTAACGGACGTAGTCACGCCTATCTCGCCGTTCTAACTAATGGGCCAAAAATTGGGCTTTCATGGAGTTATTCAAAATGGCCGCGGGGGCTGGAAAATGTGAAAAAACCAGTGGGGGCGGGTCCCAGCTCAAAAGTGGCCAAAATGACGTGCGCTGACATGCTGCAATACCACCCCGGGCCGATGGGGGTGGACCCAGAAGAACAATTAGCCAATGCTAACATATAGCATTGGCAGACCTCTCGAAAACGTCTTTACAGGATGGTCCAAAAGTTGGCTCTTGGCCCAAAGCTCCGTTCCACATGTGTGTCAATGCTGAGGGGGGTGGATTTTCTTGGTCCACTCTAGTTTAGTCGGTGTGAATTTTTGAAGTCTCTCGTTCAAATGAATGGAGCTCTCGCCGGCTGATGCATGCCCAGATGCGTTTTTTCACAATTTTCTTGTGGGCGGGACCACTCACGGCCATTTTGGATTGCTCCAGTAGAGCACATTTTTTGGCCCATTAGTTAGAACGGCAGAGATAGGCAGGACTCTGTCTGTTAATATATACAGTCTATTGAAAAAACGCATCTGCGCATGGGTCAGCCGGCGCGAGCTCCATTCATTTAAACGAGAGACTTCAAACATTCACAGCGAGTAAACTAGAGTGGACCAAAAAATGTGGAACGGAGCTTTGGGCCAAGAGCCGACTTTAGGACCATCCTGTAAAGACGTTTTCGAGAGGTAAGTCGCTGCTATATGTTAGCATTGGCTAATTATTATTCCGGGTCCACCCCCACAGGCCCGGGGTGGTATTGCAGCATGTCAGCGCACGTCAATTTGGCCACTTTTGAGCTGGGACCCGCCCCCACTGGTTTGAACAGATTGATTCTCTGATCTATTGTTGGTGAATCCACAAGTTTGTAAAGTCCTGTGATTTAGGACGAGACACAAATACATTGAACTGAACTGCTCTGGTCAAACCTGTGAGGGATCGGAGTCGTGCTGTTCCCACGCTGCCCCTCCTTCTTCTGTAAATGTCACGCCACATTATTCACAAGCGCCGCCATCCGGTCGCCACAGGAACGGGAGGACACACACCCCCGCCCCTTCTGTCCACATGGTTTATAACTAACACATCTTCAGGATGACGTCATGGACTGAGTTCTCCCCATTTTTAAAACAATAGTATTGTCTCCAGTTTGGGGAATGTAGACCCAGGACTGAGGCTTTAGACCCAGGACTGAGGCTTTAGACCCAGGACTGAGGCTGTAGACCCAGGACTGAGGCTGTAGACCCAGGACTGAGGCTGTAGACCCAGGACTGAGGCTGTAGACCCAGGACTGAGGCTGTAGACCCAGGACTGAGGCTGTAGACCCAGGACTGAGGCTGTAGACCCAGGACTGAGGCTGTAGACCCAGGACTGAGGCTGTAGACCCAGGACTGAGGCTGTAGACCCAGGACTGAGGCTGTAGACCCAGGACTGAGGCTGTAGACCCAGGTCTGAGGCTGTAGACCCAGGACTGTTTAAATATAAAGTGTGATGTTTTTCTCTGACCCTCAGCTCTGGGCCTTCTGGACTGGGCTCCCAAGCGCTGGATGCCTTTGGTAAGACCCAGAGGAAAACATTCCTCCAGGATCAGTGTGTTGGACCTGACTCTGCTCCTTTTTCGCAGTGATGTCGTGTAAGTTGTTCGTGACCAAAGAGATGCTGCTGCTCAGCTCGTGTATCGCCTACACAGGTAACACCACACTGAGCCAGAAGGGGCTTTAAACCAGTTCCAAAAGTGTTAAAGTGTCCTTATAAACAGACTTGAAATATCAGGAACTCTGCCATAGACACATCCCCCCTCCCCTTCTGTCTAAATACTCTCTTTTAAAACTGTAACAGAACTTCAACTATAGGCGTTTTGAACATAAGATGGAGCTACTTTCCTTACACTCTTGTGTGTGTGTCCCAGGCCTGGAGCTCACCTTCTACAGTGGTGTGTATGGCACCAGTATCGGGGCCATGAGACGCTTTGGGACTGACGCTAAAGGACTGATCGGACTGTCGGGGATCTGCATTGGAGCTGGAGAAATACTGGGTCAGAAATGTCTGTGTGTGTGTGTGGGTAGAGTGTGTGAGTGTGTGTATACATATCTGAGAACAACAGACACACTGTATGTATGCACACACATTAAATGTATTGAAATGTGACTTGTCTGTGTAGAACAAATGTGTGTAACACATGTGTTCTACACAGACACTGTATCACAGACATTGTATTAAAGATGTGACATAACCTCTTACATCACCTGTGACCTGCAGGGGGCGGTGTATTCGGGATGCTGAACAAGTGTAACCGTTTTGGGAGAAACCCTGTGGTTCTGCTCGGCCTCCTCACACACTACCTCTCCTTCTACCTCATCTACCTCAACATTGCTCCAGACGCTCCGGTCGCCTCCCAGGAGGGTACCGACCTGCAGGCTGTCATCACACCCAGGTACCAGCCCCCCCAGGTACCAGCCGTCATCCCCCCAGGTACCAGCAGCCCCAGGTACCGTCACCCCCAGTTACCAGCTGTTATTACACTTACCAGCCGCGGGTGGTGGACATGGCTGGAGGAGAGTCTACAGAAGAGCTGTTTGAACTGGCCCCTCCCTTTCTCGTCAGTGTGGGCGTGGTCTCACTAGCCCCCCCTTTCGTCCAATGTGGGTGTGGTCTCACTAGCCCCTCCCTTTTGTTTCAGTGTGGGCGTGGCCTTATTCTGCAGCTTTCTCCTGGGATTGGGCGACAGCTGCTTCAACACTCAGCTCCTCAGCATCATTGGCTTCATGTTCAAAGACAACAGTGCTCCTGCATTCGCTGTGTTCAAGTTCATACAGGTACCAGAGAGAGCCCAGAGAGAGCCCAGAGAGAGCCCAGAGAGAGCCCAGAGAGAGCCCAGAGAGAGCCCAGAGAGAGCCCAGAGAGAGCCCAGAGAGAGCCCAGAGAGAGACGAGAGAGAGACGAGAGAGAGACGAGAGAGAGACGAGAGAGAGACGAGAGAGAGAGAGAGAGAGAGAGACGAGAGAGAGACGAGAGAGAGAGACGAGAGAGAGACGAGAGAGAGACGAGAGAGAGACGAGAGAGAGACGAGAGAGAGAGAGAGAGACGAGAGAGAGACGAGAGAGAGACGAGAGAGAGACGAGAGAGAGAGACGAGAGAGAGACGAGAGAGAGACGAGAGAGAGACGAGAGAGAGACGAGAGAGAGACGAGAGAGAGACGAGAGAGAGACGAGAGAGAGACGAGAGAGAGACGAGAGAGAGACCAGAGAGAGACCAGAGAGAGACCAGAGAGAGACCAGAGAGAGACCAGAGAGAGACCAGAGTGAGACCACTCTAAGGCGCTGCTCTATACACTGTGCTGTAACACACTTGCTTCAGTAGGGGGCGCTGTATGGCCCTGAGCTGTGCTTTGACTCTTCTCTCTCATGTTCCAGTCCATCATGGCCGCCATTGCCTTCTTCTACAGTAACTACTTCCTGCTCCACTGGCAGCTGCTGATCCTGGTTGTGTCTGGGTTCGTGGGCACCGTGACCTTCTTCAGCGCTGAGTGGATGGCCGAGTCCAGTCGCCGCAGCTCGGACTACGACAGCATCTGAGGCTCGTTGTGTAGTGTGTGTGTGTGTGGACCACAGGGGGCGCTGTCTGCACTCTGAGCCGGTCTCACAGACTTGTCACCATCTGAATGTGGAGCGACACCTGGAAACAAAGGGAAAATGAAACTAGTGCTGAGGGAGAAGCTGTGTGATCACATGAAGGACACATGGGTTTATGTCGAGTTAAACTGCTATTACTATTACTGCTACTTCTTCTGCTGCTACTCTAAAGCAGACTCCACACACACTGATAGAAACTGGCACAAACACATCCCCTGGCCCTGATTGAGGATTATTATTTATTTGAGCAATTTCTGTCTAAAATCTTCTCCATCTATTTTCTTCAGTTCATTTCAATGTATGTGTGTATCACCAAATCAAATCAACAAGTTTTTACAGTGTGTGTTAAGAGGTTTTCCATACGGTTCTCTTAAACCGTATTGCTACTTCCCTCTCGCTCTCTCTACCTGGTCTCTCTCTGGTCTCTCTCTGGTCTCTCTCTGGTCTCTCTCTGGTCTCTCTCTGGTCTCTCTCTGGTCTCTCTCTCTGGTCTCTCGCTCTGGTCTCTCGCTCTGGTCTCTCTCTGATCTCTCTCTCTGGTTTCTCTCTAGTCTCTCTCTAGTCTCTCTCTGGTCCCTCTCTGGTCTATCTTGGTCTCTCTCTGGTCCCTCTCTGGTCTCTCTTTCTGTCGTCTGAAGAATTCTGATGAACTATTAGCTATTCTTTTTGCACATTTTGTCTCCTTTTAGACAAAAATTCTTTAATCATTCTAAATACCATGGCTTTGAACTGGACTCAGAATGGTGCTAGGTGCGCTTCAACCACTAGATGTCGCCACAAGCTCATGTTTCTGAGCTCTAGTTTTGTGGGTATCCCTAAAAACTTGGCATTTTGTGCTGCTGCAAGCTAACCTTAGCCTGATCCCGAACCCAAACATTAGCCAAGTTGTTCTTTAAAGGGATTGTGACTCTTCGATGCATATTTGACTAAAGAAATGCAGCAACATGTGAATGTTGACCTCAGTATGGGACGAGAGATGTTGAGAGTTTAGTGAGTCCCGTCACGCCAGCCACAGAAAGCCTTAATGTTCATAAAGAGCTGGAGGAGCATGTTCAATAAATTAAATTTTTTTCACTGAAATCAATATTAAATAATACACAGCCACATATCGAAGTGCTGTGTTTGTTATGGGAGCGCTCAGGTTTAACCAGGTCCCATTAGCGCGGCAGTCTCTGCTCAGACCACAGGTCACGTTAGCACTCAGCGAAACCTGTTCACATTGTAAGACCTTATAGCTGAGGTACCTAACTTTTCTCTCTATGGTCTAAGTAAGTGATTTTTACTTATATAGGACCTTTCACAGACATTCACAAATTACAATTGTTGTTGATGGGTATTTGTCTCTCACTCCACACAGTGATGGGAGACCAGAGAGAGAGAGACCAGAGGGACAACACACATGGACGGTGCATGCCAAACCTTTTGTACATGTTTTTAGTGGTTGGGGAAACCGGCGCACCTGGAGGAAACCTACAGAACAAGGTCTGGAGGTGGAAACGAATCCAGGCCCTTGCTGCAAAACACAAACCACTGCACCTTCGTGCTCACGTCTCTCTGGTCTCTCTGTAAAAGTTCGGTACCCCAGCTTTAAGAAGTCCCATTCCTCTCTTTGCCTTGGCCTCTCGTTGCTGGGCAGATTATTATGAAGTTAAATTGTCTCTTTTATCTGTATAATTTATGTGTGAGATAGTCAGTCTGTTCGTCTCCATAGCGACCGTGTCTTGTCTCTATATCGATCATTTTCTTAGTTTACAAAACACCTTTTGACGCATTGATAGGTCGCCTCTCCGCAGACTCGTAAAGGGATTATTTAAAGATTTATATAAATGTACGGATCACAAGGGAAACGCTGACTTTGATTTTATACTTGAATTCTGCACATTGTGAATAAAGTTATTTTCATCATGTGTTTGGTTTGTGATGTCACATGTCAATGTGTGTTTTAGAAAAACAAACTCTAACATCCTATCTGTCTGAGGGGGACTCTGTAGTTTTGGCCTCTGATGACACATTTACTCTCTGTATAAGTGATTCACAGACAAACATCATTGTCATATACATTTAAACTTATTTTAAAAAGGAGAAAATGGTAAAATGCAGACGGAAAGTGGAAGGTTCTGGAGAGCGATGGTTTCTATGTCTCTATGAGATATGAGTATAATCTTTTTTTGCCCTGAGACCTCAGCCTGCGCAGCGCGTGCAGCCATCGAAAGGGAGGAAGCCAACTCTAAAAGTCTCTGCACCACCACCACCTCGAAGGATCTCAACACCTCCACCACCTCGAAGGATCTCAACACCTCCACCACCTCGAAGGATCTCAACACCTCCACTGTCATCAGAAGCAGCTGCATCATCACCAGCAGCAGCTGCATCATCACCAGCAGCAGCTTCATCATCACCATTAGCAGCACTAGCAGCACTACCACCACCACCACCAACATCCTCATCCCCAGCCTGCTCCAAAGCAGCCACGCCTTCTTCATCTACAGCGCCTCTGAAGCCCCCAGGCTACAGCAGACAGGCCTGTGCTGGGGTTTCCTCAACCACCTGCCCCTCCATCAAAGACTCCCTCGCCACCTCCCACGGACCTGTCTTGGGTCCCCCCTGCCACGTCCACTCCATCAAGAGAGAATGGGGACACGTCCCTTTGTTTTTCATCCCCGCCTTCACTGTTAGACCTACCTGAACACTCTGTAGGGCTAATAAAATCAGCGATGAAGACTATTCCTCTCACACCCATATTAGCTAGATCTAGAGTCCTGTCCAACATTCTAAACCACTCCCCATATGTACCCCCAAAACCACCTAGGGTTTCCAATTCACCTACAAAAACCACCTCAGCCAGTCCCTCCCCTAACCTCATGACCATTCCACCCCCACTTCCTGAAATTACTGATACTGAAACCTTGAAACTTGCTACGCTTAATGTCAGATCTCTTTGTAACAAGTCTTTTTTAATCAATAATTTTATTTGTTCTCATAATCTTGATCTTATGTTCATGGCTGAAACTTGGCTTGACCAAACTTCAGGAAATGCAGTTTTAATAGAAGCATTTCATGTTTGAATCTGAAATACGGGAAAACAAAAAAGGAGGAGGCTTAGCTGCCATTTTTAGAGACCACTTTGTCTCCCATAGAATGTCTCTTGGGAAGTTTTCGTCATTTGAATATGTGTCTTTTAAAATACAACAGTTAATAGATTAACAAACCCCCCTGTTCAAATGCCATTAGAGCTTACTTCCAAACGTAAATGCAATGAGTTTGCTAATTTTTTCAATGACAAGGTTCAAGGCATCAAAAACGCCATTGTCTCCAATCCACAGATAACCATCCAACTGCCAGAAAGGCTCTCTGAGCTAACTCACTTTGCACCTGTAAATGATAAAACTGTCCAAGAGATAATCTCCAGTTTAAGCTCCTCCACATGCAGCTTGGATGTACTACCCACTAGATTTCTGAAGTCTGTTCTGAGCAGTCTGTTACCTTCACTCACACAGATAGTAAACATGTCCCCAAAGGCCCTGAAAACTGCAGTCATCAGGCCCCTGCTAAAAAAGAGCAGTCTCGATGCTGTGGAGTACCACAGGGGTCGATCCTGGTCGACCATGAGATCCTCTTACAGAGACTAGAGGACTGACCTCTTCTGTTCAATCATATGGCCCTGACTCTACATGCTGCCGTTAGGTCAGTTAATACGTTAAGACCTGTAGACTCACTTCTTCACTGTATCCAACAGATCAGTGAGTGGATGCAAAACAACTTCCTTCAGCTAAACGCAGACAAAACTGAAATGATTGTCTTTGGTCCCCAGAAACAAAGAGAGAGCGTCATCTGTCACCTACAGTCTCTCTCCCTAAAACCTTCAAACAAGGTCAGAAATCTAGGGGTAATACTGGACTCAGACTTAAATTTTAATAGCCACATCAAATCAGTAACATCAGCAGCTTTTTACCATCTAAAAAACATTGCCAGGATCAAAAACATAGTGTGTAAAGCAGACCTGGAGATTCTTATCCATGCATTTGTCTCCAGGTTAGACTACTGCAATGGCCTGCTCACAGGTCTGTCCAAACAGGCTGTAAAACAGCTACAGTACATTCAAAATGCAGCAGCTCCAGTCCTGACTAGAACCAGGAAGTACGACCACATTAGTCCAGTCCTCAGGTCTCTGCACTGGCTTCCTGTGGCTCAGAGAATAGACTTTAAAACAGCTCTGCTTGTTACAAGTCTCTCCATGGCCTCGCACCAAAATATATTAGTGACATGTTAGTCCCATATGAACCAGCCCGGACTCTGAGGAGCACAGGGACTGGACTCCTGTTAGTGCCCAGAGTCAGAACTAAACATGGGGAGGCTGCTTTTCAGATTCATGCTGCTAAAATCTGGAACAGTCTTCCTGAAGATGTGAGACAGGCCTCCTCTCTGACAATGTTTAAAACCAGGTTAAAGACAGTTCTGTATAGCTGTGCATACAACTGAGGGATTTTATATTTTTATCTTTCTTTTTAATGTTCTGTGATTATTTATGATTTTAATGCTTTCTTGTTTTGTTCAGCACTTTGAATTGCCTTGTGTATGAATTGTGCTATATAAATAAACTTGCCTTGCCTTGCCTATAATCTGGGGTCGGGCAGTCTGTTTATTAAAGCTGGGGTACCTGACTTTCACACTATAACAATATATATCCATGCCACAATCTGTAATTAAGTACTCTTTATATAGCGCCTTTCTCAGACCAGAGTCACGAAGCGCTTCACAAAAGTACATGCATGTAGTTATATCACTACATGTATGTTTTTTTCAAACAGGTGAAAAAGAGACCAAAGAGTAAAACAAGGATTCCTTCCATCTGTAGTTTTCACATTTATTTCTGGCCTCTGTGACATCTTTAGATCATCTTTTTCAAAGAGTAAAACAAGGATTCCTTCCATCTGTAGTTTTCACATTTATTTCTGGCCTCTGTGACATCTTTAGATCATCTTTTTCAGACAGAAAAGTGAGGGCCAGCCTCTCAGGCCAAATAGTCAGATAGTGATTCACAGGGATCATTCTGACATTTTTTTGTTTTTTTTCAAATAAAATGAAAAAAGCATGTTGTGGTCTGACTTGTTCACAACATTGCGTTTAATTATACAGAATACAAAACAGGTACCCAACGAGCAGATATAACTAGCTGTTCCTTAATTTAATCTGGCATGGTTGTGGCCCTGCGCAGTTGTGCAGTTTTGCCTTTTCCTGGTTTGTTCATTGACTTCGCACGCTGTCTGCAGTCGCTTGGAGACGCACAAGCCGACAATCAGAGGGATTCCCGCATATGAGCCCAGAGTCAAGCGCGAATGGCTCCATCCCAATCACTTTCTGCTTATCCTTCAAAATAAAAGCCCACTAAGACCTCTTTGCCGGGTTTTAACACACATTACAGCCCATTACGAATGCATATGCATAATTGTGCTTGTAAGTATGTTTTTTCTACGTCTCCAACGTATGACCACCATATCAACTTTCTTTTTGAAACGTGTGGACTTTTATTGTGAAGGCGCAGTTCCGGTGCGCTGTGCTAGCTTGACTTCGCTGATGCGCGTTCGCTGTATTCCTTCACACTTTGGGCACAATTTACTCATCAAAGAAGGAATAACGTCACACAGTCGGGATGTGTGACGTCTGAATTGCTATTGTACAACTTAATTGATGTGTTTATCGCTGTGTTACGTGTGAATGAGGTAGTTTTTGAAGTTTTTTGGACGTAACCTGCGGCTCTTTTCGACCGTTAGCCTCGTTATTCATTATAATTATTGTGTATCAGTCGTTTCCTTCACTAAATCAAAATGGCGGAGAAGGACATCAGCCTGTATGACTTGTTGAACTTGTCTATCAGCTCTCCAGGACAGGGGGCGGTCAACTTCAGGGCCATGTACGCGCTCCTCAACAGCATTCTGCGGCAGCTGGACCTCCGGGAAGTCACCGTGAGCGCGGAGGACTTCACCCCGGGGGAGAGTGGTGCTGAGGCGGGCAGAGAAGAGGAGCAGAGCCGCGGTGTGAGCGCAGGACCCCGAGAGCAGGAGGAGAAAGAGGCCGGGAAAGAGGCTGCGAGTGGACAGGTAACAGCAGGGGGGCCCAAAGCCTCATTTAAAGCTGAGATACCTGACTTTTTTGTTTCATTAATAGCGTTGAGACTGGTCCTCTCTTTCTCACTTTTCTGTCTGATAAATATGATCTAAAGATGTGACAGAAACCAGAAACACATGATGTGAAAAGTAGAGATCGAAGCAGCTGTTTCAGAGCCAGAACTAGAGACATGAGTTTTAATGTTCAACTCAACTTCTCTGGTCTTGTCCCTGGTCTCCTCTGATTCTGTCCCTCCCTGGTCTCCCCTGGTCTTTTCCCGGGTCTGCTCTGGTCCTGTCCCTGGTCTCCCCTGGTCTACTCCCGGGTCTGCTCTGGTCCTGTCCCTGGTCTCCCCTGGTCTACTCCCGGGTCTACCCTGATCCTGTCCCTGGTCTCCCCTGGTCTTTTCCCGGGTCTGCTCTGGTCCTGTCCCTGGTCTCCCCTGGTTTACTCCCGGGTCTACTCTGATCCTGTCCCTGGTCTCCCATGGTCTTGTCCCTGGTCGCCTCTGGTCCTGTCCCTGGTCCTCAACAGATGATGGTCTCTGTCTCGATGTCGTGTGACGCTCTAGGCTCCTGGTGAGAGCACAAAGGCTCTAACCACGTTCAGGTTTCAGAAGATTAAAGATAATCCACGAGAGACACATGGTCCTCTGAGACACAGTCTTCTTAGACATATCCCCCGGTCGAACTTGCCTGGAACACGTCAGTAGAATGGTTTTACTCAAGTAAATAAAGGCACTCTGTCATTTTCACAGTTGATCCAAATGAAAGATATGTTAACCAATAACAAATGTGGCCTTTCTAAGAATATTTACCTCCACCATGTTTTTGAATTGTTCTCCTAGTCTTAGAATTTGAATTATAAATGTCCAAGAGGACGACACCGATAGTAACTGTCTTCACACCGACAGTAACTGGCTTCACACCAACAGTATCTGTCTTCACACCAACAGTATCTGTCTTCACACAACAGTATCTGCACACAACAGTAACTGTCTTCACACCAACAGTATCTGTCTTCACACAACAGTAACTGTCTTCACACCAACAGTATCTGTCTTCACACCAACAGTATCTGTCTTCACACAACAGTAACTGTCTTCACACCAACAGTATCTGTCTTCACACCAACAGTATCTGTCTTCACACAACAGTAACTGTCTTCACACCAACAGTAACTGTCTTCACACCGACAGTAACTGTCTTCACACCGACAGTAACTGTCTTCACACAACAGTAACTGTCTTCACACAACAGTATCTGTCTTCACACAACAGTAACTGTCTTCACACCAACAGTATCTGTCTTCACACAACAGTAACTGTCTTCACACCAACAGTATCTGTCTTCACACCAACAGTATCTGTCTTCACACAACAGTAACTGTCTTCACACCGACAGTAACTGTCTTCACACCGACAGTAACTGTCTTCACACCGACAGTAACTGTCTTCACACAACAGTAACTGTCTTCACACAACAGTATCTGTCTTCACACAACAGTAACTGTCTTCACACCAACAGTAACTGCCTTCACACCGACAGTAACTGTCTTCACACCGACAGTAACTGTCTTCACACCGACAGTAACTGTCTTCACACCGACAGTAACTGTCTTCACACCAACAGTATCTGTCTTCACACCAACAGTATCTGTCTTCACACAACAGTAACTGTCTTCACACCGACAGTAACTGTCTTCACACCGACAGTAACTGTCTTCACACCGACAGTAACTGTCTTCACACAACAGTAACTGTCTTCACACAACAGTATCTGTCTTCACACAACAGTAACTGTCTTCACACCAACAGTATCTGTCTTCACACCGACAGTAACTGTCTTCACACAACAGTATCTGTCTTCACACAACAGTAACTGTCTTCACACCAACAGTAACTGTCTTCACACCAATAGTAACTGTCTTCACACCGACAGTAACTGTCTTCACACCGACAGTAACTGTCTTCACACCGACAGTAACTGCCTTCACACCGACAGTAACTGCCTTCACACCGACAGTAACTGCCTTCACACCAACAGTAACTGCCTTCACACCGACAGTAACTGTCTTCACACCGACAGTAACTGTCTTCACACCGACAGTAACTGCCTTCACACCGACAGTAACTGTCTTCACACAACAGTAACTGTCTTCACACCAACAGTATCTGGCTTCACACCAACAGTATCTGTCTTCACACAACAGTAACTGTCTTCACACCGACAGTAACTGACTTCACACCGACAGTAACTGTCTTCACACAACAGTAACTGTCTTCACACAACAGTATCTGTCTTCACACAACAGTAACTGTCTTCACACCAACAGTAACTGTCTTCACACCGACAGTAACTGCCTTCACACCGACAGTAACTGTCTTCACACCAACAGTAACTGTCTTCACACAACAGTAACTGTCTTCACACCAACAGTATCTGTCTTCACACAACAGTAACTGTCTTCACACCAACAGTATCTGTCTTCACACCGACAGTAACTGTCTTCACACCAACAGTATCTGTCTTCACACCAACAGTAACTGTCTTCACACAACAGTAACTGTCTTCACACCAACAGTAACTGTCTTCACACCAACAGTAACTGTCTTCACACCAACTGTAACTGTTCTCACACCGACAGTAACTGTCTTCACACAAACAGTAACTGTCTTCACACCAACAGTAACTGACTTCACACCGACTGTAACTGTTCTCACACCGACAGTAACTGTCTTCACACCAACAGTAACTGATTTCACACCGACAGTAACTGTTCTCACACCGACAGTAACTGCCTTCACACCAACAGTAACTGTCTTCACACCGACTGTAACTGTTCTCACACCGATAGTAACTGTCTTCACACCAACAGTAACTGTCTTCACACCAACAGTAACTGTTCTCACACCGACAGTAACTGTCTTCACACCGACTGTAACTGTTCTCACACCGACAGTAACTGTCTTCACACCGACAGTAACTGTCTTCACACCAACAGTAACTGTTCTCACACCGACAGTAACTGTCTTCACACCAACAGTAACTGTCTTCACACCAACAGTAACTGTTCTCACACCGACAGTAACTGTCTTCACACCAACAGTAACTGTCTTCACACCAACAGTATCTGTCTTAACACAACAGTAACTGTCTTCACACCAACAGTAACTGTTCTCACACCAACAGTATCTGTTTTCACACCAACAGTAACTGTCTTCACACCGACTGTAACTGTTCTCACACCAACAGTAACTGTCTTCACACCAACAGTAACTGTCTTCACACCAACAGTAACTGTCTTCACACCGACTGTAACTGTTCTCACACCGATAGTAACTGTCTTCATACCGACTAACTGTTCTCACACCGACAGTAACTGTCTTCACACCAACAGTAACTGACTTCACACCGACAGTAACTGGCTTCACACCAACAGTAACTGTCTTCACACCAACGTTCACACAGGACGTTCTGACCCGCTCCGAGTCCAACTACTATTTTACAAGTTTCAAGTTGTCGTGGCTTCTCTGATCATGGAGGTTTTAAGCTCCCACTGACCATATTCCATATTGCCCTTCGCAGCACTCATAGTACCGGGACTGCAATAGAAGATCTCAACGCTAGATGAGAGTAAAAACTACACAATGTAGCTTTAAGTAGTTTTTCCTGGTATCTGTACATTATTTTGCCAACTTCTTTTTGACTTATTTATTATTTCAATATTATTATAACTACACTTTTACCACAAGTCTCTGAAGGAGATACTCTGCTGTTACATCTCCTGGGCTGGACCTGGTATGGACCTGATATGGCCCCGGTCCACGTTCTCTGATGAGGCTGGATGAGGTGTGGCCCCCCACAGAGCGCAGAGTGAAAAGACCAGATCCTGAATCATTTATGAGCTGTCAGACTGTACTCAGAGGATTAGTGTGACCTCAGAGCACCTCTGTCTGTATGGGTCTGCTTCAGTACTACTTTAGTTCTGCTATAGACCTGTTCAGACCTGGTTTAGTCCTGCTTTAGACCTGCATTAGAGCTGCTTCAGACCTGGTTGAGTCCTTCTTTAGTCCTACTTTAGTTCTCCTTTAGTCCTGCTTCAGACCTAGTTCAGACCTAGTTCAGACCTGGCTCAGTGACCTGGGGTTTGTCTCCTGCTGTGAGTCAATAATCTGCAGATTTAAAGCCACATTCCTCGGTCTGCAGCAGAGCGCCTCCTGCTGGTTCAGTCTGACTCTGCTCTTTATTTAAAGCTGTTCATATTCTCATCAACTAGTTAAAGAACCACCTGTCTCCACCTCATAAGAAACATCTTAGTGTCATAGTGTGAATAAGAGCCCTATGATGATCTCTCTGGTCTCTCTATTGTCCCTCTCTGGTCTGTCTGGCCTTTTTCTGGTCTGGCTTTTCTCTCTGGTCTCTCTGTGGCCTCTGTCTTGTCTGTCTCTGGTCCCTCTCAGGTCTCTGTCTGGCCTTTCTTTCTGGTCTCTCTCTGGTCTTCCTCTCTGGTCTCCCTCTGGTCCGTTTCTTGTCCCTCTCTGTCTGATCTAAAAGCCCTATAGAGGAGACCTGCTCTGTGATGATGGATCTGTGTGAGGAGAAGCTCCACATTGTTTTGTGACTGATGAGGTTCAATATGTGACCAGCTGCTCTCAGCTGCTGCTTCTGAACCAGAGTTAAGTTTGAGAGAGTTTGGTTTAGAGTTTGTTTGTGTGGTGGTGCGTTCACTGACCTCATGCCCTTCCCCAGAGGCACAGGCCCAAACAGGACTGAACCTAATGAGACCAAACACAGGTCTCCCAGACGACCACAACGACACTCAGACTGTCGTGACCCCACAGAGCTCTGAGACCAGGGGCGGGATTTAAACATATGAGGATTTAAAGTATCTGTGTTTGAAGATCTGTGGATGTAGATCCATGTTCACTTCATGAAGGTATCACACAAAAGGATTAGATTAAGTGTGGAGACTGAACCAACTGAGTGTCAAACTTAACCATTAACCATTTATATTTACATGTTGGGTTCAAATATTAGTCTCAAATTATACACCAGAAAGAGAGACCAGAGAGCCACCAGAAAGAGACCATAGAGAGACCGGAGAGAGACCAGAGAGAGACCAGAGAGAGAGAGAGACTGGAGAACGAGCAACGACAAATCTCCTCCCTCTGATGGCAGCATCAAGAGTTACAGTAAATGTTTTGCCCTTGTTTCTCCATATAGTTTCTACTAAAGATATTGTTTCATTTTCTGAAACATGAAACATGAAATTAAACAGTCTCGTTATCATCCAATGTCACTGACGCCTCCTTTTCTCACAGGAGAATGTGGAGGACGCACAGAAAGCCCTGGACCTGATCTGCAGAACACAGAAGCAGACTGAGCAGCTGCTGCAGACTGTCAAAGTACTGCGCCACCAACAGGACAAGGTGACAACTGCAGACTTAGCTGTTACCCAGGCAAAAGGCATGACCACACACCGTACACATATGGACGATGCTAACCCGCTAGCCCGACACATATCTTTCATGTGAACGTTTGATAAATATGATGCTGTGTTGCAGAGCGCTGCTGCTCAAGCTCAGAGCGACACACATCTGAGGAGTCAGAGGGAGAGACTGGACGCTCTGGAGGAAGCTATGGTAAGTGACAACAAGATCTACAGCCTCAGTCCTGGGTCTACAACCTAAGTCCTGGGTCTACAACCTCAGTCCTGGATCTACAGCCTCAGTCCTGGATCTACAACCTCAGTCCTGGGTCTACAACCTCAGTCCTGGGTCTACAACCTCAGTCCTGGATCTACAGCCTCAGTCCTGATCCTTCTTCAGTCATGTGTGTCTGTTACAGAGACATCCACAGCAGGACGATTGTTACGTGACCTGGGAGGAGATGAAGTCTGCGCTCCTCACCGAGAGACAGAACTTAGAACAGGTGACTTTACATGTTTAAAAGTTCTCCATATAACCCATTAAAGCTGGGGTCTCTAACTCTTTTGTTTCATTTATAAATGATGTGGTTTGTCCAACAGAAAGAGTCTTGGAAAAGTAACTAATCAGACCACAACATGCTGTCTTCATTGTATTCAAAAACTTTACAGTCCTTGTGAGTCACTTTCTGCCTCTTTGGGCTGAGAGCTGATTGGCTGAGTGAGGGTGATCCTCTCTTTGATCTAAAGATGTGACAGAGACAGAAATGCATGATGTGAAGCTGGTGCTAGAAGCAGCTGTTTTAGAGCCAGAACTAGAGACATGGGTTTAATATAGAGTTACGTCCCTCAGCTTTAAATTGTGTTGTGTTGTTTAAATGTTTTACATTAAATATTTACATCTACATTGGAGACTGAGGTTACGTTACAGCCTAAGTGTCAGAATACAGTAAAGAGTAAACACATCTTTGATTGGATAATAGAGAAAGACCAGAGAGAGTCAAGAGAGAGAGAGACCAGAGAGAGAGAGAGACCACAGACAGACCAGAGAGAGACCACAGACAGACCAGAGAGAGACCAGAGAGAGACCACAGACAGACCAGAGAGAGACCAGAGAGAGACTAGAGAGCGGGACCAGAGATAGACTAGTGAGAGAGATTCTCCTGTTCAACAAGAATAAGGTCAAAATAGAGCAGTTGTTTCTGCTCGGTTCTTCTGTGATCATTAGAATGTAATAATGTGTGTTTCTTTGTCAGGGCCTGATTCAGACTCTGAGAGAGGAAAGTGTGAGACCTCCATCAGCATCAGACACAGCTCCAACCTTAGACTCACAGACGGAGGAGGCCACAGGTGCAGCTTCTCTCTGCCTTTGTCCACGTTACACTCGCTTTTTGTCCGGCCACAGAGACCACAGATCTAGACCAGAGAGGAAGACCAGAGAGAGACCAGAGAGAGACCAGAGAGAGACCAGAGAGAGACCAGAGAGAGACCAGAGAGAGAGACCAGACCAGAGAGAGACCAGAGAGAGACCAGATAGAGACCAGAGACAGACCAGAGAGAGACCAGAGAGACAAGGGAATGAGCGGGAAAAATGTTTGAAAACTCAAGAAACTCCAAACCAATGGGATATTTGTCCATAATGATGATATCACTGCTAGCTTTAGCTTCAAGCTCATTGCAGGTTAGCTTCACTCTTGTTGCTGTTCTTGCACAGATGTCCCTCCTCTTCCAAATGTCCCGGTCAGCACAGAAGCCTCAGCCCTGGCCCCGGCCCCAGACACGGCCCCAGACCCAGACCCAGCCCCGGTCCCCCCTCTGCAGAGCCTGTCCCAGAAGGCCTGTGGAGCCTCCATGTACCAAGAGACCATGGAGGCTCTCTGGAACGTGGGCCGCCTAAAGCAGCGCTGTGATTGGATGGAGGAGAGACTTGCTGTGCTGGACGTGGAGAGAGAGAGAGAGAAAGAGGAGCTCCAGAGGCTGCGAGACCTGATCCAACGCAGAGGTCAGAGGTCACTTTATCATAACATATACTTGTTTTTAAAGCAGGGGGTCGTGACTTTGTCTGTTGTATTTTGTCTGTTGTATTTTGTCTGTTTGTTATGAACAAATCAGACACAATATGATGTCTTAATCTAAGAAGACAGCTCTCTTTGTTCTCTCTCTGGTATTTCTCTCTGGTCTCTCTTTCTGGTCTCTGGTCTCTCTCTCTGGTCTCTCTCTGGTCTCTCTCTGGTCTCTCTCTGGTCTATCTCTCTGGTCTCTCTCTGGTCTCTCTCTGGTCTTTCTCTCTGGTCTCTCTCTGTTCTCTCTCTCTCTGGTCTATCTCTCTCTGGTCTCTCTCTGGTCTTTCTCTCTGGTCTCTCTCTGTTCTCTCTCTCTCTGGTCTATCTCTCTGGTCTATCTCTCTCTGGTCTCTCTCTCTGGTCTCTCTCTGGTCTCTCTTTGGTCTCTCTCTCTGGTCTATCTCTCTGGTCTCTCTCTGGTCTCTCTCTGGTCTTTCTCTGGTCTTTCTCTCTGGTCTCTCTCTGTTCTCTCTCTCTGGTCTATCTCTCTGGTCTCTCTCTGTTCTCTCTCTCTGGTCTATCTCTCTGGTCTCTCTCTCTGGTCTCTCTCTCTGGTCTCTCTCTGGTCTCTCTCTCTGGTCTCTCTCTGGTCTCTCTCTGGTCTCTCTCTGTGGTCGCTCTCTGGTCTCTCTCTCTGGTCTCTCTCTCTGGTCCATCTCTCTGGTCTATCTCTGGCTTCTCTCTGGTCTCTCTCTGTGGTCTCTCTCTGGTCTATCTGGTCTCTCTCACTGGTCCATCTCTCTGGTCTCTCTCTGGTCTCTCTGGTCCCTCTCTCTGGTCCATCTTTCTGGTCTATCTCTGGCTTCTCTCTGGTCTCTCTCTGGTCTCTCTCTGCTCTCTTTGATCTCTCATTCTGGTCAACTGTGGAAACTACTGAAAGAAGTAAACTGTTTTTGAGCCAGTTCTATTATTGTGGTTTGAAAGCTACGTACCTCAGCTTTAAGCGCACACACATCATGCTCTCACCGTGAAAAGTGGATCATAAAGATCTTAAAGGTCATCTTTAGTTTTCTCTCCTGTTTGTTGTTGACGCAGACGCTGACGGAACCTTTTCTGCTCTGAAGAAGGAGCTGGAGGATCAGAGAGTACTGGTGCAGAGCCTCATGAGCGACGGAGACCAGGTGAGCCAGGGACAAGGTGAGATAGAGCCCAGGTGAAGCAGAGACCAGGTGAGACATAGACCAGGTGAGACATAGACCAGGTGAGACATAGACTAGGTGAGCCATAGACCAGGTGAGACATAGACCAGGTGAGACATAGACTAGGTGAGACATAGACTAGGTGTGCCATAGACCAGGTGAGACATAGACCAGGTGAGACATAGACTAGGTGTGCCATTGACCAGGTGAGACATAGACCAGGTGAGACATAGACTAGGTAAGCCATAGACCAGGTGAGACATAGACCAGGTGAGACATAGACTAGGTAAGCCATAGACCAGGTGAGACATAGACCAGGTGAGACATAGACTAGGTGAGACATAGACTAGGTGAGACATTGACCCGGTGAGACATTGACCAGGTGAGACATAGATCAGGTGAGACACAGAGAGACCAGGTGAGACATAGACCAGGTGAGACACACAGAGACCAGGTGAGGAAACTTTCATTTATTTCATCACAATTGCCCATTAAAGGAAAATAGCCCCATTTCCATTATTGCTAACACTATTGTTATGTCAAACTCTGCAGCCCACTCCTTTATACGCTCTATGAACACCTGGTCTTGCTATTTTGCTAAGATAAGCAGGTCAGGGCCGGATCAGTACTGTGATGGGGGACCTCTAACATCAGGTGTCCTTAGGCAAGACACATCAGCCACATGGACCTTGTATGACTGCTGTGTGGGTGGGGGTCAAACCACAGTTGATTCTGGATTTGTAATCTGTAGTTCCCACACTGTCCACTGAGGTCGGTGAGGCGCTGTTGTCTTGTCATGATCAAAGGGTTCAAGCATCACTTATTCAGAGATGTTTTCTTTGTGTGTGGAAGTTTGAGGAGCTGAGGGACAGTGAGGACAGAGCAGAGGACAGCAGAGACAGAGCCCCTGGACTGGACCAGGACCAAGAGCCAGACCTCAGCTCAGAGCCAAAGACCCACATGGACCCAGACGCTTCCCCAAACATTCCCCCAGAACAGGAACCAGAGCAGAAGCCAGTGCTGGACCAGACCCTGGACCCAGACCCGGTCCCAGTGGCGGAGTCAGACTTCATCAAAGAACTAGACCCGGAGGTGAACACTGAGGACCAGAACGAGGGTTCTGACCTTGTCCTGGACCCAGAGTCAGAGCCTGAACCAGTTCCACGTCTACTCCCAGAGCCAGTCCCAACTCAGGTCCCAACCCAGGTCCCAACCCAGGTCCCATTCCAAGCCTTGGTCACAAACCCGGCTTCAGAACTGGTCCCAGGCGTCGATGTGGTCTCAGGTCTGCAGACGCTGCGGTCGGAGGTCTCCAAATTGAGACGAGGGTTCCTTCAGCTCAGGTAACTCCTGAAGGAAAAGTTAATATGGCCACGCCCCCAGACAAACCACAACTCCATTCATAGAAAAGATAAAACTTGAAAATTGGTGGTTTTCGCTCACATTGTAGCATCTAGATGCATTTAGATCTAAAGTCAGAATTGTGATTGGTCAAACTGTGCCTCATGTCCCTCCACATAATGTAAACAAGTGTAGCACCAAAACTAGTTTCAGATTTGTGATCACTGAACCGGTGTGTGTAGCAGACTCACATCTTTTTCATAGAGACACATGACAGCTCCATGTTACTCGATGGAAACACTCATAGGCGTTACGTTTACAAAATCAGACATTTCTTTACGAGAGTCAGGATCTGTGTTGTTGTGTGTAGTTGTCTGCAGTTGTGGTTAATTGTGTGTTGTTTTGTGTCATTAAAAAGTGTGTGTGGTCAGAGTGCAGGTGAACTCAGTGGAGCACAATGTGAAGGATCTCAGGGACAGAGTGGAGGTTTCAGCAGAAGACATGAACCAGAGCCTCCAGGATCAGGTCAAGACCAGGACCCAGACCAGGACCAGGACCCAACCACATTGGAATACATCCACAAAAGTCCCCAGTGTGCACAAGACAAGTACAGAAATAGGAAACAATTGTCACTGTGAAATCGATCGACTAAAACAGTTTCAATACATGTGAAAACATAAACTGATAACAACTTTTGGAAAGATGTTGTTAGCAAAACATGATGTCCTGCATCTCAACCAGTCGGGGCGGGTCCCGACTCCAAAGGGTCCATGCACATGGGATTTATCAATAACAACAGGCGTGTGAGAACTGTTACGGCTAACATTACGTACAAGTTCACATGTTTTGGATTTGTTCAGCTGTTTCAGAGTTTGTTTTCTTTACTCCAACAAACAACACTTTATATTTCTGCTCTAGAATAGGATTCATCATCATCACTGATGAGATCATGATGGTGGTGTCATCAGTGTATTTAATACATCCAATCTAATCAGAATACATCCCTGAGGAGATCCCTGACCAAGACCCAGACCAGGACCCAGACCAGTTGACTAGTGGTCTCCAGCTTTAATGAGTGTAGCTCTATCATGTACTGTGTGTGTGTGTGTGTGTGTGTATGTGTGTGTGTATGTATGTGTGTGTGTATGCTCCTCAGTTGGACAGTTTGCGTGGAATGTTACATCAGATCATGGAGTCTTTGCCCTCGGAGCTGAACCTGCAGGACGGCCCTGAGGAGGAGGAGCAGAGAGAGGAAGAAGAGCAAGAGGAGAAAGAGGAGGAGCAGAGAGAGGAGGAGCAGAAAGGGGAGTGGGGACAGGAGGACAGGAACCAGGAGTCGAGCTTCAAGCACTCGGTCATGAGTCTGAGCTCCAGACTCGGCCTCCTGTTCCAGCAGCACGAGCAGCTACAGGAGGCTGTCACCTCTCTGATCCAACAGCAGCCCAGCTCATGGAGAGATGTGCAGGCAAGGAGAGAGAGGGAGGAGGAGGCCCCAGAGAGCGGGCTTCAGGGAGGAGGAGGCCCCAGGAAGGAGGCCACAGGGAGGGGGCTCCAGGAAGTAGGGAACAGTAAACAAAAAGATTATATATATATATATATATTATAACCGGTTTTATACAGCGCTTTTCAGGACGCTCAAAGATGCTTCACATGTCATTATTCTTTCACTCCATTCACAGTGGTGTATAACTACTACTGTAGCCACAGCTGCCCTGGGGCACAATGACATAAGGCAGGCAACCAATCTGTGCTATCGACCCCTCTGACCACCTACAACCATTCACACACACACACACACACACACACACACCAGACTCATTCTTCCTTGTAGATGGCAGTATTTCTTATTAGACCACACAGTGTTTAGGTCGTTGGCTGAAGTCTTTATCATTTCAGGAGTAAAATTCATATTAAGTAGATTAATTGCATGTAGAGCCACAAACTACAGAATTACTTTCAGAAATGACAACAATGTTTTACTTGTTAGTTAAATTTTCTCTCTCTGGTTTCAGAGTGCTCCGCTGATGAGCAGTGTACAGAAAGCAATACTCCAGCTCCAGAATGAGTGTGAGAAACTGAGTGAGACCACACAGTGTTTACATGAGGACAACCAGCAGAAGCAAACGCACATCCAGGTACCACACACAGAAGCGGATGCACAACTGGTCTCTCTCCGGTCACTCTCTGGTCTCTCCCTAATCTCTCTCTGGTCTCTCCCTGATCTCTCTCTAATCTCTCTCTGGTCTCTCTCTGGTCTCTCCCTGATCTCTCTCTAATCTCTCTCTGGTCTCTCTCTGGTCTCTCCCTGATCTCTCGTTAATCTCTCTCTGGTCTCTCTCTGGTCTCTCTGCCCTGGACACTGGACTAGGTGGTATGGTAATATAAATTCGTATCATCATGATTCTATCACATGAATCTTTGTGGTCTGAACGTCTATGATGGTGTTGCAGGAGCTGTACAAGGCGACTAAGCAGCTGGAGGAGAAGAAAGCCGACAGAAACATGGTGGAAGTGGAAATGGTGAGTTTGGATCCGCAGCTTGTGTGTGTGTTTCAGAGCGCTCTCTGGTCTCTCTCTCTCTGGTCTCTATCGCTGGTCTCTATCTCTGGTCTCTATCTCTGGTCTCTCTCTGGTCTCTCTCTCTGGTCTCACTGGTCTCTCTCAGGTCTCTCTCTGGTCTCTCTCTGGTCTCTCTCTATGGTCTCTCTGGTCTCTCTCTGGTCTCTCTCTGGTCTCTCTCTGGTCTCTCTCTGGTCTCTCTCTGGTCTCTCTCTCTGGTCTCTCTGGTCTCTTTCTGGTCTCTCTGGTCTCTCTCTGGTCTCTCTCTGGTCTCTCTCTGGTCTCTATCTCTGGTCTCTATCTCTGGTCTCTATCTCTGGTCTCTCTCTCTGGTCTCTCTCTCTGGTCTCTATCTCTGGTCTCTCTCTGGTCTCTCTCAGGGTTTCTAGTCCTTGTGGCTTTAGGCTGTAGTACTGCAGGTATTATCTGTGTGTGTGTCTCTCTGTCTGTGTGTGTTTCAGCGTGCAGATAAGAGTGCCCTGGAGACTAAAGTGAGCCGTGTGCAGTTTGACTCAGTGACAGAGCAGCTCAGTAACATGTTCCACGAGCTGCTGAGCAAAGTGAGCGATCAGGAGCAGGACGTCAGCAAAGTTATGGACAAACTCTCACACGAGATGGACCTGAAGGTACCTCCTCTTGCTCTCTGAATGTACCTCCTCTCTCCTCCTCTTCCTCTCTGAATGTACCTCCTCTCTCCTCTCTGAATGTACCTCCTCTTCCTCTCTGAATGTACCTCCTCTTCCTCTCTGAATGTACCTCCTCTTCCTCTCTGAATGTACCTCCTCTTCCTCTCTGAAGGTACCTCCTCTTCCTCTCTGAATGTACCTCCTCTCTCCTCTCTGAATGTACCTCCTCTCTCCTCTCTGAAGGTACCTCCTCTTCCTCTCTGAATGTACCTCCTCTCTCCTCTCTGAAGGTATCTCCTCTTCCTCTCTGAATGTACCTCCTCTCTCCTCTCTGAAGGTACCTCCTCTCTCCTCTCTGAATGTACCTCCTCTCTCCTCTCTGAATGTACCTCCTCTCTCCTCTCTGAAGGTACCTCCTCTTCCTCTCTGAATGTACCTCCTCTCTCCTCTCTGAATGTACCTCCTCTCTCCTCTCTGAAGGTACCTCCTCTTCCTCTCTGAATGTACTTCCTCTCTCCTCTCTGAATGTACCTCCTCTCTCCTCTCTGAAGGTACCTCCTCTCTCCTCTCTGAATGTACCTCCTCTCTCCTCTCTGAATGTACCTCCTCTCTCCTCTCTGAAGGTACCTCCTCTTCCTCTCTGAATGTACCTCCTCTCTCCTCTCTGAATGTACTTCCTCTCTCCTCTCTGAAGGTACCTCCTCTCTCCTCTCTGAATGTACCTCCTCTCTCCTCTCTGAATGTACTTCCTCTCTCCTCTCTGAATGTACCTCCTCTCTCCTCTCTGAAGGTACCTCCTCTCTCCTCTCTGAATGTACCTCCTCTCTCCTCTCTGAATGTACCTCCTCTCTCCTCTCTGAATGTACCTCCTCTCTCCTCTCTGAAGGTACCTCCTCTTCCTCTCTGAATGTACCTCCTCTCTCCTCTCTGAATGTACTTCCTCTCTCCTCTCTGAATGTACCTCCTCTCTCCTCTCTGAATGTACCTCCTCTCTCCTCTCTGAATGTACCTCCTCTCTCCTCTCAGTCTGAAGGTACCTCCTCTTCCTCTCTGAATGTACCTCCTCTCCTCTCTGAATGTACCTCCTCTCTCCTCTCTGAATGTACCTCCTCTCTCCTCTCTGAATGTACCTCCTCTCTCCTCTCTGAATGTACCTCCTCTCCTCTCTGAATGTACCTCCTCTCTCCTCTCTGAATGTACCTCCTCTCTCCTCTCTGAATGTACTTCCTCTCTCCTCTCTGAATGTACCTCCTCTCTCCTCTCTGAATGTACCTCCTCTCTCCTCTCTGAATGTACTTCCTCTCTCCTCTCTGCTCTGTGAATGTACCTCCTCTCTCCTCTCTGAATGTACCTCCTCTCTCCTCTCTGAATGTACTTCCTCTCTCCTCTCTGAATGTACCTCCTCTCTCCTCTGAATGTACCTCCTCTCTCCTCTCTGAATGTACCTCCTCTCTGAATGTACTTCCTCTCTGAATGTACCTCCTCTCTCCTCTCTGAATGTACCTCCTCTCTGAATGTACCTCCTCTCTCCTCTCTGAATGTACCCCCTCTCTCCTCTCTGAATGTACTTCCTCTCTCCTCTCTGAATGTACCTCCTCTCTCCTCTGAATGTACCTCCTCTCTCCTCTCTGAATGTACCTCCTCTCTGAATGTACTTCCTCTCTGAATGTACCTCCTCTCTCCTCCTCTCTGAATGTACCTCCTCTCTGAATGTACCTCCTCTCTCCTCTCTGAATGTACCTCCTCTCTGAATGTACCTCCTCTCTCCTCTCTGAATGTACCTCCTCTCTCCTCTCTGAATGTACCTCCTCTCTGAATGTACCTCCTCTCTCCTCTCTGAATGTACCTCCTCCTCTTTGAATGTACCTCCTCTCTCCTCCCTGAATGTACCTCCTCCTCTCTGAATGTACCTCCTCTCTGAATGTACCTCATCTCTCCTCTCTGAATGTACTTCCTCTCTCCTCTCAGAATGTACCTCCTCTCTCCTCTCTGAATGTACCTCCTCTCTCCTCTCTGAATGTACCTCCTCTCTCCTCCTCTCTGAATGTACTTCCTCTCTGAATGTACCTCCTCTCTCCTCTCTGAATGTACCTCCTCTCTCCTCTCTGAATGTACCTCCTCTCTCCTCTCTGAATGTACCTCCTCTTCCTCTCTGAATGTACCTCCTCTCTCCTCTGGAACGTGTGCCACACTCACCATTCTGTGCTTCCATATACATTTCTTTTATACTGCTTCTTTATTTCGCTAAAGTGTTATATTATTGTTCACTTGTTCTCTGTGCTCCTCCCTACTGTTCTCTACCTGTCATGCAACACTGACATTTCCTTGTGGGACCAGTAAAGGATCTCTTCATCTTAATCCTAATTCTGTGGTTTAGGGCTTCTGTGATCCTGGTATTTATATTGTGACTTCAGATATGAGCCATATAAGGACTGACCAAACCCAACCTTAGCAACCGTCTTAGCAACACGTTTGCATCCGTCGTGCATCATCACACATCATGTATTCTTGGTGCTGCCTCAAATTTAGATCAGCTTTTTCATACAGAAAAGTCAAAAAGAGAGGATCGCCCTCTCTCAGCCCAAAGCTCTTTTTTACAGTAAAGAGAACATGTTCTTTAACAATATGAATGTGACATCAGTGGTAGGATACCTTTATGAGATTCTTTCTGTTCAATCAACTGTTGAAAAGTTCAGTAGCCGAGCTTTAACCCCATCTTTAACCCAAGCTTTGTCTCCGCTGCAGTTGAACCGGATGGAGCTGGAGTCAGTGAAGAAGCAGCTGGAGGCTCGATGGAAGAACATCCAAGAGCAGATGAAGAGCGAGGGCGGACTGGAGCAGGACGACGCTGCTGTATTCAGGAAGTAAGACACACACACACACACAAACACACACACAAACACACACACAGATGGAGAGACACACACACACATTTACCCTCAGCCGTTTTCCTGTGTCATGTGTTTGTTTGTGTAGTTGTTGTTGTTGTTGTTGTGTGCAGGCAGCTGGTGGAGAGGTTCCACTGTTTGTCATGTGATCGCCCGGTGCTCAAACAAAGCCCAGGACCGTGAGTCTCTGCTCAATGATGTCATTGTTTGTCCACTTTATGAAAGGTGGCCCAGGAATTTATAGGATCTGGAGGCTTAGCCATCTAGTGCCATCAAAGAGGATACTAGAGAGAGAGAGACCAGAGAGAAACCTGGGAGAGACCAGAAAGAGAGACGAGAGAGAGAGGCCAGAGAGATACCAGAAGGAGACCAGATAGACACCAGAAATAGACCAGAGAGAGACCAGAGAGAGACCAGAGAGAGACCAGAGAGAGACCAGAGAGAGACCAGGGAGAGACCAAAGAGAGACCAGAGAGAGACCAAAGAGAGACCAGAGAGAGACCAAAGAGAGACCAGAGAGAATCCAGACAGAGAAAGAGACCAGAGAGACCAGATAGACACCAGAAATAGACCAGAGAGAGACCAGAGAGAGACCAGAGAGAGACCAAAGAGAGACCAGAGAGAGACCAAAGAGAGACCAGAGAGAGACCAGAGAGAGACCAAAGAGAGGCCAAAGAGAGACCAGAGAGAGACCAAAGAGAGACCAGAGAGAGACCAGAGAGAGACCAGAGAGAGACCAGAGAGAATCCAGACAGAGAAAGAGACCAGAGAGACCAGATAGACACCAGAGAGAGACCAGAGAGAGACCAGAGAGAGACCAGAGAGAGACCAGAGAGAGACCAAAGAGAGACCAGAGAGAGACCAAAGAGAGACCAGAGAGAGACCAGAGAGAGACCAAGAGAGACCAAAGAGAGACCAGAGAGAGACCAGAGAGAGACCAGAGAGAGACCAGAGAGAGACCAGAGAGAATCCAGACAGAGAAAGAGACCAGAGAGACCAGAGAGAGACCAGAGAGAGACCAGAGAGAGACCAAAGAGAGACCAGAGAGAGACCAAAGAGAGACCAGAGAGAGACCAGAGAGAGACCAAAGAGAGACCAAAGAGAGACCAGAGAGAGACCAGAGAGAGACCAAAGAGAGACCAGAGAGAGACCAAAGAGAGACCAGAGAGAGACCAGAGAGAGACCAAAGAGAGACCAGAGAGAGACCAGAGAGACACCAGAGAGAATCCAGACAGAGAAAGAGACCAGAGAGACCAGATAGACACCAGAGAGAGACCAGAGAGAGACCAGAGAGAGACCAAAGAGAGACCAAAGAGAGACCAGAGAGAGACCAGAGAGAGACCAGAGAGAGACCAGAGAGAATCCAGACAGAGAAAGAGACCAGAGAGACCAGATAGGATAAAGAAAGAGAACTGGGGGATGAAGACTTCTGCTCAGAGTAAGGAGAGGAGTTGATCACTTTGTTATGATTTGAACAGAGAAACCCAACCCAACAGAGAGTGTGTGTTAACAGAGTGTGTGTTTTAACAGACAGTGTGTATCAACAGAGAGTGTGTATCAACAGAGAGTGTGTGTTAACAGAGAGTGTGTATCAACAGAGAGTGTGTGTATCAACAAAGAGTGTGTGTTAACAGAGAGTGTGTATCAACAGAGAGTGTGTGCTAACAGAGAGTGTGTATCAACAGAGAGTGTGTATCAACAGAGAGTGTGTGTTAACAGAGAGTGTGTGTTAACAGAGTGTGTATCAACAGAGAGTGTGTGTTAACAGAGAGTGTGTGTTAACAGAGAGTGTGTATCAACAGAGAGTGTGTGTTAACAGAGAGTGTGTGTTAACAGAGAGTGTGTATCAACAGAGAGTGTGTGTATCAACAGAGAGTGTGTGTTAACAGAGAGTGTGTATCAACAGAGAGTGTGTTTTAACAGACAGTGTGTATCAACAGACAGTGTGTGTTAACAGACAGTGTGTATCAACAGAGAGTGTGTGTTAACAGAGAGTGTGTATCAACAGAGAGTGTGTGTTAACAGAGAGTGTGTATCAACAGAGAGTGTGTGTTAACAGAGAGTGTGTATCAACAGAGAGTGTGTATCAACAGAGAGTGTGTGTTAACAGAGAGTGTGTATCAACAGAGAGTGTGTGTTAACAGAGAGTGTGTATCAACAGAGAGTGTGTGCTAACAGAGAGTGTGTATCAACAGAGAGTGTGTATCAACAGAGAGTGTGTGTTAACAGAGTGTGTATCAACAGAGAGTGTGTGTTAACAGAGAGTGTGTGTTAACAGAGAGTGTGTGTTAACAGAGAGTGTGTATCAACAGAGAGTGTGTGTTAACAGAGAGTGTGTATCAACAGAGAGTGTGTGTATCAACAGAGAGTGTGTGTTAACAGAGAGTGTGTATCAACAGAGAGTGTGTGTTAACAGAGAGTGTGTATCAACAGAGAGTGTGTGTTAACAGAGAGTGTGTATCAACAGAGAGTGTGTGTTAACAGAGAGTGTGTATCAACAGAGAGTGTGTGTTAACAGAGAGTGTGTATCAACAGAGAGTGTGTGTTAACAGAGAGTGTGTATCAACAGAGAGTGTGTGTTAACAGAGAGTGTGTGTTGCAGACAGCTGATGACGCTGCCGGCCTCCCCCAGTTTACCTCCAAACAGATCTCTGAGGCCTTTCACCGTCTACACTCTGGAGCAGATCCGCCAGCACTACAAGAGGTCTGTCCTACATCTCAGAGCTGACCTCAAAGCTGACCTCAGAGCTGACCCCTGACCTCAGAGCTGACCTTTGACTTCTTACACGTTTGTGACCAACAGTCTCTATGATCCTGGGGTTTTATTTTCATGTTGTCTTTATTCATCCAGATATGAACCCTAACAACTGACCAATCAGGAGCCTTCTGTCCCTGTGTGTGTCTGTCTGTGTGTGTGTGTGTGTTTGTGTGTGTGTGTGTCTCAGCCTGACTCCAGGGACCAACAGTTTCACCAATAAACTTTCGAACTGCAGCCGCAGGATAGCGCAGCTTGAGAAGAGCTGTGCAAACACAAGCAGGAGGCTAGAGAACCTGAGAGAGGACCAGAGAGGGCAGAACCAGGAGCGGACGTGAGTCAGGGGCAGGCAGTGAAGGACAGGGGAGAGGAGAGTGGGGAGAGAGGGGGTGCTGATCATGGATGTATAATAATATCTGGATAGAGTATAACTAGCTTATAGCTGTCCCACCCATGGGCAAAGGGGGCGTCGTGGCACTGGAGACTAAATTCCCAAATACCCAGAAAAATGTCTCATAGAACTTAATGTAAACTAAAACTGCTGGACCTCAGCTGACAGAGAACCTGACAGAGAACCTACAGCTTTCATGAAGAAAGATTCTGTGGGAATTCTTGTTCCTTGTCATCCTCAACTTTTTTTCTTGTTGAATCCTTCAATTTACTTTGTGTCTCTCTCTGTGTGTGTTTTTTTCTCTCTCTGTGTCTCTCTCTCTCTATCTCTGTCTCTGTGTGTGTGTGTCTCTCTCTCTCTATGTCTCTGTGTGTGTGTGTGTGTGTGTGTGTGTGTCTCTCTCTCTCTCTCTCTGTGTCTCTGTGTGTGTGTGAGTGTGTGTGTGTCTCTCTCTCGCTCTGTGTCTCTGTGTGTGTGTGTCTCTCTCTCTCTGTGTCTGTGTGTGTGTGTCTCTCGCTCTGTGTGTGTGTGTGTGTCTCTCTCTCTCTTTGTCTCTGTATGTGTGTGTGTCTCTCTCTGTGTCTCTATGTGTGTGTCTCTCGCTCTCTGTGTGTGTGTCTCTCTCTCGCTCTCTCTCTCTCGCTCGCTGTGTGTGTATCTGTCTGTCTGTGTGTCTCTCTCTGCAGTGATCGTGGAGCAGAGGCTGTGGACTACAGTCTGTACTCAGTGTCTCGCAGCTGTGGAGGAAGCCACACAGTCACACCCTTCACCCAGAGACACCGCAATGCTATCCAGCCACCCAGCCAGCAGAGGGCGCCGCAGGACCCACTGGGACTGGTACTCCAACCTTTTACATTGTACTGAGAGCACCTGGTCTCTCTCTAGTCTCTCTCTCAGGTCTCTCTCTCTGGTCCTTCTCTGTTCTTTCTGGTCTCTCTCTCTGGTCCTTCTCTGTTCTTTCTGGTCTCTCATCTCCTCTTGTTTTGCAGTCAGAGGAAGTGGACATTGTGGGACTGGACGGTCACATTTACAAAGGGCGCCTAAACACCTCACCAAACAGAGACAAAGACACCAAACTACCCACCATCACCTCCAGAGACGGTAAATGAGACGGAGAGACATGTCCAATCAGCAGCTGTGGCTCCTCTGCTTCTCTAACACTGGACTCTTTAAACTTGGTCCGAACTGAGGCTTTATTTCACATAAAGAGATTTAAAATGACTTGCATTGTTGTTTTAATGATCACACATGGGTAATGCTAACCCGCTAGCTTAACTGAGACCAGAGAAAGATACCAGAGAGAGATCAGTGAGAGACCAGAGAGAGACCGGTGAGTGACCGGTGAGATACTTGAGAAATCAGAGACCATCCACCCTCTGAGGAAACTCATGTGGATGCTTGTATCTGCGATCTCATGACCAGAAGTGAGGAAGGGGACTCTGACTGCAGACGCTGCTCCCTCTTCACCACAACAGTCCGATACAGCGGCTGCATCACTGCACAAGCTCCTTCCCTAAAAGTGAACCAGACCTGAGAAAATAGAACTTTATTATATATAGAGTGTGTTTGTTTTATTTGTTACTGTTGTCGGAGCACCGTCACTCGTTGCTTCAGTGTGTGTTGAGCAGTTTGAATGTAGAGTACAGAAGAGTGAGGACACGTCTCAGCCAGAGGAGGCGCTGCAGGTCAAACACATTCTGGGTGTTCTCTCTGTGTGTGTGTGTATGTGTATGCTGAAAACTGTGTGTGTTCAGGGTCCTGTGGGAGCAGCGGAAGACCCCCGAGCTCCCGCGCACCCAGAGCAGTGAGCCCAGGCCTGCGGCGACCCAGTCCCCCCTCAGGTACATGAGAGAGAGACCAGAGAGAGGCCAGAGAGAGGCCAGAGAGAGGCCAGAGAGAGGCCAGAGAGAGGCCAGAGAGAGGCCAGAGAGAGGCCAGAGAGAGACCAGAGGGAGACCAAAGAGAGGCCAGAGAGAGGCCAGAGAGAGGCCAGAGAGAGGCCAGAGAGAGGCCAGAGAGAGGCCAGAGAGAGGCCAGAGAGAGGCCAGAGAGAGACCAGAGAGAGACCAGAGGGAGACCAGAGGGAGACCAAAGAGAGGCCAGAGAGAGGCCAGAGAGAGGCCAGAGAGAGGCCAGAGAGAGGCCAGAGAGAGACCAGAGAGAGACCAGAGGGAGACCAGAGGGAGACCAGAGGGAGACCAAAGAGAGGCCAGAGAGAGGCCAGAGAGAGACCAGAGAGAGACCAGAGGGAGACCAGAGAGAGACCAGAGAGAGACCAGAGAGAGACCAGAGAGAGACCAGAGAGAGACCAGAGAGAGAGACCAAAGAGAGACCAGAGGGAGAGACCAAAGAGAGACCAGAGAGAGACCAGAGAGAGACCAGAGAGAGACCAGAGAGAGACCAGAGAGAGACCAGAGAGAGACCAGAGAGAGACCAGAGAGAGACCAGAGAGAGACCAGAGGGAGACCAGAGGGAGACCAAAGAGAGGCCAGAGAGAGGCCAGAGAGAGACCAGAGAGAGACCAGAGAGAGAGACCAAAGAGAGGCCAGAGAGAGGCCAGAGGGAGACCAGAGAGAGACCAGAGGGAGACCAGAGAGAGACCAGAGAGAGACCAGAGAGAGACCAGAGAGAGAGACCAAAGAGAGGCCAGAGAGAGGCCAGAGAGAGACCAGAGAGAGACCAAAGAGAGGCCAGAGAGAGACCAGAGAGAGACCAGAGAGAGACCAGAGAGAGACCAGAGAGAGACCAGAGAGAGGCCAGAGAGAGACCAGAGAGAGACCAGAGAGAGACCAGAGAGAGAGACCAGAGAGAGGCCAGAAATCAAAAGGAGATCAGGGAGAGGGTTTTTTTTAGACAGAAAAGTGGGTTGTCTTTTGTACAGAAATAGACATGTGTTTTATGATACAATGGAGACAGCATGTTGTGGCCTGATTTGTTCACAACATTGTACTTTTACACATCTTTCTGTTGGTACATGTGTTAGTTAAGAGACAAAACTTAGCCCAGACTGCATCGTGCTTCTGCAGGTTGTGTGAGAAACAAACGCTCTCAGATGTGTGAAACAAGACATTTATTATTAACCACTGTTTCAAAGACTGAGAGCTGTAAATGTCTTCATATTTGTCTCCTCTCTCCTTCCTCTGTGTCCAGGCAGTGGCAGCTTAGCTCGGGGTTGGTCTGTGTCGCCTCTGGGCTGTGTCTCTCAGGGCTCCACTGTCCCTGACTGAAGCAACAGAGAGCTCAAACTGAACCAAACTCACTCTGGTCTCTCTCAATTATTTATACATGACGTTAATGAAGAAAACCAATTCAAAATATTTCATTTACAAAAAACTCATGGCTTTATTTATTCTTAAAGATACAGTCCAAAATAAAACGGCTCCAGTGACAAACGATAAGAAAAGACAAACGCCCAGTGACGTCTGCACTGCCCCCGGTGGACTCCAGTGCTACTGCAGGTCATGGCACACACAAACATGTTTCTCACAGATCAAACTCAGCCTTTCCTCCAGCTCTGCTCCACTGACCCATATGCTTTAGTAATAGGTACTGTATCCTAGCAACCTCCCCACAACAAACCAGTATCTGGGGAAATTCCTTGTTAACCATGGCTTCCAGCAGCACTCTGGCCAATCACTGAGTTAGAACCAGGGCCAAGAGGGACTATAGAAGGAACTGGTACTGGTTCAAACAGGGGCAGAGCAGAGCAGGTGGAAACAGGGCCTTTACTGCAGCACAACAGGAGATAATGTCAGTAAAAACATGCATTTCCGCTTCTGACTCGCATCATTTTAAAGTGAAAAGGAAAAAGAGGTAGATTTTATCCAGAATTGTTGAAAAGTCCAACTGAACAAAAAGAATCCCCGTCTCCATAACAGAGTGTCTGAAGCACTAGTTCTAATAGATTCAAATAGATTTGTCAATAACAAATGTTATTCTCTACTTGTTAAATGACATCACATTGATTGTGTTATTTTCTATACATGCCAATCCCTGTATTGTGCCCAATATCACTGACTATAACCCGGATTTATTGTTGGATTGGTCAGAAACATTATTTATCATAATTTTCAGAGCTGTTTTCACTACATACCTGCCCTGGGGCACACTGATCCTCCTGTTCTGCATGAAAACTGGTTCATGAACATTTGTGAGACATGGGGAAATTAAGTAGAGGAGTTTAAGCTGCCAGTTAACGACGGCCCTGGATTTAGCATGTTGGTTTGCTCAACAGTCGAGCTCCCTCTCCCATGATGCTCTGCGCCTTTAGAGCAAAGATAGAAAATTATAGCACATTTAGTGGATCCCAAAAAGTAGATCACAGACAACAAAAACAACCACAAAACCCAAACTTTTGTCGCCAACACCAAGGTCTTAGGGAGATCAAGCTACAGTACCGGTGTGAGATTTCATAACACTTTTAAGCAACTTTTGTTAAAGTTAAACTCATCATTCTTACATGTGCAGAAGCCAGTACTTTTCCCTTGTTTTGTCTATCTGAAGGCCAAGCTACATGGCACCGTGGCAGCTGCTGATTGGAGGTCTCCATGCCTCCGCTCTGTATAATACACTTGCATTCTGTTGTATTTGTTGTTCGTGCTGTCTCTACCATCGACAATAAAACATGTCTTCTGTCTGAATGAAAGACGCGATCCCAGACTTTGTCATCTTCTTCACCGGGAGTGGCCTCTGAGCGTGCACTGACACAAAGCTACAGACATTATAATAGATCCACACTGAGCCTTCAGGCCTCTTTTCTTCACACTGGTGCTTTGTCAACAGACGTGTCGTTTCTTGTCTCAATTATTTGAAAGCACAAGCTGAGCCTGAACAACGTCATCTGCCTCAAGAACGGTGTGTGCTGCAGCGATTACACAAAATGTCTTCATAAAACATGAGGATTCATGTTACAACAGTCAATTATAGGTTTGAGTCTGTGAACTCCAAACCATAGATGTAATATATTATTTGGAGGGTGTCGCTGCTTGCACCCGTCTCCACATGGACTAAAGGCCACCCGCGGTACTGCAGCCTAAATTCACAAGGTCTATAGATTTCCCCACAGACCTCAGTGTTATAAAAAATGGCTCGTCCTCAGAGACAGAGCTCTGCAGATTTCACATAGGAGGATTCTGTGGAAATGTTAGTATTGTTTTAAATTAATCTGTTTTCTATAAATCCACACTTTTGTGCCACAAACTCCTCTCACTCTTGTCCGTGTTGATCTGTGCCTGTGCTGGTCGGTCTAAAGTCAGCTCTGATTGGTCAGAAAGCTCATGAGCATGAGCCAATGAGCACAGGCCAATGATCTGAACGAGAGGACATCTTGGAGAGACCGGGGGCAGACATCTTGGAGAGACCGGGGGCAGACATCTTGGAGAGACCGGGGGCAGACATCTTGGAGAGACCAAGGGCAGACATGTTGGAGAGACCAAGGGCAGACATCTTGGAGAGACCAAGGGCAGACATGTTGGAGAGACCAAGGGCAGACATCTTGGAGAGACCAAGGGCAGACATGTTGGACAGACCTGGGGCTTGCTCTCAACAGAAAAGGTCATGTGACAGCGAAAACAAAATGCCCGCCATTTCAAAAAGTATTGAATGGATCCAAAATGTCTCCTCGTTTCAAACAATCTGCTCTTATTTCATGAAAGCCCTATTATTAACAAAGTAATTGTATTCCTCGACATGATTGCAGTGTCACAAGCGTCCACCAGGAGGAAAGCAGTCTTCCGCTTGTGTCCTTTAATAACAAGTCCAAAGAGGTCTCCCCCTCTCTCTGGTCTCCCCCTCTTTCTCTGGTCTCCCCCTCTCTCTGGTCTCCCCCTCTTTCTCTGGTCTCCCCCTCTTTCTCTGGTCTCATCTGTGCTGTGTCACTGGAGGCCACTGCGGCTGGAGGCAGTGCACATGGAGGTGAGGAGCGCGCACTTGTGGTGGCGGCGGCGAGGAGGTGCAGTCCGATGCACGCAAGTTGGAGAACATCGCCATGGCCTCTGGGAAACTGGGCGGAGTCGCGGGTGTGTTCCGAGGCAACTGTGGAGACAGGGGACAGAGTTACAGTGGAAATGTACCTGATTGGTTACATCCAGCTGTCAATCCCATACTGACCATTTGGTGCGGACTCGGGACGTTGGCCTCTTGAAAAAATGAACTAAGTGCCGTCTGCAACAAACAGAATATTTGATTTGGGACTAGAACCTTCAAATGATCTCATGCTAACACAGACTGTATACAGATGAACAATGCTAACACAGACTGTATACAGATGAACAATGCTAACACAGACTGTATACAGATGAACAATGCTAACACAGACTGTATACAGATGAACAATGCTAACACAGACTGTATACAGATGAACAATGCTAACACAGACTGTATACAGATGAACAATGCTAACACAGACTGTATACAGATGAACAATGCTAACACAGACTGTATACAGATGAACAATGCTAACACAGACTGTATACAGATGAACAATGCTAACACAGACTGTATACAGATGAACAATGCTAACACAGACTGTATACAGATGAACAATGCTAACACAGACTGTATACAGATGAACTATGCTAACACAGACTGTATACAGATGAACTATGCTAACACAGACTGTATACAGATGAACTATGCTAACACAGACTGTATACAGATGAACAATGCTAACACAGACTGTATACAGATGAACTATGCTAACACAGACTGTATACAGATGAACAATGCTAACACAGACTGTATACAGATGAACAATGCTAACACAGACTGTATACAGATGAACTATGCTAACACAGACTGTATACAGATGAACTATGCTAACACAGACTGTATACAGATGAACAATGCTAACACAGACTGTATACAGATGAACAATGCTAACACAGACTGTATACAGATGAACTATGCTAACACAGACTGTATACAGATGAACAATGCTAACACAGACTGTATACAGATGAACAATGCTAACACAGACTGTATACAGATGAACTATGCTAACACAGACTGTATACAGATGAACTATGCTAACACAGACTGTATACAGATGAACAATGCTAACACAGACTGTATACAGATGAACAATGCTAACACAGACTGTATACAGATGAACAATGCTAACACAGACTGTATACAGATGAACTATGCTAACACAGACTGTATACAGATGAACTATGCTAACACAGACTGTATACAGATGAACAATGCTAACACAGACTGTATACAGATGAACTATGCTAACACAGACTGTATACAGATGAACAATGCTAACACAGACTGTATACAGATGAACTATGCTAACACAGACTGTATACAGATGAACTATGCTAACACAGACTGTATACAGATGAACAATGCTAACACAGACTGTATACAGATGAACTATGCTAACACAGACTGTATACAGATGAACTATGCTAACACAGACTGTATACAGATGAACTATGCTAACACAGACTGTATACAGATGAACTATGCTAACACAGACTGTATACAGATGAACTATGCTAACAGACTATACAGACTGTCAGCATTCTGTATTGTCTTTTTACTAACTTTATTTTAACCTTTTGAGTTTGAGAAGTTGCTGTAATAATCAGACTAGATTAAGATGACCATGAAAATGTTACACTGACGATTCCAGATAATAATGTCATATCATTAGCCACAACAGTCACAGCAGTGGTGTGACATGTGAGACTTGTTGTGGTTAAGAGGCCCCTCCCCCTCTTCCTCCCCGCTCTCCCCCTCTTCCTCCCCGCTCTCCCCCTCCTGCCTCTTCCTCCCTCTCTTCCTCCCCGCTCTCCCCCTCCTGCCTCTTCCTCCCCCTCTTCCTCCCCGCTCTCCCCCTCCTGCCTCTTCCTCCCTCTCTTCCTCCCCGCTCTCCCCCTCCTGCCTCTTCCTCCCCCTCTTCCTCCCCGCTCTCCCCCGCTCCTGCCTCTTCCTCCCTCTCTTCCTCCCCGCTCTCCCCCTCCTGCCTCTTCCTCCCTCTCTTCCTCCCCGCTCTCCCCCTCCTGCCTCTTCCTCCCTCTCTTCCTCCCCGCTCTCCCCCTCCTGCCTCTTCCTCCCTCTCTTCCTCCCCGCTCTCCCCCTCCTGCCTCTTCCTCCCTCTCTTCCTCCCCGCTCTCCCCCTCCTGCCTCTTCCTCCCTCTCTTCCTCCCCGCTCTCCCCCTCCTGCCTCTTCCTCCCTCTCTTCCTCCCCGCTCTCCCCCTCCTGCCTCTTCCTCCCTCTCTTCCTCCCCGCTCTCCCCCTCCTGCCTCTTCCTCCCCCTCTTCCTCCCTCTCTTCCTCCCCGCTCTCCCCCTCCTGCCTCTTCCTCCCCCTCTTCCTCCCCGCTCTCCCCCTCCTGCCTCTTCCTCCCCCTCTTCCTCCCCGCTCTCCCCCTCCTGCCTCTTCCTCCCTCTCTTCCTCCCCGCTCTCCCCCTCCTGCCTCTTCCTCCCTCTCTTCCTCCCCGCTCTCCCCCTCCTGCCTCTTCCTCCCTCTCTTCCTCCCCGCTCTCCCCCTCCTGCCTCTTCCTCCCTCTCTTCCTCCCCGCTCTCCCCCTCCTGCCTCTTCCTCCCCGCTCTCCCCCTCCTGCCTCTTCCTCCCCCTCTTCCTCCCCGCTCTCCCCCTCCTGCCTCTTCCTCCCCCTCTTCCTCCCCGCTCTCCCCCTCCTGCCTCTTCCTCCCCCTCTTCCTCCCTCTCTTCCTCCCCGCTCTCCCCCTCCTGCCTCTTCCTCCCTCTCTTCCTCCCCGCTCTCCCCCTCCTGCCTCTTCCTCCCTCTCTTCCTCCCCGCTCTCCCCCTCCTGCCTCTTCCTCCCTCTCTTCCTCCCCGCTCTCCCCCTCCTGCCTCTTCCTCCCCCTCTTCCTCCCCGCTCTCCCCCTCCTGCCTCTTCCTCCCCCTCTTCCTCCCCGCTCTCCCCCTCCTGCCTCTTCCTCCCTCTCTTCCTCCCCGCTCTCCCCCTCCTGCCTCTTCCTCCCCCTCTTCCTCCCTCTCTTCCTCCCCGCTCTCCCCCTCCTGCCTCTTCCTCCCTCTCTTCCTCCCCGCTCTCCCCCTCCTGCCTCTTCCTCCCCCTCTTCCTCCCCGCTCTCCCCCTCCTGCCTCTTCCTCCCCCTCTTCCTCCCCGCTCTCCCCCTCCTGCCTCTTCCTCCCCCTCTTCCTCCCCGCTCTCCCCCTCCTGCCTCTTCCTCCCCCTCTTCCTCCCCGCTCTCCCCCTCCTGCCTCTTCCTCCCCCACACACTCAGGAATGTCTCAAAGCGACACATGTGAACTCTTGTTTACAGCACACTCCAGCATTCTCTTCCTCATGGAACCACTTGCACAACAAACCCTAACCCTTTCTTCAGAAATGAAAATATAAAACAAGACCAAAGTCTACCCAGAGCGGAATAATGACGATCCCAAGACCAAACCAAGGCCACAACAACTAACGAGGACTGAAATAGATCTCAAACTGAACTAAACCACCAGGTCTAATCCAGGACTATTAAAGACTAAAATAAGGTCAAATAAAATATGGGGGGCTGCTTTTCTTCAGCAGAGACATGGAAGAGAGTTCATGGGGAGATGGATGGAGCAAAATAAAATAACTGGTGCTATGGATTACACATAGTATTAACTCTTGTTTCTTTCTCGACTCTCTCTGGTCTCTCTTTTTTACTGTTATGTCTATACAAACTTATCCAAAGATCAGTGTCAGTGATCAAAAACACATGTGAACTAGAGATAGAAGAACACTGTTAGAGTTGTGTCTTTAATCAGATTGAGAATAATAAGGAAAACGGCAAAAGCTATAGTTGTCTCTGGTCAACCCCAGTATTAGTTCAGTGCGCTGCCTGTGATCTCTGGAAGCTCTGGTACAGTTGTATTTTATAATTGTTTGTTTGTTGTGTTTGTGATGTGCTGTTTGTATTTTATGGACTTCGAGCCTGACAAACAAATATAATAATAATAAAGCTCCATGAACCAAAACACAACATGAACATGTAATCTGTAATCTATAGATTGGCATAGTCTGGTATCTGGACTTTCACTTCTCAGACTTCCTCTTTAATCCAGACTTTAGTTTTGGTTTTGTTTCTGATTATTTATTTTGTTTGTTTTTGTAAACATTGAAACACAGGTTTTGCTCTTTAGACTCGAGTGGAGGCCTCATAGACGAATGTTGAGCAGGTTCAGTCCTGGTTCTGTCTTGGTTTAGACTTGGATTAGTCCTATCTTAGTCCTGGTTCCGTCTTGGTTTAGATCTGGATTAGTCCAATTTTAAAACTGATTTTAGTCCGGGATTAGATCTGGAGATATAGTCCAGTTTGAGATCCATTTCACACCTCATTTCTTCATTGGTTTGGACATGGGATCCTCATTATTCAAGTCTGATTCAAACCTGGTTCAGACCTGCACTCAACCCGTGTTTGGAACGGTTTTAACCCAGTTTAACTCCTGGATTATCTGTGAATTATTATCCCTGGTCTGATCCCGCTCCAGCCTCTCCGTGATCCCGGCCTCTGCGGTGTGCTCCTCCCCCGCTTACCTCGAACTGCCAGTGGGCCGCTTGGAGACACTGCAGCGCCTGGTCGGCTCCACATCCTGCCGTCAACACGAACTGGTTTATCATAATCTGCCGCTTCAGCTCCTCCATGACGCCCCCACGATAATCCGAGCCTCCACACCGGGACACAGTCGCTCCACACCGAGACACAATCGCTCCACACCCCGAATATCGACCCGAACCTGCCGTAGAGAACCTTGCGTCGTGTCGCTAAAAAACAAAATATTTTCATGGCTCCGTCACCAACAACAAAGAGCAGGGCCAGGTCTGATTGGTGCAGGAAGGCTACTACGCGAGCCCTGATTGGCTGCGGTTTAAAAAAGAGGAGCGTTTGATTGTGGCGAGCGGGCGGGCGGGGACAGGGTCTACCGGGTTTAAAGGGGATCCATGTATGAAACATTAAAAGAAGGGATCACAGACTGTATACACATGGACAATGCTAACATTCACTGTATACAAATGACAATGCTAATCTGCTAGCTCAATGTAGTAACAGTAAACTTCTTTTGCTCATTTGCGATTTTAGTTTTAAATCTGTGGTTTAGCGCTCTCTGTGATCCTGATGTTCTCTCTCAGCTCTCTCTGGTCCCTCTCCTGTCTCTTCCTGGTCTCTCTCTCATCTCTCTCTGATCTCCATTTGGTCTCTCTCTCTATCTGGTCTTTCGATTATATTTCGTTTGTAACTGTATAACTTTACAATCCTTACAAAAAAATGCAGAGAAAAACTGCTGAGCCCGCGCCCCCCACAGACGCGCGCTCACACACAACAAGCACACGCTCTGAGCTCAAAGGCTGCATTGTGATTGGCTGCCAGCGCGGCACATGTGGATTGGCTCTTGCCTTTTCCTCGAGCAGGGAAAAACGTAAACAGAGGAAACGCAGCACGTGACCGACAGAAGATGGAGACAAAGCTGAAGCTGAGAGAATGTTCACTAAGTCCAAAGTTATAATAGTGCCAATTCTAATACATAAAAATGATGTAATGTTTCTGCAACAAAATGAAAAAAAAAACATGAAACTTGTCTCTTGATTTTGGTTTTTATCTGGTCTTTGGTCTCTCTCTGTCCGTCCGTCCGTTTTCTTCCGCTTCATCCGTTGTCGGGTCGCGGGGGCAGCAGTCTAAGCAGAGACGCCCAGACTTCCCTATCCACACACACTTCCTCCAACTCGTCGGGGGACCCCAAGGCGTTCCCAGACCAGCTGAGAGACATAGTCCCTCCAGCGTGTCCTGGGTCTTCCCCGGGGCCCCCTCCCGGGGAAAACCCTGGTCTCTCTCTGGTCTCTCTCTGGTCTCTCTCTGGTCTCTCTTTGGTCTCTCTCTGGTCTCTCTCTGGTCTCTCTTTGGTCTCTCTCTGGTCTCTCTCTGGTCTCTCTCTGGTCTCTCTTTGGTCTCTCTCTGGTCTCTCTCTGGTCTCTCTTTGGTCTCTCTCTGGTCTCTCTCTGGTCTCTCTCTGGTCTCTCTCTGGTCTCTCTCTGGTCTCTCTTTGGTCTCTCTCTGGTCTCTCTCTGGTCTCTCTCTGGTCTCTCTGGTCTCTCTCTGGTCTCTCTGGTCTCTCTCTGGTCTCTCTCTGGTCTCTCTCTGTCTCTCTTTGGTCTCTCTCTGGGTCTCTCTCTGGTCTCTCTCTGGTCTCTCTCTGGTCTCTCTCTGGTCTCTCTCTGGTCTCTCTCTCTGGTCTCTCTCTGGTCTCTCTGGTCTCTCTCTGGTCTCTCTGGTCTCTCTCTGGTCTCTCTCTGGTCTCTCTGGTCTCTCTCTGGTCTCTCTCTGGTCTCTCTCTGTCTCTCTTTGGTCTCTCTCTGGTCTCTCTCTGGTCTCTCTCTCTGGTCTCTCTCTGGTCTCTCTCTGGTCTCTCTCTGGTCTCTCTCTGGTCTCTCTCTGGTCTCTCTGGTCTCTCTCTGGTCTCTCTCTGGTCTCTCTCTCTCTCTCTGGTCTCTCTCTGGTCTCTCTCTGGTCTCTCTCTGGTCTCTCTCTGGTCTCTCTCTGGTCTCTCTCTGGTCTCTCTCTGGTCTCTCTCTGGTCTCTCTCTGGTCTCTCTCTGGTCTCTCTCTGGTCTCTCTCTGGTCTCTCTCTCTGGTCTCTCTCTGGTCTCTCTCTGGTCTCTCTCTGGTCTCTCTCTCTGGTCTCTCTCTCTGGTCTCTCTCTGGTCTCTCTCTCTGGTCTCTCTCTCTCTCTGGTCTCTCTCTCTGGTCTCTCTCTGGTCTCTCTCTCTGGTCTCTCTCTCTGGTCTCTCTCTGGTCTCTCTCTCTGGTCTCTCTCTCTGGTCTCTCTCTGGTCTCTCTCTGGTCTCTCTCTCTGGTCTCTCTCTGGTCTCTCTCTGGTCTCTCTCTGGTCTCTCTCTCTTGGTCTCTCTCTGGTCTCTCTCTGGTCTCTCTCTGTCTCTCTGGTCTCTCTCTCTGGTCTCTCTCTGGTCTCTCTCTCTGGTCTCTCTCTGGTCTCTCTCTCTCTGGTCTCTCTCTGGTCTCTCTCTGGTCTCTCTCTGGTCTCTCTCTCTGGTCTCTCTCTGGTCTCTCTCTGGTCTCTCTCTGGTCTCTCTCTGGTCTCTCTCTGGTCTCTCTCTGGTCTCTCTCTGGTCTCTCTCTGGTCTCTCTCTGGTCTCTCTCTGGTCTCTCTCTGGTCTCTCTCTGGTCTCTCTCTGGTCTCTCTCTGGTCTCTCTCTGGTCTCTCTCTGGTCTCTCTCTGGTCTCTCTCTGGTCTCTCTCTGGTCTCTCTCTCTGGTCTCTCTCTCTGGTCTCTCTCTTGGTCTCTCTCTGGTCTCTCTCTGGTCTCTCTCTCTGGTCTCTCTCTGGTCTCTCTCTGGTCTCTCTCTGGTCTCTTCCTGGTCTCTCTCTGGTCTCTCTGGTCTCTCTCTGGTCTCTCTCTGGTCTCTCTCTGGTCTCTCTCTGTCTCTCTTGGTCTCTCTGGTCTCTGGTCTCTCTCTGGTCTCTCTCTGGTCTCTCTCTGGTCTCTCTCTGGTCTCTCTCTGGTCTCTCTCTGGTCTCTCTGGTCTCTCTCTGGTCTCTCTCTGGTCTCTCTCTGGTCTCTCTCTGGTCTCTCTCTGGTCTCTCTCTGGTCTCTCTCTCTGGTCTCTCTCTGGTCTCTCTCTCTGGTCTCTCTCTGGTCTCTCTCTGGTCTCTCTCTGGTCTCTCTCTGGTCTCTCTCTGGTCTCTCTCTGGTCTCTCTCTCTGGTCTCTCTCTGGTCTCTCTCTGGTCTCTCTCTGGTCTCTCTCTGGTCTCTCTCTGGTCTGGTCTCTCTCTGGTCTCTCTCTGGTCTCTCTCTGGTCTCTCTCTGGTCTCTCTCTGGTCTCTCTCTGGTCTCTCTCTGGTCTCTCTCTGGTCTCTCTCTGGTCTCTCTCTGGTCTCTCTCTCTGGTCTCTCTCTGGTCTCTCTCTGGTCTCTCTCTGGTCTCTCTCTGGTCTCTCTCTGGTCTCTCTCTGGTCTCTCTCTGGTCTCTCTCTGGTCTCTCTCTGGTCTCTCTCTGGTCTCTCTCTCTGGTCTCTCTCTGGTCTCTCTCTGGTCTCTCTCTGGTCTCTCTCTGGTCTCTCTCTGGTCTCTCTCTCTGGTCTCTCTCTGGTCTCTCTCTCTGGTCTCTCTCTGGTCTCTCTCTGGTCTCTCTCTCTGGTCTCTCTCTGGTCTCTCTCTGGTCTCTCTCTGGTCTCTCTCTGGTCTCTCTCTGGTCTCTCTCTGGTCTCTCTCTGGTCTCTCTCTCTGGTCTCTCTGGTCTCTCTCTGGTCTCTCTCTGGTCTCTCTCTCTGGTCTCTCTCTGGTCTCTCTCTGGTCTCTCTCTCTGGTCTCTCTCTGGTCTCTCTCTCTGGTCTCTCTCTGGTCTCTCTCTGGTCTCTCTCTGGTCTCTCTCTGGTCTCTCTCTGGTCTCTCTCTGGTCTCTCTCTCTGGTCTCTCTCTGGTCTCTCTCTGGTCTCTCTCTGGTCTCTCTCTGGTCTCTCTCTGTCTCTCTCTCTGGTCTCTCTCTGGTCTCTCTCTGGTCTCTCTCTCTGGTCTCTCTCTGGTCTCTCTCTGGTCTCTCTCTGGTCTCTCTCTGGTCTCTCTCTGGTCTCTCTCTGGTCTCTCTCTGGTCTCTCTCTGGTCTCTCTCTGGTCTCTCTCTGGTCTCTCTCTGGTCTCTCTCTGGTCTCTCTCTGGTCTCTCTCTGGTCTCTCTCTGGTCTCTCTCTGGTCTCTCTCTGGTCTCTCTCTCTGGTCTCTCTCTGGTCTCTCTCTGGTCTCTCTCTGGTCTCTCTCTGGTCTCTCTCTGGTCTCTCTCTCTCTGGTCTCTCTCTGGTCTCTCTCTTGGTCTCTCTCTGGTCTCTCTCTGGTCTCTCTCTGGTCTCTCTCTTGGTCTCTCTCTGGTCTCTCTCTGGTCTCTCTCTGGTCTCTCTCTGGTCTCTCTCTGGTCTCTCTCTGGTCTCTCTCTGGTCTCTCTCTGGTCTCTCTCTGGTCTCTCTCTGGTCTCTCTCTGGTCTCTCTCTGGTCTCTCTCTGGTCTCTCTCTGGTCTCTCTCTGGTCTCTCTCTGGTCTCTCTCTGGTCTCTCTCTCTCTCTGGTCTCTCTCTCTGGTCTCTCTCTGGTCTCTCTCTGGTCTCTCTCTGGTCTCTCTCTGGTCTCTCTCTCTGGTCTCTCTCTGGTCTCTCTCTGGTCTCTCTCTGGTCTCTCTCTGGTCTCTCTCTGGTCTCTCTCTGGTCTCTCTCTGGTCTCTATCTCTGGTCTCTCTCTGGTCTCTCTCTGGTCTCTCTCTGGTCTCTCTCTGGTCTCTCTCTGGTCTCTCTCTGGTCTCTCTCTGGTCTCTCTCTGGTCTCTCTCTGGTCTCTCTTCTGGTCTCTCTCTGGTCTCTCTCTGGTCTCTCTCTGGTCTCTCTCTGGTCTCTCTCTGGTCTCTCTCTCTGGTCTCTCTCTGGTCTCTCTCTGGTCTCTCTCTGGTCTCTCTCTGGTCTCTCTCTGGTCTCTCTCTGGTCTCTCTCTGGTCTCTCTCTGGTCTCTCTCTGGTCTCTCTCTGGTCTCTCTCTCTGGTCTCTCTCTGGTCTCTCTCTGGTCTCTCTCTGGTCTCTCTCTGGTCTCTCTCTGGTCTCTGGTCTCTCTCTCTGGTCTCTCTCTGGTCTCTCTCTGGTCTCTCTCTGGTCTCTCTCTGGTCTCTCTCTGGTCTCTCTCTGGTCTCTCTCTGGTCTCTCTCTGGTCTCTCTCTGGTCTCTCTCTGGTCTCTCTCTGGTCTCTCTCTGGTCTCTCTCTGGTCTCTCTCTGGTCTCTCTCTCTGGTCTCTCTCTGGTCTCTCTCTTGGTCTCTCTCTGGTCTCTCTCTCTCTCTGGTCTCTCTCTCTCTCTGGTCTCTCTCTGGTCTCTCTCTGGTCTCTCTCTTGGTCTCTCTATGGTCTCTCTCTGGTCTCTCTCTGGTCTCTCTCTGGTCTCTCTCTGGTCTCTCTCTCTGGTCTCTCTCTGGTCTCTCTCTGGTCTCTCTCTGGTCTCTGGTCTCTCTCTGGTCTCTCTCTGGTCTCTCTCTCTGGTCTCTCTCTGGTCTCTCTCTGGTCTCTCTCTGGTCTCTCTCTGGTCTCTCTCTGGTCTCTCTTCTCTCTCTCTGGTCTCTCTCTTGGGTCTCTCTCTTGTCTCTCTCTGGGTCTCTCTCTGTCTCTCTCTGGTCTCTCTATGGTCTCTCTCTGGGCTCTCTGGTCTCTCTCTGGTCTCTCTCTGGTACTCTCTCTGGTCTCTCTCTCTGGTCTCTCTCTGGTCTCTCTCTGGCCTCTCTCGGCACTATCGTCGGATCGGTCTCTGGCTCTGGCCTCTCTGAGTGCTCTCTCTGGTCTCTCTCTGGTCTCTCTCATGGCTCTCCTGGCTCTGTCTGTCTCTGTCTGGCCTTCTTCTCTGTCGCTCTCTGGTCATCAATGGTCTCTCTCTGGCCTCTCGGGTCTCTCGCGCTGCTCTGGTCTCCTCTCTGGGCTCTCGTGTCGCCTCTGGTCCATCTCTGGTCTCTCTCTCTGTCTCGTGCTCTCTGTGCCTGGTCTCTGTCTCTCTTTCTCTCTCTCCCTGCTCTTCTCGGCCCTGGCTCTCTCTCTGGTCTCTCTCTCTGGCCGTCTCTGGCTCTCTGTCTCTCCTGGGCCCGAGTGAGGGAGGACCAGACGGGACCTCTGGCCAAGGGGCAGATGTTGAGGATCAGCGCGACCGTTATGTAAGCCACTGAACACTCCGTAGCTAATCCATTGTTTTCAGTTTTGAGCACTCTAGTTTCCAGAGAACGACCAGAGAGAGACCTGAGCGAGACAGCCCGAGAGATCCAGAGAGAGCCCAGAGATGAGCCCAGAGAGAGAGACCATGAGATGAGACCAGAGAGAGAACCAGAGAGAGACCAGAGGAGACCAGAGACGGCACAGCTCAGTTTTGCAGGTATGTCTCTGGTGTGTGGGCCGGGTGGTGGTCACTTGATGATTGAAGTCGCAAAGGTGGTGTTGGATGCCGAAGTGGTTTTTGAGTCCATGTGTAGTGTGGCTCAGTGACACCATGTTTGTTTGTCTCAGTAGACACCATGTTGGCGCGATGTGTTTGTCTCAGTGAGAAGACCATGTACGTTTGTCCTCAGTGTTTGGAGAGAGAAGCAAGTCGTCATGGTCCCTTAGTCCTGAGCCCCAAGTCTGGGAGGTGGAGCTGGTGCTGACCAGCAGCTCGAGTGGACCACAGAGGGACCCACGAGGGAGCTGACCAGAGGGACCCCAGAGGGACCCAGAGAAAAGGAGCTCGGCTGACCATCCCCAGGTCGAGATAGACCCAAGGGGGAGACCAAGAGGGAGGCCGAACGGACCAGCACCCCTAAGGGTACCCAGCCGCAGCCTCTTTCCTCCGCCTCGTGTCTGTGTCTAGACGACAGTCCTGACCCAGTCTCCAGTCGTTTGGCTTCAGGAGGAAGTCTGCTCCACTTCTTTGGGCGACGGCACACAGCACCTGGAGGAGTCACCTGGTACGCCCCCTCCATCCTCTCCCTTCTTCTCAGCTCCTGCAGGTTACAAACAGCACTTTGGTCATGGTCTGGCGGTAATAAGACCAGTACAACAAAGCACTTTGTCATTTCTGCTGTTATTAAAACCAGGTACCACAGCACTTTGTCATGTATTCTGGCTGGTAATAACTCCAGGTACCAAACAGCACTTTGTCTGTTCTGCTGGTATGACCAGGTACAAACACAGCACTTTGTTCAGTGGTTGCTGGTATACCAGAGTGTGTACAAATACCCAGCACTTTTGTCATGTTCTGCTGGTATAACCAGGTACACAGCACCTATTGTCATGTTCTGGGCTGGTATACCCAGGTACTTAAACAGCACCTTTGCCAATGTTCTGCTGGACTAGTATACCAGGTACAAAAACAGCACTTTTGGTCATGGTGTTGCTGGGAGACCATGGTACACAGCACGGAGTTCTGTATCTGCTGGTATACCAGTTACACAGCATTTGTAATGTTTCTATGGTGTATATCCAGGTACGCAGCAACTTTGTCTGTTCTACTGGTTATACGGTACACAGCACTTTGTCTTGTTCTACTGGTATACCGGACACATACCTGCAGGTTAGAGCCAGATCCTCTGAAGCTGTTCAGGGCAGGGCCCTGGTTAGTTTTCTGTGATGGGAGACTCAGTGGGGCAGCTGCGGCTGTACAGTGCCAAATCGTGGTTGTGTCTTTAAGCAAGACACCAACCACATTAGATGGATCTTATTATCATAGGGACAAGAGAGAGACCATATGAGATACAAGTGAGTGGACCTGAGAACAAGACCTCGTGGATCCTGAGTGAAAAAAGAGAGAGCCAGAGAGTTTAGTGCTCTCCTCACTGTGCCCTGAAACCTCCCTCTGTGCAGGAGACCGGCGGTGTGCTGGTCTCCGCTGACCCCGGGAAGCCCACCTCTGCTTCCCACTCCCGATGCCGCTGCTGGGATGGTGCGGTCGCAGGCCCTGCCTGGGATCGTGGCGGTTGGTCACTGTCCGGACGACGTGGATACTAACACAGACTGTATACAGCATGAACTATGCTAACACAGACTGTATACAGATGAACAATGCGCTAACACAGACTGTATACAGATGAACAATGCTAACACAGGACTGTATACAGATGAAACGTATGCTAACACAGACCCTGTATACAGATGAACAATGCAAACACAGACTGTATACAGATGAACTATGCTAACACAGAACTGTATACAGATGAACAATGCTAACACAGACTGTACTACAGTTTATGAACATGCTAACACAGATCTGTATACACGTCATATGACAATGCTAACACAGACCTGTATACAGATGTACAATGCTAACACAGACTGTATAAGATGAACAATGCTAAACACATGACTGTATTATCAGTATGAACAATGCTAAACACAGACTGGTATACAGATGAACAATGCTAACACAGACTGTATACAGATGAACTATGCTAACACAGACTGTATACCAGATGAACAATGCTAACACAGACTGTATACAGATGAACTATGCTAACACAGACTGTATACAGATGAACAATGCTAACACAGACTGTATACAGATGAACTATGCTAACACAGACTGTATACAGAGAACTATGCTAACACAGACTGTATACAGTGGATGAACAATGCTAACACAGACTGTATACAGCATGAACAATGGCTAACACAAGACTGTATACAGATGAACTTTGCTAACACAGACTGTATACAGATGAACTTTGCCCTAACACACAGACTTGTATTACAGTATGAACAATGCTAACACAGACTGTATTACAGATGGAACAATGCTAACACAGACTGTATACAGGTGAACAATGCCTAACACAGAAACTGTATACAGATGAACAATGCTAACATGATACAGATGCTAACACAGACTGTATACAGAAATGAACCAATGCAAACAACAGACTGTATACAGATGAACTATGCTAACACAGACTGTATACAGATGAACTATGCTAAACACAGACTTTATACAGATGAACTATGCTAACACAGACTGTATACAGGATGAACAATGCTAACACAGACTGTATACAGATGAACTATGCTAACACAGACTGTATACAGATGAACAATGCTAACAACAGACTGTATACAGATGAACAATGCTAACACAGACTGTATACAGATTATGAAACAATGCTAACACAGACTGTATACAGATGAACAATGCTAACACAGACTGTATACAGATGAACAATGCTAACACAGACTGTATACAGATGAACTATGCTAACACAGACTGTATACAGATGAACTATGCTAACACAGACTGTATACAGATGAACTATGCTAAACAGACTATACAGACTGTCAGCATTCTGTATTGTCTTTTTACTAACTTTTATTTTAACCTTTTGAGTTTGAGAAGTTTGCTGTAATAATCAGACTAGATTAGATGGACTCATGAAAATGTTACAATGACGATTCCAGATAATTAATGTCATATCATTAGCCACAACAGTCACAGCAGTGGTGTGACATGTGAGACTTGTTGTGGTTTTAAGAGGCCCCTCCCCCTCTTCCTCCCCGCTCTCACCCCCTCTTCCTCCTTTTTCCGCTCTTCCCCCTCCTTGCCCTCTTCCTCCCCCTCTCTTCCTCCCCGCTCTCCCCCTCCTGCCTCTTCCTCCCTCTCTTCCTCCCCGCTCTCCCCTCCTGCACTCTTCCTCCCCCTCTTCCTCCCCCGCTCTCCCCCTCCTGCCTCTTCTTCTCCCTCCTCTTCCTCCCGCTCTCTCCCTCTCCCCTCCTGCCTCTTCCTCACCCTCTTCCTCCCCGCCTCTCCCCCTCCTTGCCTCTTCCCTCCCTCTCTTCTTCCTCCCCGCTCTCCCCCTCCTGCCTCTTCACTCCCCCTCTTCCTCCCCCTCTCCCCCTCCTGCCTCTTCCTCCCTCTCTTCTTCCTGACCCCGCCTCTCCCCCCTCCTGCCTCTTCCTCCCCCTCTTCCTCCCTCCGCTCTCCCCTCCTGCCTCTGTCTTCCTCCCTCTCTTCCTCCCGCCGCTCTCCCCCTCCTGCCTCTTCTCCCCCTCTTCCTCCCCGCTCTCCCCCTCCCTGCCCTTTCCTCCCTCTCTTTCCTCCCCGCTCTTCTCCCCCTCCTGCCTCTTCTTCCCCCTCTTTCCTCCCCTCCGCATGCTCTCCTCCCCCTCTCTGCCTCTTCCTCCCTCTCTTCCTCCCCGCTCTCCCCCTCTGCCTCTTCCTCCCTCTCTCTTCTTCCCCGCTCTCCCCCTCCTGCCTCTTCCTCCCTCTCTTCCTCCCCGCTCTCCCCCTCCTGCCTCTTCTCCCTCTCTTCCCTCCACCGCTCTCCCCCTCCTGCCTCTTCCTCCCCCTCTTCCTCCCCTCTCTTCCTCCCCGCTCTCCCCCTCCTGCCTCTTCCTCCCCCTCTTCCTCCCCCGCTCTCCCCCTCCCTCTCTTCCTCCCCCCCGCTCTCCCCCCTCCTGCCTCTTCCTCCCTCTCTTCCTCCCCCCTCCTGCCTCTTCCTCCCACTCCCCCTCCTCCCCCTCCCCTGCCTCTTCCTCCCTCTCTTCCGCTCCCCGCTCTCCCCCTCCTGCCTCTTCCTCCCTCTCTTCCTCCCGCTCTCCCCCTCCTGCCTCTTCCTCCCCGCTCTCCCCCTCCTGCCTCTTCCTCCCCCTCTTCCTCCCCGTTCTCCCCCTCCTGCCTCTTCCTCCCCCTCTTCCTCTCCCTCTCTTCCTCCCGCTCTCCCCCTCCTGCCTCTTCCTCCCTCCTCTTCCTCCCCGCTCTCCCCCCTCCCTGCCTCTTCCTCCCTCTCTTCCTCCCCGCTCTCCCCCTCCTGCCTCGCTTCCTCCCTCTCTCTTCCTCCCCGCTCTCCCCCTCTCCCTCTGCCTCTTCCTCCACTCTTCCTCCCCGCTCTCCCCCTCCTACCTCTTCCTCCCCCTCTTCCTCCCCGCCTCTCCCCCCCTTCCTCCTCTTCCTCCCTCCTCTTTCCCCCGCTCTCCCCTCTCCTGCCTCTTCCTCCCTCCTCCGTCTTCCTCCCTCTCTTCCTCCCCGCTCTCCCCCTCCTGCCTCTTCCTCCCCCTCTTCCTCCCCGCTCTCCCCCTCCTCCTGCCACTCTTCCTCCCCCTCTTCCTCCCCGCTCTCCCCCTTCCTGCCTCTTTCCTCCCCTCTTCCTCCCCGCTCTCCCCCTCCTGCCTCTTCCTCCCCCTCTTCCTCCCCGCTCTCCCCTCCTGCCTCTTCCTCCCCCTCTTCCTCCCCGCTCTCCCCCCCCTCCTGCCTCTTCCTCCCCCTCTTCCTCCCCGCTCTCCCCCTCCTGCCTCTTCCTCCCCTCTTCCTCCCCGCTCTCCCCCTCCTGCCTCTTCCTCCCCACACACTCAGGAATGTCTCAAAGCGACACATGTGAACTCTTGTTTACAGCACACTCCAGCATTCTCTTCCTCATGGAACCACTTGCACAACAAACCCTAACCCTTTCTTCAGAAATGAAAATATAAAACAAGACCAAAGTCTACCCAGAGCGGAATAATGACGATCCCAAGACCAAACCAAGGCCACAACAACTAACGAGGACTGAAAATAGATCTCAAACTGAACTAAACCACCAGGTCTAATCCAGGACTATTAAAGACTAAAATAAGGTCAAATAAAATATGGGGGGCTGCTTTTCTTCAGCAGAGACATGGAAGAGAGTTCATGGGGAGATGGATGGAGCAAAATAAAATAACTGGTGCTATGGATTACACATAGTATTAACTCTTGTTTCTTTCTCGACTCTCTCTGGTCTCTCTTTTTTACTGTTATGTCTATACAAACTTATCCAAAGATCAGTGTCAGTGATCAAAAACACATGTGAACTAGAGATAGAAGAACACTGTTAGAGTTGTGTCTTTAATCAGATTGAGAATAATAAGGAAAACGGCAAAAGCTATAGTTGTCTCTGGTCAACCCCAGTATTAGTTCAGTGCGCTGCCTGTGATCTCTGGAAGCTCTGGTACAGTTGTATTTTATAATTGTTTGTTTGTTGTGTTTGTGATGTGCTGTTTGTATTTTATGGACTTCGAGCCTGACAAACAAATATAATAATAATAAAGCTCCATGAACCAAAACACAACATGAACATGTAATCTGTAATCTATAGATTGGCATAGTCTGGTATCTGGACTTTCACTTCTCAGACTTCCTCTTTAATCCAGACTTTAGTTTTGGTTTTGTTTCTGATTATTTATTTTGTTTGTTTTTGTAAACATTGAAACACAGGTTTTGCTCTTTAGACTCGAGTGGAGGCCTCATAGACGAATGTTGAGCAGGTTCAGTCCTGGTTCTGTCTTGGTTTAGACTTGGATTAGTCCTATCTTAGTCCTGGTTCCGTCTTGGTTTAGATCTGGATTAGTCCAATTTTAAAACTGATTTTAGTCCGGGATTAGATCTGGAGATATAGTCCAGTTTGAGATCCATTTCACACCTCATTTCTTCATTGGTTTGGACATGGGATCCTCATTATTCAAGTCTGATTCAAACCTGGTTCAGACCTGCACTCAACCCGTGTTTGGAACGGTTTTAACCCAGTTTAACTCCTGGATTATCTGTGAATTATTATCCCTGGTCTGATCCCGCTCCAGCCTCTCCGTGATCCCGGCCTCTGCGGTGTGCTCTCCCCGCTTACCTCGAACTGCCAGTGGGCCGCTTGGAGACACTGCAGCGCCTGGTCGGCTCCACATCCTGCCGTCAACACGAACTGGTTTATCATAATCTGCCGCTTCAGCTCCTCCATGACGCCCCCACGATAATCCGAGCCTCCACACCGGGACACAGTCGCTCCACACCGAGACACAATCGCTCCACACCCCGAATATCGACCCGAACCTGCCGTAGAGAACCTTGCGTCGTGTCGCTAAAAACAAAATATTTTCATGGCTCCGTCACCAACAACAAAGAGCAGGGCCAGGTCTGATTGGTGCAGGAAGGCTACTACGCGAGCCCTGATTGGCTGCGGTTTAAAAAAGAGGAGCGTTTGATTGTGGCGAGCGGGCGGGCGGGGACAGGGTCTACCGGGTTTAAAGGGGATCCATGTATGAAACATTAAAAGAAGGGATCACAGACTGTATACACATGGACAATGCTAACATTCACTGTATACAAATGACAATGCTAATCTGCTAGCTCAATGTAGTAACAGTAAACTTCTTTTGCTCATTTGCGATTTTAGTTTTAAATCTGTGGTTTAGCGCTCTCTGTGATCCTGATGTTCTCTCTCAGCTCTCTCTGGTCCCTCTCCTGTCTCTTCCTGGTCTCTCTCTCATCTCTCTCTGATCTCCATTTGGTCTCTCTCTCTATCTGGTCTTTCGATTATATTTCGTTTGTAACTGTATAACTTTACAATCCTTACAAAAAAATGCAGAGAAAAACTGCTGAGCCCCGCCCCCCACAGACGCGCGCTCACACACAACAAGCACACGCTCTGAGCTCAAAGGCTGCATTGTGATTGGCTGCCAGCGCGGCACATGTGGATTGGCTCTTGCCTTTTCCTCGAGCAGGGAAAAACGTAAACAGAGGAAACGCAGCACGTGACCGACAGAAGATGGAGACAAAGCTGAAGCTGAGAGAATGTTCACTAAGTCCAAAGTTATAATAGTGCCAATTCTAATACATAAAAATGATGTAATGTTTCTGCAACAAAATGAAAAAAAAAACATGAAACTTGTCTCTTGATTTTGGTTTTTATCTGGTCTTTGGTCTCTCTCTGTCCGTCCGTCCGTTTTCTTCCGCTTCATCCGTTGTCGGGTCGCGGGGGCAGCAGTCTAAGCAGAGACGCCCAGACTTCCCTATCCACACACACTTCCTCCAACTCGTCGGGGGACCCCAAGGCGTTCCCAGACCAGCTGAGAGACATAGTCCCTCCAGCGTGTCCTGGGTCTTCCCCGGGGCCCCCTCCCGGGGAAAACCCTGGTCTCTCTCTGGTCTCTCTCTGGTCTCTCTCTGGTCTCTCTTTGGTCTCTCTCTGGTCTCTCTCTGGTCTCTCTTTGGTCTCTCTCTGGTCTCTCTCTGGTCTCTCTCTGGTCTCTCTTTGGTCTCTCTCTGGTCTCTCTCTGGTCTCTCTTTGGTCTCTCTCTGGTCTCTCTCTGGTCTCTCTCTGGTCTCTCTCTGGTCTCTCTCTGGTCTCTCTTTGGTCTCTCTCTGGTCTCTCTCTGGTCTCTCTCTGGTCTCTCTGGTCTCTCTCTGGTCTCTCTGGTCTCTCTCTGGTCTCTCTCTGGTCTCTCTCTGTCTCTCTTTGGTCTCTCTCTGGTCTCTCTCTGGTCTCTCTCTGGTCTCTCTGGTCTCTCTGGTCTCTCTCTGGTCTCTCTGGTCTCTCTCTGGTCTCTCTGGTCTCTCTCTGGTCTCTCTGGTCTCTCTCTGGTCTCTCTCTGGTCTCTCTGGTCTCTCTCTGGTCTCTCTCTGGTCTCTCTCTGTCTCTCTTTGGTCTCTCTCTGGTCTCTCTCTGGTCTCTCTCTGGTCTCTCTGGTCTCTCTGGTCTCTCTCTGGTCTCTCTGGTCTCTCTCTGGTCTCTCTGGTCTCTCTCTGGTCTCTCTGGTCTCTCTCTGGTCTCTCTGGTCTCTCTCTGGTCTCTCTGGTCTCTCTCTGGTCTCTCTCTGGTCTCTCTGGTCTCTCTCTGGTCTCTCTCTGGTCTCTCTCTGTCTCTCTTTGGTCTCTCTCTGGTCTCTCTCTGGTCTCTCTCTGGTCTCTCTGGTCTCTCTGGTCTCTCTCTGGTCTCTCTGGTCTCTCTCTGGTCTCTCTGGTCTCTCTCTGGTCTCTCTCTGGTCTCTCTCTGCCTCTGCCTTAATCCTTTTCATTGTGCTTGTTTCAGGAGGAGGTTGAGTTAAATGTGAAACACTTGAAGCAGAACTGGTTTCAGAAAACACAATACACAAAACTAACACCAGCGACTTTTTCACGCTTCTGTGATTACAATCAGTCTTATTAAAGCTCAGGTATGTAACTTTAACCCACAGCAATACAACCAGAGAGAGACCAGAATGAGACCAGAGAGAGACCAGAATGAGACCAGAGAGAGAGAGAGTCTGAAGAGCTTCTATCACTATTTTTCACATTCTGGTCTTGGTCCTATACTGGTCCTGGTCCATGTCTTGACCTTGGTCCTGGTCTATGTTTTGGCCCATAGTCCTGGTCTTGCTTTTGGTCCTCGTCCAGGTCTTGGTCTTGGTCCTTTTTTTTCAACGATATAAAAACGCAGACACAGAAAAACAACATTCTTCAGCATATGTAACTTATAATGACGGTTCCAAAACTAAAAGCCGTCATATTGACTCCTGAGTTGAGCTCGAGCGCTCGGTCCGCGGGCTGCCGTTTGGGACACACTGACTGGGGCGGTTGCCATGGAGACGCGGAGGACGCACAAGACGCTATTAAACCCGGCCCGGTCCTCCGCGCTCCACACTCCTCCTCATGCGCCAGACCCAAAGCGTCTCCGGGCGACGCGAAAGGATCTTTACTGATTTGGAACATTCCAGTGGAGAAAAGGTGAGATTCAACATATTTAAAACTTTAATTAATAACCAGTTTGTCCCAGTTTGATGACGTATGAACGCGATCTTTGAGACATATTTAAGCTAACTTGATTCGGGTGTTACGTTACTTTAAGCTAACGTTGATCATGTGTATTTTTACAGTTATTTAAGAAAATTCACTCTTGTTTCCGCTTGATCAGATATAGATGATCACCTGTGAATTATGTTTTAACATCACAGTCAAATTAGCAATAAAACATTAGCATAAAACACACGGAGGCTAAAGACGATCCATGATGTGTTTGTGAGTTTAATACAAATGACTGGAAAGGAAAAATATAAGGAAATAAGGTCTCTCTCTCTCTCTCCCTGGTCTCTCTCTGGTCTCTCTCTCTGGTCTCTCGCTGGTCTCTCGCTAGTCTCTCTCTGGTCTCTCTCTGGTCTCTCTCTCTGGTCTCTCTGGTCTCTCTCTCTGGTCTCTCTCTGGTCTCTCTCTGGTCTCTCTCGGGTCTCTCCCTGGTCTCTCGCTAGTCTCTCTCTGGTCTCTCTCTGGTCTCTCTCTCTGGTCTCTCTGGTCTCTCTCTCTGGTCTCTCTCTGGTCTCTCTCTGGTCTCTCTCTGGTCTCTCTCTCTGGTCTCTCTCTGGTCTCTCTCTGGTCTCTCTCTCTGGTCTCTCATGGTCTCTCTCTGGTCTCTCTCTGGTCTCTCATGGTCTCTCTCTGGTCTCTCTCTGGTCCTCTCATGGTCTCTCTCTGGTCTCTCTCTCTGGTCCCTCATGGTCTCTCTCTGGTCTCTCTCTCTGGTCTCTCATGGTCTCTCTCTGGTCTCTCTCTGGTCTCTCATGGTCTCTCTCTGGTCTCTCTCTGGTCTCTCATGGTCTCTCTCTGGTCTCTCTCTGGTCCCTCATGGTCTCTCTCTGGTCTCTCTCTCTGGTCTCTCATGGTCTCTCTCTGGTCTCTCTCTCTGGTCTCTCTCTCTGGTCCCTCATGGTCTCTCTCTGGTCTCTCTCTGGTCCCTCATGGTCTCTCTCTGGTCTCTCTCTCTGGTCTCTCATGGTCTCTCTCTGGTCTCTCTCTCTGGTCTCTCTCTGGTCTCTCTCAGGTCTCTCTCTGGTCCCTCATGGTCTCTCTCTGGTCTCTCTCTGGTCTCTCATGGTCTCTCTCTGGTCTCTCTCTGGTCTCTCATGGTCTCTCTCTGGTCTCTCTCTGGTCCTCATGGTCTCTCTCTGGTCTCTCTCTCTGGTCTCTCATGGTCTCTCTCTGGTCTCTCTCTCTGGTCTCTCATGGTCTCTCTCTGGTCTCTCTCTATGGTCTCTCATGGTCTCTCTCTGGTCTCTCATGGTCTCTCTCTGGTCTCTCTCTCTGGTCTCTCATGGTCTCTCTCTGGTCTTGTGTGCATAATGAACGCACCTAGTTAAACACAGACCTGTATTTGTGGATCTAGTTAAATAAATTGCCTTTTGTGTTTTGCATCTAACATTTACGAGGCTGTTGACCCGCGCAGAGGCCACATTCCTCTGGGCCTGGAAACCGTCACTCTGACGTTTGTGTGAATTATTAACACAACATTTCTGTGATAATGCCACTTTATAAACATTAAAAACATTATTAACATTATTAACAGTCTCTTGGAGCTTCGCGTACATGCGCCCGCCGCATTCCTTCACAGGGACTTACTGCAGGACTTTGGCTTTATTTATAATATTAACACATTTATTCACAAGGTTAAGAGTTTATAAAACACAAGGCGACAGTGTTGGTATTAAACGCAGATACACAGCGGAACTAAAGGGTTCACTTGTCGCTTGTTTCTCTAAAGTCTGACTTTATACGTCTTCTTTACGCGGGACGACTCCAATTCATTTCTGTTTTTCAATTTTGTATTGCTCTAAATCACAACAGTGGTTATTTCTGAGGACTTTAGAAAACAGTTTAAACACAAGATAAAAACACGGATCCATAAGGAGAGACTGATGTAAAAAGCATGTGTTGAGCGGATCCTCTCTGACCTGAATCAGGAACAACTCTAATCTCTGTGGGAGAAAAGTGAGAAACCTTTGCTTTAGTTGAGGCCGCGATGAACGTGTCTCCCCCGGGACTCTTGTTTTTAGGTTTTTGGTCTCGTTATTTAAAGTTTTTGTCTTGACTGTCGTTGTTGCTAAATAAATACTATAAAAAAATATTAATAATGATAATGATAACGATAGTAATAATATTTGGGTTTTATACTTTGTCAGAAATTGTTTCATTTCCAGTTTGTGGACGCGGTCAAGTTCCACACATTTGAAACATGATTCATCTGTTTTTTAATGTTTTAATTCCTCTAAATTTATGAGATGATTCAAGTTAAAAAGGCCTGAGCCACGTGCGTCCTGTTTATGAGAATCTCCCTTTTTAATATTAAAACCTTAAAATGAGGCTCTCTCTCATCTCTGGTCTCATCTCTGGTCTCATCTCTGGTCTCATCTCTGGTCTCTGGTCTCTGGTCTATGGTCTCTCTCTCATCTTTCTCATCTCTCTCATCTCTCTCATCTCTCTCTCTCTCTCTCTCATCTCTCTCTCTCTCTCTCTCTCTCTCGCTCTCTCTCTCTCTCTCTCTCTCTATCTCTCTCTCTCTCTCTCGCTCTCTCTCTCTCTCTCTCTCTCTGTCTCTCTCTCTCTCTCTCTCTCTCTCTCTCTCTCTCTCTCTCTCTCTCTCTCTCGCTCTCTCTCTCTCTCTCTCTCTCTCTCTCTCGCTCTCTCTCTCTCGCTCTCTCTCTCTCTCTCTCTCTCTCTCTCTCTCTCTCTCTCTCTCTCTCTCTCTCTCTCTCTCTCTCTCTCTCTCTCTCTCTCTCATCACGGCTTCTTACATTTCCCGGTCGCTGGTTCTTGAATAATTGAAGGATCGTCTCTGGAAACCGGAGCCGCGCGTCAGGTGCAGAGTGCGGCTGAAGACAGCTCTGTGTGGGGCGTTAAAGCTGGCCTCTCTCTGGTCTCTCTCTGGCCTCTCTCTGGCCTCTCTCTGGCCTCTCTCTCTCTCTTGTCACTCTCTGGTCTCTCTCTCTGGTCCCTCTCTGGTGTCTCTCTCTGGTCTCTCTCATGGTCTCTGGTCTCTTTCTCTCTGGTCTCTCTCATGGTCTCTTGTCACTCTCTGGTCTCTCTCTCTGGTCCCTCTCTGGTGTCTCTCTCTGGTCTCTCTCATGGTCTCTGGTCTCTTTCTCTCTGGTCTCTCTCATGGTCTCTGGTCTCTCTCTGGTCTCTGGTCTCTTTCTCTCTGGTCTCTGGTCTCTTTCTCTCTGGTCTCTCTCATGGTCTCTCTGGTCTCTCTCTGTTCTCTGGTCTCATAAACGTGTTGCTTGTGGCCATAAAACAAACAGCGGTGATAAAAGTGTAAGTGATTATGTCCGAGTGTCTCCCCCACAGACACAGAGCCCCCCCCCTCACACACACACAGAGGGTGTCAGCGCTGGTCTGTGTTTAAATGAGGAGGAAGGGAGGGAGGAAGGGGGGGGGGGGGGGGGGGATTGGCAGGTGGAGGGGGGGGGCAGATAAAGGGGACAGTCCTGGGACAGAGTGAGGAGGACCAGAGGGACTCAGGACAAGGGCAGGTGAGGATCAGAGAGACCGTTATTTAAACCACAGAACTCTGTAGATAATCCATGTATTTAGTTTCTGGCACTAGTTTCCAGAGAAAGACCAGAGAGAGACCAGAGAGAGACCAGAGAGAGACCAGAGAGAGATCAGAGAGAGACCAGAGAGAGACCAGAGAGAGACCAGAGAGAGACCAGAGAGAGACCAGAGAGAGACCAGAGAGGCCACAGCTCGTTTTGCAGAGTATGTCTCTGTGTGTGGCGGGTTGGGGTCACTTTATGATTTAAGTCGCAAGGTGGGTTGGATGCCGAGTGGTTTTGAGACAATGTGTGTTTGTCTCAGTGACACCATGTGTGTTTGTCTCAGTGACACCATGTGTGTTTGTCTCAGTGACACCATGTACGTTTGTCTCAGTGTTTGGAGGAAGCAGTCGTCATGTCCCATAGTCCTGAGCACAGTCTGGAGGTGGAGCTGGTGCTGACAGCAGCTCGAGTGGACCAGAGGGACCAGAGGGAGCTGACCAGAGACCAGAGGGACCAGAGGGAGCTGACCAGAGACCAGAGGGACCAGAGGGAGCCGACCAGACCCCAAAGGGACCAGCAGCAGCCTCTTTCCTCTGGTCTGTGTCTAGACGACAGTCTGACCAGTCTCCAGTGGCTTCAGGAGTTCTCCATCTTGGGCCGACAGCACACAGCACCTGGGAGTCACCTGGACGCCCCCTCCTCTCCTCTGGCAGGTACACAGCACTTTGTCATGTTCTGCTGGTATACCAGGTACACAGCACTTTGTCATGTTCTGCTGGTATACCAGGTACACAGCACTTTGTCATGTTCTGCTGGTATACCAGGTACACAGCACTTTGTCATGTTCTGCTGGTATACCAGGTACACAGCACTTTGTCATGTTCTGCTGGTATACCAGGTACACAGCACTTTGTCATGTTCTGCTGGTATACCAGGTACACAGCACTTTGTCATGTTCTGCTGGTATACCAGGTACACAGCACTTTGTCATGTTCTGCTGGTATACCAGGTACACAGCACTTTGTCATGTTCTACTGGTATACCAGGTACACAGCACTTTGTCATGTTCTACTGGTATACCAGGTACACAGCACTTTGTCTTGTTCTACTGGTATACCAGGTACACATACCTGCAGGTTAGAGCCAGATCCCTCTGAAGCTGTTCAGGGCAGGGCCTGGTTAGTTCTGTGATGGGAGACCTCAGTGGGGCAGCTGCGGCTGTAAAGTGCCAAACTGTGGTTGTGTCTTTAAGCAAGACACCAACCACATTAGAAGGACTTATTATCATAGGGACAAGAGAGAGACCAAAGAGAGACCAGAGAGGGACCAGAGAACAAGACCTGTGAATAAAGAGAGAGACCAGAGAGTTTAGTGCTCTCCTCACTGTGACCTGAACCTCCCTCTGTGCAGGAGACCCGGCGTGTGCTGGTTCTCCGCTGACCCCCGGGAAGCCCACCTCTGCTTCCCACTCCCGCTGCCCCCTGCCTGGGATGGTGGGTCGCAGGCCCCTGCCTGGGATCGTGGCGGTTGGTCACTGTCCGGACGACGTGGACTACAAGAGCAACCCGAACGTTAAGCCGCCATATTCCTACGCCACGCTCATCTGTATGGCCATGCACGCCAGCAAGAAGAGCAAGATCACCCTGGCCAGCATCTACTCCTGGATCACAGACAATTTCTGCTACTACCGCCACGCTGACCCCACCTGGCAGGTACTGGTACTACACACACACACACACACACACACACACACACACACACACACACACACACACACACACACACACACACACACACACACACACACACACACACACACACACACACACACACACACACACACACACACACACACACACACACACACACACTCTCTCTGGTCTCTTTCTGGTATCTCTCTGGTCTCTCTCTGGTCTCTCTCTGGTCTCTCTCTGGTCTCTCTCTGGTCCCTTTCTGGTCTCTCTCTGGTCTCTCTCTGGTCTCTCTCTGGTCTCTCTCTGGTCTCTCTCTGGTCCCTTTCTGGTCTCTCTCTGGTCTCTCTCTGGTCTCTCTCTGGTCTCTCTCTGGTCTCTTTCTGGTCTCTCTCTGGTCTCTTTCTGGTCTCTCTCTGGTCTCTTTCTGGTCTCTCTCTGGTCTCTCTCTGGTCCCTTTCTGGTCTCTCTCTGGTCTCTCTCTGGTCTCTCTCTGGTCTCTCTCTGGTCTCTTTCTGGTCTCTCTCTGGTCTCTTTCTGGTCTTTCTCTGGTCTCTTTCTGGTCTCTCTCTGGTCTCTTTCTGGTCTCTCTCTGGTCTCTCTCTGGTCTCTCTCTGGTCTCTCTCTGGTCTCTCTCTGGTCTCTCTGGTCTCAGTTGAATGATAAATGATTGAAGGGCAGACGCTGTGTGGGGTGGCTAATGTTTAACGTGAGTCAGAGCTGTACTTCCTGACGACGCGGGTCTAAACAACCTGCTGCAGCTTCACAGCTTTAGTCAACAACATTCCTGTCTTTCTTAAAAGTTCAGCATCTGTGGACGGGACAGAGACACAGAGACACAGAGACACAGACACAGAGAGACAGAGAGACACAGAGACACAGAGACAAAGAGAGAGACAGAGACACAGAGACACAGAGACACAGAGAGACACAGAGACAAAGAGAGACACAGAGACATAGAGACACATAGAGACATTGACACAGAGAGAGACACAGAGACACAGAGACACAGAGACAAAGAGAGAGACAGAGACAGAGAGACACAGAGACATAGAGACACATAGAGACATTGACACAGAGAGAGACACAGAGAGACAGAGAGACACAGAGACACAGAGACAAAGAGAGAGACAGAGACACAGAGAGACACAGAGACAAAGAGAGAGACAGAGACACAGAGAGACACAGAGACACAGAGAGAGACAGAGACACAGAGAGACACAGAGACACAGAGAGACACAGAGACACAGAGAGACACAGAGACAGGGACACAGTGTGCGTGTGTATACGTGTGTGTGTATACGTGTGTGTGCGTGTGTCTCATATTCCTGCCCGTTGTCCGTTACCATTGTGCTGGATCTTGTTTACTTTGTGGTTTCCTGGTAACAGGCCCCATTGTTTTAGTTGAGTGTGTGTGTGCGTGTGTTATTGTGTGTGAATTTATGTTATTGTGTGTATGTATGTGTGTGTGTATGTATGTGTATGTGTGTGTGTTTCTGCGAGGGCGTGTGTCTGTGTGCATGTGTGTGTTTTTGCGAGTGTGTATGTGTGTGTCTGTGTGTGTGTGTTTTTGCGAGTGTCTGTGTGTGTGTATGTATGCGTGTGTGTGTTTCTAAAACTATGTGACCTACAGTAATAAACTGTCCATTAGCTCTGAATAAAGACCAGGTCACCGGCTCCCACGGCAACGAGACAAACATCCTCTACCGCTAGCTTTAGCACGAGCACAAAGACAAGAGACCAGAGATCAGCGAGACCAGAGAGACCAGAGACTAGAGAGACCAGAGAGACCAGAGACTAGAGATCAGAGACAGAGGTCTCCCATCACAGCACTAACCAGGCTCTGCCCTGTTTAGCTTCAGAGGTCTGTCAGGATCAGGCCAGAGGACCACTTTCTTTCGGCCAATCAGCTCTGAGCCCAAAGAGTCCATGATTTCAGTTTCATCTTTTCAACGTCTGGAGCAGGAAAGTCCAAAGTCAAAGTGGGGTTAAGTGTCTTGCCCAAGGACACAACGACCGCAGTCATCAGTGGGAGTTGTGAAATAGGTCTTACGGTGGGCTCGAACCCGCAACCTTCAGGCCCAAAGGCCAATGCTCTGTCGCCCCCTTATTATCGATATGTTCAATATCGATAACTCTAATAACTTTGTTGACACTGTCTGTGCAGAACTCCATTCGTCACAACCTGTCCCTGAACAAGTGCTTTATCAAAGTGCCGCGGCAGAAGGACGAGCCGGGGAAAGGCGGCTTCTGGAGGATCGACCCGCTGTACGCCGAGCGCCTCCTCAGCGGCGCCTGCAGGAAGCGCCGGGCTCCTCCTGTTCACATCAACCCCGCCCTGCAGCACCTGCAGCATCTCCCGCCACAGACACACCTCCCGCAGCACCTGGAGGAGGCTTCAGGAGCAGAGAACCACGACCCGCGGCTGGGGGAGGGCACCATGCTGGGCTCATGGCCCGAGGAGCGCGGGAGAAGGAAGAGGAGGCGAGAGAGAAGGAGGCCCACCTCCCCCCTGCTCTGCATCGAGGAGACCAGAGACCTGGGGCTGCTTAAAGTAAGTCAGAGAGACCAGAGAGAGACCAGAGACCAGAGACACAGACCAGAGAGAGACCAGAGACCAGAGACACAGACCAGAGAGAGACGAGAGACCAGAGACCAGAGACACAGACCAGAAAGAGACCAGAGACCAGAGACACAGACCAGAAAGAGACCAGAGAGAGACCAGAGACACAGACCAGAGAGAGACCAGAGAGAGAACAGAGAGAGACCGGAGACACAGACCAGAGAGGGACCAGAGAGACCAGAGAGAGACCAGAGAGAGACCAGAGACACAGACCAGAGAGAGACCAGAGCGGGACCAGAAAGAGACCAGACAGAAACCAGAGACCTGGGGCTGCTTAAAGTAAGTCAGAGAGACCAGAGCGCTAGACCCTCTCCTCTCTCTCTCAGACTTGGACTGAGGTGTTTGGGTTTTCTAATCTCCCTCTCTCTCAGGGAGACTTCGACTGGGACGCGCTGCTGGACTCGGCCCTGAACGGAGAGCTGAGGCTGGAGGAGGAGCTGTCGGTGCGGGGGACTCAGATCCGGCCCCTGGAGGTGGCCCTTGGAGACGTGTGTGTCCCGCTGGAGACTCAGGACAGCAGCTCGGACTTCCACCATGAGACCTTCATGGCCACCTCCTTCCTGGAGACGCCGTGGCCTCAGGAGGAGGAGCACAGGGACTTTTTGAGCGACTCGGGGAACCTGGACCAGCTGTTTGACCTGGGGGCTCCTCTGCTCTGAGGGCCACAGGAGAGAGACTCTGGACAAGAGAGTACACTTCATACACAGATGAAAGAGAGAGGAACATTCAAGACCACCAGCCCTACTCTACTCTACTCTACTCTACTCTACTCTACTCTACTCTACTCTGCTCTGCTCTACTCTGCTCTGCTCTACTCTACTCTACTCTACTCTGCTCTGCTCTGCTCTGCTCTGCTCTGCTCTGCTCTGCTCTACTCTACTCTACTCTACTCTACTCTACTCTACTCTGCTCTGCTCTGCTCTGCTCTGCTCTGCTCTGCTCTACTCTACTCTACTCTGCTCTGCTCTGCTCTGCTCTGCTCTACTCTACTCTACTCTACTCTACTCTACTCTGCTCTGCTCTGCTCTGCTCTGCTCTACTCTGCTCTACTCTACTCTGCTCTGCTCTGCTCTGCTCTGCTCTACTCTACTCTACTCTACTCTACTCTACTCTACTCTACTCTACTCTACTGGGATATACAATAGAGAGGAGTAGAGTAGAAACAGTGTTTGTGGTGTCACACATTCACCATTTTTCCTGAAAGTCACTGGTTTATATTTCTCTGTATGATCGTTGTCACATCTGACCAATCAGGAGCCTTCTATCCCCAGCCTCAGCATTGGTTGGTGGGATCAGACCAGCTCCTGATTGGCTCGTTGGTCGTCTCTTTGGTTTTGGTTGTTAGTTTGATGATCCTCATGGGGCCTGCAGTTAAAGTAGCTCATTAGCATTAGCTTAAACGCTCTTTCACACATTTCAAACCAGCGTCTGTTATAATCGAGCGCTGTGTCTTCGAACATACTGTATACCGACTCTGTAGCTATGCTAGGCTACGTAATGCTAGGCTATGCTATGCTAAACACCCAACACACGTGACACAGTTCTGAAGCGGCCGAACTAAAGCTGAGATCATGTCCATAGTCAAGAGGAAAATCACCTTTTTCTGAAGTTTTTCTGAGACTCTGGCAACATTCACCTGCTGCGTGTCAGGATACTGTAACATCTGAGGAGGAGGAGGACGAGGAGGACAGGGAGGCCTCACAGCAGGAGGGATAGTTTTAGATGATGGTGGGGTGCAGCTGTAAAATCTGTCCTGGTAACTATGGAAACAAAGCCTGAATGTTCCTGAGTCTCAACGAGTCTTTGCCAAATTCCTGCTCTGTAAACGTTTGACTGAGCCTCAGGATCTGGTGAATGAGTAGTCGACCTTGTGCCACGCTGCCTCTCTCTGGGGTCTCTCCCTCTGGGGTCTCTCTCTCTGGGGTCTCTCCCTCTGGGGTCTCTCTCTCTGGGGTCTCTCCCTCTGGGGTCTCTCCCTCTGGGGTCTCTCCCTCTGGGGTCTCTCTCTCTGGGGTCTCTCCCTCTGGGGTCTCTCTCTCTGGGGTCTCTCTCTCTGGGGTCTCTCCCTCTGGGGTCTCTCTCTCTGGGGTCTCTCCCTCTGGGGTCTCTCTCTCTGGGGTCTCTCTCTCTGGGGTCTCTCCCTCTGGGGTCTCTCTCTCTGGGGTCTCTCCCTTTGAGGTCTCTCCCTCTGGGGTCTCTCCCTCTGGGGTCTCTCCCTCTGGGGTCTCTCTCTCTGGGGTCTCTCCCTCTGGGGTCTCTCTCTCTGGGGTCTCTCCCTCTGGGGTCTCTCTCTCTGGGGTCTCTCCCTCTGAGGTCTCTCCCTTTGAGGTCTCTCCCTCTGTGGTCTCTCCCTCTGAGGTCTCTCCCTTTGTGGTCTCTCCCTCTGAGGTCTCTCCCTCTGGGGTCTCTCTCTCTCTCTGAGGTCTCTACCTCTGAGGTCTCTCTCTCTGGGGTCTCTCACTCTGAGGTCCCTCTGAGGTCTCTCTCTATGGGGTCTCTCCCTCTGAGGTCTCTCCCTCTGAGGTCTCTCCCCTCTGAGATCTCTCTCTATGGGGTCTCTTACTCTGAGGTCTCTCCCCTCTGAGGTCTCTACCTCTGAGGTCTCTCTCTCTCTGGGGTCTCTCCCTCTGTCGCCTCTCCCTCTGGGGTCTCTCCCTCTGAGACCCCAGAGGTTTCTCCCTCTGGGGTCTCTACCTCTGGGGGTCTCTCCTGGTGTGTGCTCTTCTTGTCTCGGCTTCGTGATTGGAGCTGTGAAGGTTTTTTTTAATCTATTTTTGTGCAAAAATAAACTGTTTTTATGATAAAAACTGGTCTGAATCATTATTGTGTCGTGAACCTGCAAAAAACTCTCTCTCTCTCTGGTCTCTCTCACTGGTCTCTCTCTCTGGTCCCTCTCTCTGGTCTCTCTCACTGGTCTCTCTCACTGGTCTCTCTCTCTCTCTCTGGTCTCTCTCTGGTCCCTCTCTCTGGTCTCTCTCTCTGGTCCCTCTCTCTGGTATCTCACTGGTCTCTCTCTCTCTGGTCCCTCTCTGGTCTCTCTCACTGGTCTCTCTCTCTGGTCCCTCTCTCTGGTCTCTCTCACTGGTCTCTCTCTCTGGTCTCTCTCTCTGGTCCCTCTCTGGTCTCTCTCACTGGTCTCTCTCTGGTCCCTCTCTCTGGTCTGTCTCTGGTCTCTCTCTCTGGTCTCTCTCTCTGGTCTCTCTCTGGTCTCTTTCACTGGTCCCTCTCTGGTCTCTCTCACTGGTCTCTCTCTCTGGTCTCTCTCTCTGGTCCCTCTCTGGTCTCTCTCACTGGTCTCTCTCTGGTCCCTCTCTCTGGTCTGTCTCTGGTCTCTCTCTCTGGTCTCTCTCTCTGGTCTCTCTCTGGTCTCTTTCACTGGTCCCTCTCTGGTCTCTCTCACTGGTCTCTCTCTCTGGTGTCTCTCTGGTCTCTGGACCTGTGCCTCCTCAGTGGATTTACGGTCTGGGATGACAGCCAGGCTGTGTCTCCCATCACCAGGTGGGCGGGGCTAAACAGGCTAACCTTCGTAGCATCATTAGCATCACACTGAGCCTCATTCACACAGAGAGGAGTCGCTTCATGGAGGTCTGAGCAGTAAAGCTGGGGTGCGTAACTTTCAAACACAACAAACAGACCATAAAATACATGTAACTGGTTTTCACATGCAGGAACCAGCAAGACACCAGAGAGAGAGAGCATAGAGAGACCACCCTCACTCAGCCATTCAGTTCTCATCCCAAAGAGTCAAATAGTGACTCACAGGGCACATTATCACACAATAGATGTAAACTCCCTGTGGGTCAGAGTGTGTAGCTTTGTGAAACTTTAGCTGGATCATCGCCCCCACAGAGCCCCCTGGACGGCTGTAGACCAGCTCCAGTCCCGGTGCTTGTCCTGGTCCTGTTCCTGGTCTGTTCCTGGTCCAGGGTCAGATGAGATCCCTATGAAACCGGACTCTCCAGGTTCAAAGCCAGAGGAAACACGAGACATGAAGCTTCTGTCTATGCTGTGCTTCCAAACTATGACAAACTACACACTATGATGTCATAGACCATAGAGAGACCAGGCAGGGACCAGCAAGGACCAGAGAGAGACCAGAGAGAGACTAGAGAGACCAGCGAGAAGCCAGAGAGAGAGACCAGAGAGAGACCATACAGGGACCAGAGAGAGACCAGCGAGAAGCCATAAAGAGACCAGAGAGAGACCAGAGAGAGACCAAAGAAAGTCCAGAGAGAGAGACCAGAGAGAGAGAGAATGTCTGTAAAGAAGAAAGCTATGTATAAACCCAAATCCCTTTTAAAACAAGCACGAACATGGATCGTTTTAAAAGAATTCTTTCTTTCAACTGAAACAAGGCCTCAGGTTTCGTTTCAGTTGCTGGTCCAGCCGCAGAGTGCTGGTGTAAGAGAAGAAGACGCTGATGAATGATGTAATAAACTCTGACAGCGACTCAGCTTCAAACTTTTAATATCATCTCATTTTTCAGAGCGTTTTGTGGAACTCACTGATCGCTATGGAAACACAGAAACAGCAAAATAGGACCTCTGTCTTTTTTAAAGCTCAGGCCTGTAACTTTCAATCCACACAACATGGAGGGAGACCAGAGAGTGACCAGAGAGAGAGACCAGAGAGAGACCAGAGAGAGAGACCAGAGAGTGACCAGAGAGAGAGACCAGAGAGAGACCAAAGAGAGACCAGAGAGTGACCAGAGAGAGAGACCAGAGAGAGACCAAAGAGAGACCAGAGAGAGAGACCAGAGAGAGGCCAGAGGAAGCCCAGAGGGAGACCAGACAGAGACCAGAGAGAGACCAGCAAGGACCAGAGAGAGACCAGAACGCCATATTAACAAGTTGGGGTTCCTGCTGCTCGCCGCGCCCCGGGACAATGGTGCGTTGCCTTGGCGACGCTGGTGCCTGCCGGTAAACACACGTTCCCGTCTGCCCCGCCCCTTTCTGTCTGAGCTCCGCCCCCGAACGCCAAAGGTCAGCCTCATGTTTATTAAGAGTCCGACATAAAGCTGGACTTAAAGGAGAACTATGATGAACAAAGCTGCTCTCACGGCTCTGTTTCCCGTTTCATGCGTCATTAAGACTTTCTCCCGAGAGACAAGTGTGTTTTGGATTCTTAATCACTGAGGAGAGGCAGAGTTATTTGTATTGCACAATACATGCACTTTACATGGCACACACAAGTTCACATAACAAGAGGAACACACAGGAATCTCCACTCTCTCTCTGGTCTCTCTCTCTGGTCTCTTTCTAGTCTCTCTCTCTGGTCTCTCTCTGTCTGTCTCTGGTCTCTCTCTGGTCACCCTCTCTAGTCACTCTCTGGTCTCTGGTCTCTCTCTCTGGTCTCTCTCTCTAGTCTCTCTTTCTAGTCTCTCTCTGGTCTCTCTCTCTCTCTGCTGTCTCTTAGGTCGTAGCTTTAGACTTGTTTCAGATCTGGTTCAGACCTGGTTTGGACCTGGTTCAGACCTGGCTCAGACTTGGCTCAGACCGCCTTCTGTCCCAGTGCTCTCAGTGTGATGTGATGCGGCAGGACGTGTGTTGATCCATGATTTTAATCCTGTTTGTGTTTGTGAAAGAAACTGAATGAATGGAGCGTTTCCCATCAGTCCTCAGAGACCAGAGTGCATACCGCCTTAAGAGCTCATACCGCC